TGGTGGGTGGGGTTCGTGCATGAGGGGTAACGAAAAACCACCAGGGCTAAGGGAGGGGTTGGAAAGCTGCAGCTTGGGTACGTAGCTGACGTGCTGTCAGAAAACGGCTGAAACTTTGATTGATGAGCGTAAATGATGCTGCTTCCACAAGGTTCCTATCTGTGGTGGGCTGAAGACATACCTAGGTATAGCAGAGCTGTGGACGAAGACGGGAGTGGTAGCTAGGTACGGACCGCCCCGCTATCGGCAGCCTGTGAAGGCGGAAGAGGGCAGAAGGGATCATGCTGGATATGCTTCCTTCTTATCAACCCGCATATTATGGCTGACGTGAAATCATCCATTTGCATCGTCTGAACCTCTTTCACTCACGCGCATAGTACGCATTGAACCGCACTCTGAGAAGAGAGAATTGTTATCATTCATTACCAATGCAGTTGAATCGTTATGGCTCTATCGCCAATGCATATGCAAAAAAAAAAAAAAAACGCCCAAAATGCGCTGCGCTGCTCATCTCGCTATTCGCTTTATCGTACACATATCTCGTCGTCCCAGGTGAGACTCGCTCAGTCGTCGTCCTCACCAGACTCCTCTTCTTCCTCTTCCTTCTTCTTTTGCTCACGCTTCTTGCGGTCACCCTTTTTGCCCTTGAGCTCCTTTTCCCACATCTTGTTCGCGGCGTCCTTGTCGAGATCTGGGAAGACAATGTCGAAGACCTCCTTGTACCATTGGACGGGACGGCCTTCTATGCCTTCTTTGATGTTCTGTCATGTATTAGCAAATATCCTCGCTTTCATTGAGAGCAGGAAAACATACCTCAGGCAACTCGAGCCAATCGCTCATGTTGTCGTGTGGGAAAATGACCGTCTTTGCGCCCGCTCTCCGTGCAGCAACAGTCTTCTCACGTAGTCCACCGATCCTCAGCACCTTGCCGGTAAGAGTCAGCTCACCAGTCATGGCAACATCATCCCTGATCTTCCTGTCAAGTGCCAAACTGAGCATGCTGGTCGCCATGGTGATACCAGCGCTCGGTCCGTCCTTTGGTGTGCCACCCTCGGGGCAGTGGAGATGTATCCTGGCATGCTCAAAGAACTTGTTCTTGGGGAACTCGCGAGCCAGAATACTCTTCGCGAATGAGTACGCTACACTGGTCGACTCCTTCATGACGTCTCGGAGCGATCCACTGCGCTCAAGACCGGGTGCTGATGATGCCGAGAGCGCGTTCTGCACTATCGATTCTATGTAGAGCGCTGAACCGCCCATCGACGTCCATGCCAGACCCATAGCCACGCCGGGTGGCGTGAAGTCGTAGAGACGATCTGATGTGAAGATGGCGGGTCCGACGTAGTCCTTCAGGTTGTCCTTGGTGATGGAAACGTGCACAGAATCTGGGATCTTGAGCGCGACACGAGGCTTCTCTGTGGTCTGCTCCTCGATGTTCTCTGGAGTCTCCTTGAGATCGCTCTTGTCCTTCTCTGACTCCTTTTGCGCAGCCTTGCCCTCCTCGGTGAGCGCTGCAGCTTCGGGGAGTGCATCCTCGCCTACATCGGTAACAATCTTCAGCGCGGACTTGCGGTATACCTTTTCAATGTGCTTCTTGAGATTTCGAACACCAGACTCGCGACAGTATTTGTTGATGAGTTCAACGATGGCATCGCTCTCGAGAACGACATCGGCATCCTTCAGTCCGCTCATCTCCTTGGCCGCGGGTGATAGGTACTTCTCAGCAATGGCGATCTTCTCGTCTGAAACGTAGCCTGACAGTCGAATCACTTCCATACGGTCGAGCAATGGTTGTGGGATCGTCTCATCCATGTTTGCTGTGCACACGAACAGAACCTTTGAAAGATCGACAGGTACATCCAGGTAGTGGTCCAAGAAGCTGTTGTTCTGCTCTGGGTCCAGCAGCTCGAGAAGTGCTGATGCTGGGTCGCCGTGGTTGCTGTTGCGTCCGATCTTGTCGACTTCGTCAATAAGAACAAGGGGGTTCTCTGTTTGACATTTCTTAAGCGCTTGGATGATGCGTCCTGGTAGCGCACCAACGTACGTCCTCCGATGACCCTTGATTTCTGCTACGTCGTACATACCACCGACACTGAAGCGGTAGTACTGACGGTTCAGAGCGCGAGCGATCGACTTTCCAATCGACGTCTTACCCACACCGGGTGGACCGACCAAACACAGAATCTTTCCTTCGACTGTGCCACGCAGTTTGCCAACAGCGATGAACTCTAGGATACGGTCCTTGACATCTTTCAGTCCGTGGTGATCCTCGTCCAGAACTTCTCGCGCATGCTGGATACCGAAGTTCTCCGCACTGCGCAGGCCCCATGGTAGCTGTGTGAGCCAGTCGAGGTAGTTCCTAGTGACGTTGAACTCCGAACCGTTGGGCTCAAGACCTTGTAGCTTGCTCATCTCCTCTTCGAAGACCTTGCGCACGGCTTCAGGCATAGCGAGCTTATTGGCCTTCTCGTTAAACTTTTCGATAAGCTTGTCCTTTCCATCTGATTCGATACCGAGCTCGCGCTTGATACCCTTCATCTGCTCCATCAACATGTACTCGCGGTGCTTCTTGGTGACCCTTGCATTAACATCGTCGGCAACCTTCTTTTGCAATTCCGCGCTGATGAGCTCCTTCTTGAGTACTTCCAAGGCCTTGCTAAGACGCTTCTCAATGTCCATCTCTTCAAGCGCATCCTGTAACTCATGCGACTCGGCTTGTGCTACCGCGGCGGCGAAGTCAGCAAGCTTGACGGGGTCTTCCCCAACGTTCATGGTGGTATGAACAGAGAAAGTCGAGACGTGGTCGCGGAACAGTGGGTTGAGCAGTGCCACTCCCTTGAATGTGTTGACAATCTCGTTGACCAGCACCTGGATTGTCTTGTTGGTCTTCAGATCGAATGGCTCCTCGACCATGTTCTCGACATCGGCAATGCTAACATTGCGACCCTTGAGAATAGTGGGTACGAGCGCTCCCTGAGCTGCTTTGGCCTCTTCTGTTGCCTCCTCGAAGCTAGCGACAACATCGCCCTTGGACTGTGTTGCGCCCGCCTCAGGCTCTGGAGTATCCGCACTCTCGCTCAGTGTGCTTTCAGCCACAGATGACTCCTCCTTCGCTTGCGGTGGCGACTTGAGACCAGTCATCTTTATGCGGCGGTGTGGGTAGAGGACGCAGGTCATGGCAAAGTTGTCATCAGCACCCACGGGGAATGCGCTTGTGACCTGACAGAATGTGCCCACGTCGTACACCTCGCTGGGATCGTGGATGACGTCCTTGTCGGCACCATCGTCCTTGAACATAAAGGCACCAATGTACGGCTGTCCTCGCTTGACCATGTCCGCAATCGCCTGTCCGACCTCCCTATCTCTGATTGTGATGGCCTTGTAAAATCCCGGGAACAGCGGACGCTTAACGAGCGGTATCGCCATGACTTGCGGGTAGACGTCGGGTATCGAAGGCTTGACGAGGGCTCTTTCGGCGCCCTTTCGCTTCTTGCCACCGCCATCGCCGCCATCGCCGCCTCCTCCTGCGGCGCTGCCTCGCCCAGAACTCGACTTTGGTGGTATTGGCTCAGGCGCATCGCTCTTGCCCTCGAGCTCTTCTGCTCTTTTCTGCTCCTTCAGCTTCTTGGAATCTTCTGTTTCTTCCTCTTTGGCCTCCTCCAGTGGCTCTGGTGGCGCCTTTGAATCATCCTCCTTCCGTCTACTCAATGATGTGGAGAAGCTGCGGTATGCGAAGAGTGCGGCAGGCGGCGAGGAACATCGGTGGTGCTGTCGGGCGACCAGAGATGCCGTGCATTGTGCGGGGAGATGACGCGACGAGGCTCTAGTAGTGACAGTTCTCGCATTCGATCGTGAAGCCTGGCGAAGGGCTGCCCGCCACGGCAAGTTCTGTCCGTGGAACATGATGAAATGGCGTTATGTCGGCGTGGGTGGTGGTAATACTATACAAAGAATGGAAAGAGCGCACTTGAAGATACGTGGCACTCGTAGTATGACCAGAAAATCTAATAAGACGGTTGGGTGGGGTGCAATGAAGGTTGGCAGGTTGTAGTGGCGGCGTATGAATTGCTCAGCATCCTTCCGAATCTCGACATCATCACCGCCCAAGCTCCTCCGATAGCCCCGATGGCAAAACCTCGGCAACACGCGACTCTGCCAATCCGCTGCCCACCACCATCTTTTCTCCAGTCACTGCTCCATTCTGACACGCCAATTAATTCCGAGTCTCTCCCACTCAGCTCACTCATGCCTTTTGCTCGCAGCAACTCTGCAATCCATCGTCAGGCTCCGACCTCGGCTTCTTCCAAGGTTCATGCTCGCCGCGTACATTTCCAATCCCGTAGAACATCATCGAACCCGATCGAAGACTGCGAAGCACGACCGCTCGACTTTGCTTATAGATCGCATGCATCTAGAAAGCTGAATGCGCGTTCCTGCTGCGACTATGGAAGGATCCACGTCCAACCATATCGACTATCGAACAGGCAGCATGCTTCATTACATGTTCCTAGATATATACCCCGAATATATGACCCGAACGCAGAATTGTGTACGATGCTAACCACGAGCAAGCTCAATGCGCGGGAGTGATGCTCCCAAAGACGCCCTGACTGGGGCTACACGCGTGGGTCATGGTGCCGGGCCACGTAGAGACCCCAGCCGTTGCGAACCTCATCGCGCGCTCACGTGAGGTAGTCTTTGGGAGTAAGCTATGTCACACCTTGCTGCATACGCAGCATAATATATAACTGATTGAAAAGAATGTGGTATATCGTATACTTCAACCGAGAGTAGATGGTATTGCTTGTAAAACATAAATTGAATGTAGACGTCTGACGGAACACGAATTTAGCTAGCCCCGGCGATGCTCCATCCGTAATTGGTAATCGACGATGGGGTAAAAATGAGGAAGAAGATCCACCCGTTCCCTCTTGGCTCTTACTCAGGTCACGTCAATTAGCGGACGATCTTACCACGCCAATGGTAGGTTCCACGATATGGTCACGCTAACGTCATCGCGTTCCACACATTACAACGGCATGAGGTCCGGACCGACGCCGAGCGCTGTCACAAGGCCAGCAAACTGTGGCTCAAGTACTATGAGATCACTCTTCATATTCATTCATCACTGTATCTTATTGATGCGATAGCCTTCAGCTCACTCAACCTTAACAGCGGTTCTAAAACTTGCTTACTCTACGATCGGCTAGTGTTTTGGCAGCGATATACACCATGTCAAATCACTCGTCGCTCAATGACGACACGGGTACGCTTCAAAGCGAGCCATCTTGATGACACCTTCACTAATCCGCAATAGAAATTGCATCTCTACCTCAACGCCAGAAGGAAGAGCCAACGCGCATGAAGGATGGGAAAGAGGTCGAACTTCATACTTGGTATGGTCCAAAAGACCCTGACAACCCGTGAGTCCCTCAAAATTCCGCATAATCGTTTTCGCTGATGAGAGCCAGGTTCAACTGGTCGACCAAGTACAAGTGGTTCTTAACCATCACTGTTTGCTTCATCTCCATCCTAACGGGTCTTCCTGCTGGATCTTACGGCGCCGGGAACGAGTGGATGGAAACACAGTTCAATGTTCAAAACGAGCCGTTTCCAAACCTCTACTGGGCGACGTGTTCGTGGAATATGGGCGCTGCTCTTTTCCCACTCCTATTCGTACCTTTGACCGAGAACACTGGTCGCATGCCTGGGTATTTTGTCAGTTTCGGTGGCCAAGCACTTCATCAGATTACTAACAATTGTGAAGGTCGCCTACATCGTGTTCGAATTGTTCCTGTTCGGCTCAGCCTTTGCCGATAATTTTGCAACTCTAGTCGTTACCCGTTTCTTCGGCGGCGGCGCATCTTCCGTTTCCATCAACATTGTGGGCGGCAGCATTAGCGATGTATGGAAAGGCGACAAAGCCCGAAGTCTACCAATGTCCATTTTCGGCTTCACTTCCGTAGCTGGCATCGCTCTTGGACCCTTCGTGGGTAGCGCTATCGTACAGCTTGGCTATCCTTCCACTGGACTGCAATCCCCCTGGCGATGGTAGGTGTTTCACATCCGAGAAGTGACCCAACTAATCAACTCCCAGGATTTATTACATCCAAATCATCTACAATGCCGCTCTGATCCCAGTGTTCTACATCATTCTCAAGGAAACCCGTGGCGACGTCATCCTCAAAGCGCGCGCTCAAAAACTTCGCAAAGAAACCGGCCGCGAAGTCTACGCAGAATCAGAGCTCGAGAAGCCCTCGATAGCCAGTTTGCTCAAGGTATCCTTCATGCGACCTACTAAGATGCTATTCACTGAGCCTGTCGTCACCTTCTTCACTCTTTGGATCAGTTTCGCGTGGGGTATCCTCTTCCTGTTCTTCTCCTCAGTCGTACAAACCTTCAGCGTAAGCTATGGTTTTGGCACCTTTCAAACGGGTCTTGTTCAGCTTGCCATCACCGTTGGAGCGCTCATTGGTACGCTTATTAATCCCTTACAGGACTGGATGTATCTTCGTACTGCTTCCAAGAACAAGGAACGGCCTGGAAAACCCATCCCGGAAGGTCGTTTATATACCAGCATCCCTGGTTCTTTGCTCTTCACTGCGGGACTGTTCATCTATGGATGGACATGCCGACCAGATATTCACTGGATCGTGCCTGCGATAGGCATTTGCATCGTTGGCGTGGGCATTTATTCCATTTACATGGGTGTAGTCAACTACCTCACTGATGCTTACGAGAAGTACGCCGCTTCTGCGCTTTCAGCAGCATCGCTCGGTCGCAACACATTCGGAGCCTTTCTGCCCTTCGCCTCATACTCGCTTTTCAAGAACTTGGGATTCGGCTGGGCTGGCAGTCTACTGGGCTTTGTCGGATTAGCCTTGAGTCTTGTGCCTGTAGTGCTACTCCTGAAGGGTCGTCAGATTCGCGCAAAGAGTCCTTTCATGTCGGAAGCCACATTCGACGATGGAGATGACGAAGAAGCGGATGATGGCAAGAATAGTGCGAGTCATCGAGGTACATTTGGACCAGCGGGCGTCGCAGGTGGGCCACCTGGCGGAGTGGACGAACGTGTCTAAATAATGACACGGGCCGTCCAGGATAGGCGATAAAGCGTAAGTGATTTCCATGGATACATTTCAAGCTTTTGAGGTAGTTGTCATCAACATGTATGTTCTCTCCTATCATTAGTAGGTGGCAAGATGTTGGATGTAGCTATTGCATTGATAATAAGAACAGACATCAATTAGTATCGGGACTACAAATAAGATACCGGCATGTGCGAAGAAGGCAAAAAAGGATCACGCCTGCGAAACCCTATCGGCGAAAAAGAAAATACGGTAATTGATGTTTCATGCTTCATGCCTTGCCCCTGCCCGCCTTCCTAGCTGCGACGCCCGCGATCTCAATCGCCTTCTTCAGTACCTGACCGTGCTCATCGTCTGAGACCTCCTCTTCAGATTCGTCATCCGAACTAATGGCGTCAGAAGTGCCAGTATCAGAGATTTCGGACTCTGAATCTTCGTCCTCGGACGCGTCATCATCGTCCGAGACTTCGTCTTTGGAGGAGTCGTGTTTCTTGCTCGCGATCTCGTCCTCGTCGCTTGAGCTCATATCCAAATGTTCTTCCTCCGAGTTTCCGACCTCAGCAGCGTCGCTCTCTTCTTCACGCTCCGTCTCAACCTCACTCTCGCTCTGGACCTTTTCTCCTAGACCGCCGCGCATCTCCACTCCGTTCTTCACTTGCTGTTCTGGCTTGCTCCTATCTCTCTGCTCATCCCTGTGTTCATCATCTGACACCGACATCACTTCTGGCTCCTCCACGTACATCTTTCCTCCACCCCGCAATCCTGGTCCTTCACGTTCCCGAGACTGTGTCGAGCTCGTAGAATCTCTTTCTTTCTTCTTCTTGTCTGACGATGAAGATTTCCGACTGATTTTGCTGAATGCCCGGGATGCGACAGATGACTTCCGTTTAGGCTTCTCACGACCGAAAGCCGACTGCTGACTGCATTGGCTATCCGCAGAAATACGGGAATGCGCGCTGAGTTTACTACCGTCGCGTTCAGAATAGTTCGTACCTGAGCTGTTCCTGCTATTATTGCTGGAGGCGTTCGAACGTCGCTGTACTTGGGAGAACGACACTCGACTCTCATTGCTTGACGCAGCCGATGATGTTTGAGCCGTCGCGAAGGGGTCTTCGGGGTCTTTGTAAGAAGCAAATGGGTTCTCTGGTGTGTTTTTAGGCATGACTCTCTCTTCGTAGTCGGCAGACCTCAAGGTGTGATTTCCTTCGCCATCATTCGATGCGGCGTAGGCGGTAGAGTACATTGACGAAACAGATTTCTCGGTGGAACCGTACGACCGTATTGCTGCATTGTCGGAGAAGGGGTCGACGTGGGCCCCCTCGGCGATTGACAGCATCGTCGCGTTAAAGTCTGGCCTTGCCTGATCATTCATACTCATGCTCCTAGAACTTCCTTTACTGCTGCAACCCGTCTTTTCGTCCATGTTGGGGCTATTCATACCATTGGACGCGTCATTCGCGAAGGTATATGCTCGCTTAGGACCAGGTGTGAGCAACGTCTCACGACTATTGCGCTCACGCTTCGACTTGGAGGATGTGTCGGTTCTCCGGCGAGTGCGCAGTCTTTGAGAGTTAGAGGGCCTCTTGTCGTCTAGATCAGTATCTTCGTCATCTGAAACTTGTGCCAATGAGCGGGCTTTTCCTATGTCTTCTTGTCGCTGCTTCTCTTCAGCCAGTCTCTGTTGTTCAGCTGCGCGCTGCTTTTGTTCATTGGCCTGCCTTTGCTCCTCTGCTAAATGGTCCGCGTCCTCTTTCTTCTGCCTTTCCGCCATTTGCTTTTTCCTCTCCGATATCTGACGGCGCGCGTCTGCAGCTCGATCCAGGGGCTGAGTTGGCTTGATCGCTCCTGTACCAATGCTCTGTTTGCGCTTGACGTATGACTGGGGGCGTTCGATGTTCGCGTTATTGGCGTCGACAACCGTAGCCATACTGTCAGACGACTTGCGTTTGTTTGAGCGTGGTGTGAAATGCAGCGCGGGGCGATTGGGCTTTGCCCATTCTCTGGTGCTACTATCAACGTCGACGTCTGTCATGGGGTCGCGCTCAAACTCTGAAGGATCTCGGAGTATTTCGGGTATAAGTGCATTCGATGTCTTTGGCAATTTCCTCTGCGCCTTACGTCGTGAGGGTTCCAACTCGCCCTTCTCAATCTTATCCCATATTTCCGACGCTGCCGTCTGATCTGAGTCATATGCGGTACTCGTGGGCTCTGATTTCAGCCTTTTGGTCACCGTGCGCAAAGGCTTTGGACAGAGTGGCTCAGGTTGCTGTACCTCAGTGGATAGGAAGACTCGTGCCGGAGGTCTAACAAGCCCCTCACCTCCTGAGTACTCAATCTCCGGAGTATGCGGCAGTGGTTTCGCGGCCGGCGCGACGTGTGTGAGAGCCATACCCTCGGAGCCGTACCACTGACCGCTATGACATTGTTTACGCGGACCTTCGAGATCATGAAATTCGATGGGCTTTTGTTGCGAGAGACCGGCGATTTTGATATGGCGGGTGCGCTCTACATCGTGGATTGTATAGTGCACGCGCCTGTATGCCCTGTAGATGTAGAATGTACCGAGCGATACCACGACGATCACAAAACTGACGATGATTGCTGGAAGTACCGCTAATGCCATGGTTTTCGAGAGAAGTAATCAGGGGAGATAGATAGTCGAAGTAAATGCCTGATGGTATGAAACCGGTGGTAATTCTTCGTTGCACTTTTGCTGGAGTGCGTACGAAGAGGTTTTTGCGAATCTGTTGCGGAAAAGATGTAGATATTGCTCTTCACAAACTACCTGTGATCAGTCTCTGGAATTCCATTGCTGCAACAGCTAGGACCATGTATTCGGTGAAATGTGCGAACACTTCAAGTGTGCGCTACGAGGTTCATTTCGCCATCTTCACATATCTTGACGACGTTCTGAATTCTGCTCCTGATTGACTATATGTTATCATTCCTCAAAGTGATCACACAGATGCGGAGATGTCAGGAGTTGTAGGAGTATGTGTATTTGTTTGTATTATTTTCATGTATTAACACGCATGCAGAGCTGCGTAACGAGCTTCGCCTCTACACGGGGAAGTTCTGAATGCTCTTCTCATAAGCAGACATCTAGTTGCAAGTACCGGATCCGCTCTGGCATCCGGAACCGCAGTGACCTGCAGTAGATCCGCACCATCCGTACTGCGAGCAGCAGGTACCGAATGTTGAGCCAGCGCAAGTAGCACCACCCTGGGTTCCGCAAGTGCCATCAGTAGAGACCGTCTTGGCCGGGGTGGTTGAACCGCCACCGCTACCACCAGTGCCAGTGCAAGTCCCGAAAGCAGAGTTGCAGCCGGCGCTGCAGTGATCAGCAGATGATCCGCACCATCCGTATTGAGAGCAGCAGTTGCCAAAGGTGGATCCAGCACACGTTCCCTTGCCTGAGCCGCAAGATCCGTCAGTGGAAACGGCGGTACCGCTGCCGCCGCCGCCGGTGGCAGGAGGGGTAGTAGAGCCGCCGGAAGTGGCAGTACGGTACCAGTTCGCCTCGGGCTCACCCATGCACTCGCCCATGGTGACACCGCGGTAGCCCTTTGACTTGAGGTACTCGAGCATGTAACCAGTGAGGTTGAGAGCAGTCTGCTCATGAATGTCGTGGGCGATAGCGAGGCGATGGCCTGAGGTGGGACCACCAACGGTTGTGTCAAGCTTGTTCTTGAAGTTGTTCTTGGCAACCTGGATGTTGGATAGCTGGTTGTAGTCATCCGTGTCCAAGTCGAAGTAGCTAACTACGTATCCCAAGTTCTTCATCACTGCTTGGCAAGCGTCGTTGCAAGACGAGTAAGGAGGACGCATGTATGTGGGATACTTCCCGATAATGTTGCGAATGGCCATTTCGTTCTTGACCATCTGGTCGTAACGCTGCGCATCGGTGATTTTGCTAAGATCCTGGTGAGACCATGTGTGGGATGCGACTTGGTGACCTTCGGCAACCATACGCTTGATCACGTTGGACCATTGCGCTGTGCTGTCGATTGCGCCCTTGCCGAGGTTGATTCCCGTGACGAAAAATGTGGCCTTGAAGCCATATGTGGCGAACTGGTCGAGGACGCGGTCGGTGTAGATGTATGGGCTGGATTCTGATTAGTCGTGCTATCAATACATGGGGTTATGAATGAGCCTACCCATCATCATAGGTGATGGCGACAGTGCCAGCCTTCTTGCAGGCGTAGACACCACCTCCTCCGTATGCGACGCTGCCCCTCTGAGGACGGGGATCGTTGCGTGTGCTGGCTCCACCAGGTGTCTTGTTGGCATCGCAAGCCGGGCCAAAGTCAATCAAACAGTCAGGAGCTTGGCAATGATCTTTCGTCGTTCCGCAGTATCCCTAGAGCAAGTCAGCTATTGTAACAATCCAAGATCTAAGATCAACATACGGCACCTGAGCAGCAGTAACCCGCAGCGCACTTGGCGTTACCGAAGCTGGGTCCACAACGACCATTCTGACCACCTTGGCGAGTTTCCAACATGCCATCCCTTGGCTGAGCAGGGTGTCGAAGCACGCGAGCAGCGACGGGAGGTTTGAAGTCGGCTTGCAAGTCTCTCGGTAGACCAAACATCTTGGGTGCCCCTTGGACTCCACCATGAGCAGCCACAAGAGGCGCCACAACACCGACGGTAAGGATCTCGGAGAAGCGCATCTTTCCAAATAATTAGATAATTAACAATAAGACCAAAGTCAAAGTCTTTAAAGCGAGTGACAGCTGCCAAAGGAAAGTATTGGCAAAGTGAGAGACTGATAAAGGCCTGCGTAGGAACGGGGCGCAATAAAATAAAACAACAGCAGCAGCAATATACTTATAAACGCCAACCCCGGGCACCCATCTCGATGCATCGATAGAAAAAGACCGGAGAGCATGACGTTTCTGGCAACTAATGAGCGTGCGAGCTAGGTATCGCAGATCAAACATCGCGCATTATAGCCAAGAAGCGCTCGCGCCGGCACAGCTCAGAACGAATACGAAGGAGACGGCGGGCGTGGCACTCGGGATGTTGGGGGAGATTTCCACATGGGCTGCGCCCAGAGCATGACTACCGTACTTTGGCGTACGATTGGGATAACAGTGCTGCAGGCAAACCCCAACAACGCATCGCTACCACTGTTAGGCCGGACCATCGAATTGCCGCCGCTGTCATGCTGTCGTTCATGTAGGGGCCGGATATAGGAGGGCTCCCAGCGCGATAAGAACGGCGATAAAGAAGCAATTCACAGTTGTACGACGGCGCACCTTGGCTTCAACAAGCTGACTATTCGGGCGACAGAGTTAGGGGGAAAGTCGGGTACAGAAGTTTGCCAAGATTCGGGAGCATGCAGCGGCGGAACCAAGACTTGCCCAGGCGCGCCTAGCGATGCTGGGCTGTTCTAAAAACAGAGCTGCATGCATGGCGTCGACTCGCCAGTGCCTTCTGCATGCGGCAATATTTGTTTACTATTGATTTTTGACACTGAAGTCTTTGCGCCTTTGCGTCTTTGCGCCTTTGAGTTTCGGAGATTTTGGACATGTGCGAGGAATCTGGGGAAGAGATGATGTAATGCGGTAGTTAGATCGGGGCTCCGCCACGCCATCGGATTAGGTAAGCGCACTGGCGCAGGCGGATCGTGAGATGGATCCATTCTCACTGGTCTAGCCCTAGTGTTGGCTGACACAATTTCATGCCCTCTGACCGTATCGTCAAGATTAGCTCGAGTGATTTTACACGTCTACCTCAGGTATCAATACTATGCCCTCGTATTGCTACTTGGCTTTCCCCGCCCCACCTCTCCACCTCATACAGGAAAAAACTGAACAGGTCTACAGACTACAAGCTCCTATGTTGACGATACTTCTCTTTTCGAGAGGACCTCTGCAGACTACATCAAGATGAAGGCACGCGAAGTGGGTGACCTAACGTCGATGTATGCTCCAGGGTGTTCAGTTTTTTCCTAGGCTGCCGTGTTTCCCCCGTCCACTCCTTCTGCCTTTGCCACTCCCGCGTCCTCGTGTCGCAGGCGCCTTTTTCCTTGGCGAGTTCCGCTCAGTCATATCCGTCATATCCGTCTCACCATCGCTTCCTTCGGCAAAGAAGTGGCTCTTGACTTGTGCGTCACTTTTCCTGGCTGCCTTACGCCTCGGCGCTGAACGTGTGGATGGCGGTGGTGTTGGTGGGTCGGAAGGAGCCCCAGAGGGTGTGTCGTTGTCAGACCCTGATTCTATGGCCGTAGACTTGCGATTTCGCGTGGACGCTGTCAGGGGTTTGGCTCCGCGACCACGTGGACGTCCACGACCACGAGTTGCAGATGCGGTGGTCGACTTACGACTAGTGGATTTTGGTTGAGGCATATCATCCTCTTCGTCTTCTTCGTCGCTGTTTTCGTCTTCTGGAGGTTCAGGCGCGTCCATATCCTCGTCAGTACCTTCATCAGGACGCTCGCTGGATTCGCTGGGCGGCTGCTGTAGCGCCTGCGTGAGGGAGATCGGTGTGCGATATGTACCTTCCGCCATGGGCCCGCGTGACACGTCTTTCTTTTCGCCGTGGTCAATGGTTAGATCGCCATCCTCAAAATCATCTTGACTTGCTGGTAGAAAACCACCAGTCATGTCATCATCGTGGTGTGTACTCTGGTGCGTCCGTTCAGGTACGAAGCCACCGCCAGAATCAGCGCCATCATCGCGCATGAAACCGCCCTCGAAATCGGTGTGGTTCTGAAACACTTCCCATTGCGACTTCTTCTCCCCACCGTCTTCTTCGGGTGACACCCTCTTTTCCTTCACTGGCAATTCAACATCCTCCCCATACTCTTCTCGCATTCTTTCCACGATTCTCAGTCCACTCGCAAACTTTCTCCACAGTCCCAACAGAAACTTCTCCCTCTTGTCCCTCTCTTTACGCTGTTTTTCCGCCTCTTCAACTTCCCAAGCATCAATGAGCATGTCTTCGTGCTCCTGTGCAATCACAACACCGGTTATCACAGGAACAGCGCGTTGCTTTCCAAACTCGAACCCGGTACACGCTTCCGCATGGTCTATGTTAAGTTTGCGACATATGCGCGCCGTACCCCTGAGTGGAACATGAACAGCGCCTTTCGGCACCATTGTGGGCACATAAACGTCAATGTTTCCGTATGAATTACGTGGGATTTTGCCGTCAACAATAGGATCAGGAATGATCCAGTCCGTCTGCGCTTTAGAGAAAAGGCCTTGTTTCACTTTCTCGCCTTCAAGACGTTCCTGCTCTTCCATCTCGCGTTTACGTGTTACCGTAACAGCTCGCCTAGGTACGAGCTTGAGGGGCTGTTCACCCTCCCGTACCTCTCGACCTTCTTTGTGCCAGGATTCTTGGGTCTTGCAGTTTACGACGTCCTTTCGCAGATATACTGGCTCCGTTTTCTCGTTACCGCTTGTTCCGAAGGTAAAATGTCGAACGAGCTTGGCGCCGGGTATGAGTGCTTCCTCACGACGCAGGTGGCGCTCCAGCACGTATTCAGTAGAGTTCTTATAGCCCTGTAGCGTTTCCTTTCCGCCTTCGTGCATCTCTTTCTTCTTTTCTGGTTGTACGAAGACAAGATCGCCTTCATCTTCAACTTCGTCCCATGGCTGACGCTTGCCGTGAGGTCGTGCATAGGGTCGCATGAGCGACTTTACCCAATCCCACTCTTCCCACCGTTTGACCTTGCCGCGTTTGTTGTGTATGGGTATCTTCTCGATCGGCATACGAACGCCCCTTGTCCGACCAGGCCACTTGGGTACATATCTTATAGTGACATCTTTTGCTGTGCCGTCGGAAGAGAAGGCGATAAAATAGGCTGATACCTGCCTCGACCTGTCGGCCGTTCCACCGCGAGCGTAGAACTCGGAGAACTTTTCTGAAGAAGCCGCACTCGCGATTATTGCCTTGGGAAGCGGCGAAACTGCTATAGGTGTATGGGTGAGATGAGAGATGACCTCTGTCCAGTAGGTCGGAAACGGTAGTTCATCGCGCAAGTTGCGTGACTTTGATGCTTTCTTAGCAGGCCGCTCATCTTCGGAACCGGAAGAAATAGATATGACACTGCTCAAGTCGCTGCTATCATCCGGGTCAACTTCAGCCGTTTTGCCACCCTTGTTTGTAGCCGTGAGGGGTTTTGCTTTGCCGTTTGTGGTTGCTGGTTTCGATGGAGTGTTGTTGCCGGCAGGTTTTGCATCCTTCAGTTTCTCCAAATTCTTGGCCGTTCCTTCTTCGCTCTGATTCCAGCCGTAACCAATTGGCTGTAGACTAACTATCATACGGGCCTCAATGCCTAGCCCTCGTACCAGAGCGGTGAATAATTGCTCTCCCAAGTCTCTGCTTCCCTCACATTTATGAGCTTTGTCGCGAAATGCTTCTAAGTTTTCCACCCGCTCGCCAAAAGTATCGGGATGGTCTGGGTCCTCTCTCCAGGTATTAATTTCGGCTTCTAGTGTCGATGGCGAGAGGTAGCCCCGTTTGCGCAGGCTTGGAGTTGTGACTTGGAACTTGGACTTCCAATACGCAGAGAGGTATTTGAGGAGGCGAATCAGAGGATCTCCAGCTGACATGTTTGGAGCTTTCGGCTCGAGTGGTTCAGATGTGACGCCCCAATCGCGGCCTTTGCCAGCGGCCTTGACATTGCCCCTGCTCTTGCCAATGGGAGCCTTCTTCTTGTCTTCGCGAGCAGATGATCGCTTCTGCAGGCTTTCGTACACTTTGACACCGTTCCTCCCACTGTTCTTCCACGTACCCTTCTTATCTTTCGTTACCTGCTCAGGTGGGGGACTCGGCGCCCTCTGCGCAACGACAAGACTAGGACCGTCTGTGATTCCGGCGTCGCCCCAGTACCTCTTCAGTTCGCGCCAGCAGCCGGCCGACATACCTTCCACTAGTATTTTCTGCACTTCCTTGTCTTGTATCCAGGCGTTTCTTATGAGATTATGGTACATCAGGTACTGTACGTGCATACAATGTGTAACGTTTCGTATTTGGCGCTGGATCTTGGATGCGCCCTTCTGTCCATCCGCTTTCGAGTCGAAGGCGGTCTTGGGCACGGCGGACAGGGTGAGGGCGATGTCTCCAGTGATGACAGGCGCAGCGCCATGATCTGGTTTGTTGGTATTCTGCGCACCGAGCGCGTCTTCCCAGTCGTCGGCTTCGCTTTCCTCGCTTTCACCATGGGCCGCCGCCTTTGCCTTCCTTTTGCCCTTGTTTGCGCCGTTCAGCGGAACGTCTTCGAATTCATCTTCGCTACTCTCTGGCTCTGACAACTCGCTGTCGTCATCTTCTTGTTCCAAGAGGGCTTTAGTCTGGGCCAGCGTGAGCTTGGCCTTTGGCGGTGCGTCGAGGGTCTGGAAGACGGACTCTTTGCCTTTGCGAGCGGATGCAGTAGATTTGCGAGTGCGCGCACGCTTCGGTGCCGATTCTGTTTGCGGTTCGGCGGATCGCGAGCGCTTTCGGGAGAGGATGGGCGGCATTCTGATGCCTGGTTTTCGTCAACGCGATCGTGACATAGGGGCAGGCATGGTGCGATTTGTTTGTGAGGGTCGAGGCTAGATGGCTGGAATGATGACGCACTTTCCCCTGTTGGGATTCCGATCTGGCGGGACGATCTTGTGCAAGGACCCACAGTCGCGTAGCGCCTTTTCGCGCTGTCACGAGCGTCTCACGTCACATCAGGCACATTGTCCAAAGTTCTCGCATTGACATTTTACTACTCCAGTCCCGAGCCAATTTATCCCGTGCATCATGATTGCTTGTTTGCTAGCCCTGATCAAGCCCGGTCTAGCCTACGAGTCTCATAGAAGCCAATAACCCTCCTCAGACCTTCTTCCAAAGTATCTCTTCCCATTGAGAAAAGGAAGCGGAAGTTGCCTGGCTTTTCATCATGATATGCGTGGCCGGCCGACATCTCTACGCCATGATCATACAGCGCCTGTCTCAGTTCATCCTCACCCTGCCACGTCGAGCTCCGTAAACACGCCGAGAGATCGATCCAGAGGAAGAATCCAGCGTTACTAGGCCACATGGTCCTGTCAGTCACTCCTTCAATGCAACAATTTGAAAACGCTGGAGCGTACTTACGCTTGCTTGTTATAGCGAATCCCAGCTTCGTCAAGTCCCTTGGTGACAAGCTCTTGGTGTTCACCCAGCACCCTGGCACTCTCGGCTAGAAACGGGTCGTGCCACTCTTCGTCCTCAAGTATAGTGGTGGCTATAGCATCAGTCACTGGTGATGCGCCATGGAAACGCCTGCCAAGTCGAGAAATTAGCATTCCTAACTGTACCTGGGTGCCCAAGTAGACGTACGCTAGAGACTGCACAGCTTGACCCAATTCTTCGTTTCTTGTGACCAGACATCCTAGTCTCAGACCGGCAGCGGCGAAGTCCTATCAACGGATCAGTTACAACAGTTGTTTCTCGAACAGAAGTGACCTGACCTTCGACATCCCGTACATCACATGGACGAGCGTATCATCGATGATACCGGTCTTGGCAACAGAGAGTACTGATGTAAAGCCTGGATGAGACATATCCGTTCGATACACTGACTGAGCATAGATTTCATCGCTGATGAGATGTATCTCATGCTTTGCACAGAAGCGTAGTATGGCCTCGAGAGCTTCATTGGTATAGCACTGCCCTGGAAAGATGAGTCAGTTCGACGGTCCTTTACGAAGGAGCATGGTACGTGCCAAGAGGATTATGCGGGTTGGAAATGACAAGTGCTTTTACGTCAATTCCGTTTCGGCCCGCTTCTTCAAGGGCGCGTTCGTAACATTCGACCGCTCCGGTAATGAACTGATCTACGCCATGGAATGGGGTATAAACCAACTTGCAGCTGTACCCAGTTCAGTGGCAGTCAAAATCATGTGGTAGCGACACCAGGGGTGGCGAGAACGCGTGTCGCATTCTTTAAAGAATACTTCAAGGTAGAAGTATACGTTACCTTACAAACTGTGTAGTCGTCAAGGTTTAATAGTATGCATGGAGCAACACATGACATGAATTCCAGCCACCCCTAGTGCCGGATAAAGACTTACTTCGACATGCTTCGCATATCTGGGTTGAAAGAACCGTATATCGGCATGCCAAGGAGCAAACCTTCATTCTCTCCATCTGTCAGACATAGTGACAAGATGTCGTTCAACGCCGTCACACCGCCAACAAAGGATACTTGATCCATCACCACAGCTGATGCGGGCAAGAAGCGCTTGTTGATGAAGGTAGCCATTGCTTGTCGTAAGCGTTTAGAGCCAAACGGGCCGTCATGATAGGTCAAGGTGTCGAGTTTAAATGAAGGAACGCACTACACTGTCTGCTAAGTGAGTTCCTCTTGTTCGAGTGCAAAGACCAACCTTGGTCTTTATGTAGTCAAGGACTTCCTCGCGCATGAGAAACTATTCAGTATATCAGTTTCCAGACTTAAAGTATACAACAATGACATTAGACTTATGCTTACGTTCTCCGCATTTCTGAAAGACACTAGACCTGCTGGATGTTTCGTCTTGTCGTAGGGAAGATCACGATCTTTCGTGTAGCTTGCAGCCAGATCCAAAGCCGCATAATTGCGGCCACGTGTAGAAAGCATACTCTTATAAGGGTGAGTCTCAGGTTTCTCGGCACCTGATTGCGAGATGGTGTCGGTTCATGAAGCAATGGCGCATCTGAAGCTCTGATTCGCAATGCGGGGCAGCTGTCGCATGCGTGCCAGCTGTACGTGGGAGCTACACAACATGGTACCTGCCAAAAAGGTCAAGTGCATCATAGACTGTGAGCCATATGAAAGGCGCAGCAGGCAGGCATGGTAGTGCCGAGTAACAATAGGGTGCTCTTTGGACGAGCCTTGCTTACGGATATTTTCGACTGCTGCCTGGGAGGCCGCCCGCCTTGAACATCGTGGAACGCCTCAACGGACGATTGGACACGAGATGTGCGCAAAGCATGTAGTATCCGCTACCAGTGTCCAAACGGGATAAACGCCAGATGAGACTCATCAACCTGCGATATGAATAGTACCAACACCGGCTGCAGTGGTTGCCTTGTTGCGTTGACGTGTGGCCTGTTGTGCTGAGGGCTGACTTGGGAGGTGTCGCGCCGTTATATATCGAGTGCGCATCCTCAGCCTCAGGGAATCCGTCTGAACCTTCTTGAAATATCATCCTATTTTGTGATGATGTTCAACGTCTTGTCATATTTGCGAGGGCGCACTTGATCGCCGCCTGCCTCTACGAGAGCCACTAAGCGACACGTCAAGCAAGAAGATACCAGCAGTTGCCGAGCTGGGAGATACAAAACGATGCGTGAGAGGAGTTGGAAGATGCAGGTGAACAGACATTGGGCAAGAGCTGTGAGTTTCGCGCAGGAACGCGCGATGACGCACGTGCGCACGTGATGGAAATCGACAGCAGGGCTGCGGTATACCTCAGCTCTGTTGCTATCGATTCACGGCGCTAAATTCTGGACAAGTTGACAGCAAGTCGCATACCTTGCGATCAACAGCATTTCGATAATTTGCACTGTACCAAAGTCACGAGTTTAGGGAGTTGAGCCGGGCACAACCCCTCACGAAGTCTCAAAATGGTATGGCGTAGGTACCCCGTCGGATTGATCGCTGCACGGCGCCGTCGCTCTTCTCTTCGTCACAACCACAATTGCACGTTGCATCGCATCAAGAGTGCACTTTTATCGCTGCTAACTCAACAACCCAACCAAATCGCCGCGAAAGACGCAGCGAAATCGCCAAAATGCTGCTCGACACCTACATCATCAACATAGCCACACCTGCCCGTGACCTGTGGCTCCTCAGGCAGCCGGCCTCCCTCCCCAGTCCTCTGCCCTTAGCATGCATCTGCTGCGATTGACCTTACGCCCTCTTCTCTATTTTTTTCCTACCTGCGTTGCTTCTCTTCACCATATAGTACCGACCTTGTTACAGTCTGATCTTGCATACTGTTGACGTTCTCACACTGTAGTTCCGTCATTCTCGTCGGTCCCCACATCTTCCTGTCCTTAGGCATCCAGATACACACCGGAGCATGTACTCGCTGCTGCTCTTCACAGTAATTATTACTGCCCTCTCCCGGCCAGTGGCAGCGTCAAGCCCATTCGCAGACCTCGCCATGTCTGACACTCCTATGGATGGGACCTACTCCGACATCGACGACATGCTATGCGAGCTTTGCTGCCTGCCCTTCTACCAATGCATTCACGCGCACATGGTAAGACCCTGAATCCCTCACGATAGAACCTGCTAACAGTCCCAGTCACAAATCCGATATGACGCCGCGAGCCCTTTCTACGTCGATCCCAGTGTCTTCCTCATGCCACCGCTCGGCTTTGATCAGACGCAACCAGACCTTGCACCGGTCTACAACTTTGTAAAAGCGGGGCAGTCGCTGCTCAGTGAGAACGTCCGAGTCATGGATGCGAACGAGACAACGGTGCAGCCAGTCACTGTACAAGCGCATGTTGAAGATACCTACAACCCTGGCGATCGTCTAGCGACACGACGCAATCGGAGGACAGTTCATAAGCGACAAGCACCTTGCCCGGGTGGTTTCCGTTGCGAAAAGGATGACTGCAATAAGACTTTTGACCGTCAATGCGATTTGAAGTAAGTCCTACCATCAGATCAAGCGTACTCGATCGCCAGTTGACCTTCTTAGTCGCCATCAGAAGAAGCATTTGACCGCGCCTCACGTGTGCTTGACTTGTAACAGTCGCTTCATGTACCCGAAGGATTTACGGAGACACCTACCACAACACAACCACTCTTCGTTGGCAACTGACAAATACCGCTGCCCATATCCCGGCTGTGATAACCTCGATGGATTTTCCCGCAGAGATAACCTCCTGCGACACCAACGAAGGCAACACCCTGCCAATTAGAGATGGCGTCGCCACATGAGTCCTCATGAACATTCATTTCTTCCGCAGCTACTGTATCACCACAAAACTGGGGCTGAAGAGGCACTGGCGTTTGTATACATATTTCCTTGGCTTTTAGCAATACCCCTTCCCTGATTCCATAGCAAGCGCTGCTCATGATTTCTGTGGCCTCGCGCTTTACTACATCGTCGCTCAAACGTTACGCATTCCTTTGTCTGGTTAACACCAAAGAAAGGTGGTATACATGAGTTTCTTGATAGTATTTGTTACATGATCGGTTTCTATTCCGCAGCAGAATGTACAGCTGGTATGCTCTTGTCGACGTCGATACTAAAATAAACATCTGCCTCGCATCATAGTCTCTTGGCATGTTTGCTTGAAATCTTGCATACCCGTGACTTGTTTGAGAGTTGGAAGTTTCTGAAGGTCAAGATGTTGGCTGTGTGCTACTCTGTCTTCAAATATCTAAAATGTATAGTCTGCTAACCAAAGACCATGCGTGAATCCATGAGATATTGTCCAAAGTTTATAGGTCTAGATACTTCCCTGCAGTACTGTGCCACTAGAGATTTTGTGCGTGCGATCTATCCGGAAACTCAATCTGCTTCAACAAATCTTGTGCCGCAGCTCGAACGCCGTCTTGGTTCACAAAGTGCATGTCCGGTAACACCTCCCACTTTGCACCCCATACTAGGAAGGAAGGAAGCGGATATTCGATCCTGGTCCAATCTACATCCCCCCCACCCGTCACCAAACATCCACGAACTCGTACTGGTGCAAGCTCGTCTTGGCCCGGCGACCACGTGTGGTGTATAAGGAATAGCGCATGGAGGTCGTATCTACCCGTTCCCGTCGGATTACCAGCGCGAACTAGATTTAGCGTACGCAAGAACCCTACTGCGTCGCGAAAGATACCAAGCCGCTCATTCGCCGGCGAGAACATAGAGGGCGTGATGGGGGGACCGCGTTGGCAGAAAATCGCGGTGATGTAGTCTCGCAGTGGTGACCCAATGTGTGTATTCTCATACACCCACCTGACTACTTCTAGTCGACAAATAAAGTACCTCGGTTGCATCAGCGCCATTCCCAACCTCAACACCGTGTTTTGAGTCCTCCAGATCCCGAGTTCGCCCGCCAAAACCCAGAGTTTCATCAAGTCTAACAATTTCGTGTCGGTCGTGTAGTCAGGGGGTTGGCGCTCGTATAGCCATTTGAAGAGGGTACAGAAATTATCGGGCTCGGCGTTGGAGAGGAAGATGTCGCTTAGTGTGATGCGCGGCAGGCCGTTGGGCATAGTGAATAGAGGCGAGACTTTTGAGAGAAGCGAGTGATGTACATCGAATCGTGTTGGATTGGTTGTTGGGCCGACAACGAAGGTTATGGGTACACCGACGCCTGGGTAGGCCGTATAGGGGAAGGTCAGGGCCATTGTTCGTTCGAACAAGAAAGATGAGTAGTACTTTTGAATAGGTCTTTTTCGCGTCTTGTAGTAGCCGGATGTATTTGAATACTCTGAGTGGTTGCTCATGGTTGTTCGCAGAGCTCTTTGAGAAAGAGGAGAAGTGGATTAATACAATTTGGGATAAGGCAACAAAGCTAAATAAAGAAAGATAGTGAAAGAATATCTCAGAACGTGGTGTAATCCACACACGAAGTTTCCACGCACGGCTACACACTATTCGAATTTTGTGTTGCCTCCAGACTTGTCATCCAACAACGAAGATCTCGTCTGGTCCAAGTCGAGCTGCTTCTTGCTCATGCGGCTTCATAAGGTGTGGAATGAATGCAACGCCGCAGAACTCAGCAGGACCTTCTCCATGGAGCGCGCCGGTTTCGTGCTCGGGTTCTGGCCATCGTAGTATATGAAGGGGGAGCTCGCTGTAGAAGACACAGACTTTGTCACCGGGCTTGCATCCTGGCGTGGCGATACCGAAGCGGCCTCCAGTGGTACTGAAGAAGGAATGGCCGGTTATAATATCCAATCTCTCTGCCCAGAGCATCGCCCGCATTTTCCGCTCAGCTGGGAGTTCACCATGAAATCTGATATCTCCATCTCTAAAGATATTCCACCCGTTCTCGTAAGCCTTCACTGCTTCCCTGGAGATCCTCGTGTCCATCAGTAGAGTCATTAGATACTCTGAAGGTATACTGTCGATATCTTCTTCTGCATCGTGAGCTGTTTGACGAGCCAGGAGGAGACTACGGGTATAAACATCCACGTTTGCCGCATGTACAGGATTGCTTATATCGCGCGTCATATGTGGGTTGTATATGTAGTCGTGACATCCTCGAAGCTCATGGTCCTCCACGACCTCTGATATTGTATCCAAAACATGACCGCAAGTGTAGAGGCAGTCATTTCCCTCCCTCGTGGAGATAGATCTGCGAGATTCATATTGTATTGATAGTGGTCCCGGGTCAATAAAGTGTTGCGTTTGATCCCCTTCTTCTATGGTTTCTTGCAGAAGTATTTCGTATTCCTGTCCGCTTACACGGATGGTCCAAGCACCTTCTATCAAGAGCAAGCATGCTGGAACACCCTCCAGCGCGGGGCACCAAGACGGAGATGATTGCAGCCTCTCTCCAATTGTAGGCGGAATTTTCAGTAGACACAGCGTTTGTTCTGCGACTATGATCGTCCTCGCGAACCGCATGTGCGTTTCCCAAAAGTTAGCCCGAGCTTTGTCGCTGTAATCAACTCCTGGGTTCAATTCTGATCTAAGATGATCGCTCAACAATCCGATGATTGCCCAGGCTCGATCCACTGGCTCCTTTACATGTCGGTTGCGTAGCTTATAGAGAAGGTAGGGTATATTGTGGATGAGTACCGCTCCGGTTGACACAACGTCCTCGCGGTATCTCCTTAAGGTCAAGAAATCTTCGAAAGATGATCCAAAACTGCCAACGATATTCAGAAACTGCAGAAGAGGGGCCATGTATGGTACCGTACTAAAATACCCTTGAATAGTGAAATCAAGAAATTCTTCAAACCTAAGCCACAAAGGTCCGAGCAGCATAATGGGTTCTTTTGCAAGAACCGCCTCCTGGAAAGTCCATAAACGTTTGAACCACTCGTGCGTGCAAAGTTGCAGCATACCATGCCAGAAATGCTCGTCGTTGACAAAGAGATCTGGTTTTTGAATCCAAGGTTCACTGTTCTGATCATGATTGACCATGGAATTCCACTCCCTCATGTTTTTCAATGCGTTGGAAAACCCGAGCATGAATTTCTCGCTTTGCGCTGTGGGAAGACCCATCCATATAACGACGAACGCAGCGAGGGCGTAGATCCGATGCATCAACGGTATCTGTACCGCCTTCTCTTCGGAGTCTTGCTGATTGATGCATATCGAGTCCAGCCAATACAAGCGGTTCGGGTCTAGGTACTGAAGCATCTCGAAAACAGTAGGAGTAACTGTAAGGTTCTTCCCATTGCATGGAACGTTGACAGAAGCTTTTGCTGTCCCCCAAACATATGAGACTGCGTCATATTCGAGATCGTCTTGAAACTTGTGTGGCGCAACGCTCAACCGCAAACCATCGCTGCCGCGATGGATGGAGAGAAGTCGAATTTCATCAGGCTGCAGAAGTCGCTCGCCATAGGGTGATGTGGTATTTGCGCTATCGCAGGCTTCATCGGGTTCTTTCAATGCGCACTCTTCGAATTTTGCTTCCAGACTGTCAAGTGCCATTGAGGAGTCGCTGTTCGCCGTTGCGCGATGTTTTGTAAGCTTCCGGGACGATGAGGGATGAACTGCGGGGGGCGCGACGCTCAAGTAGCCCCCACCACAGCTGACAGCGTGAAGTATGGGGGCCAAATGTGCCTGTCTTGCAACATGAAGTCATGATGCAGTGCGCAGCATTCCAGCATTAGCTCTAGATTGGCCATCATGCGCCGATTGTGTGAAGCATTATAGCGAGCATAAAGTCGTAGGGGTGCACTACCTAGGAAGCCCGGGCCGATAAACTAAACACCACTTGACTACACAAGGCCTACACTCGAGGGTCGGTTGATACTAACAAGGTCATTTTATCCAGTGTATACTCTAATTGTGCGGTAGCTAGGAGGCATTCGTTGTTTTCTACGTTAACGTAGGACAAAATAAAGTATAGTGTATGTCTAGGGTCTAGTATAATAATTAGAGTACGACTCGCTTTGAATCTTAGGGTCTACTGTATGCGTTGTTTTGTAAGACTGCATCCTTACGGTATTAATAATCGGACCTCTCGCCCTGTATTCCTTCTTTACGCTTGCCCAGGTGTGAACGGATTGAAAGAACGCCGCGTGGTCACGTCCTGCACTTTTCGCCCAACGCATTCGCCCAATGGAACTGCTGCTTAAGCCGATACAAATATATTGCAGCAATCTTGTCACATATCTTCATTCTATGATTCTTCCTTACGAACGTAGACATCATGGCCAGTTACTATTCGGCGGCCCCTGCAGCTTGAAGTAGCCCGGCTGCAGCTTCTGGAAAACCTCTGTCGGATCGTACTTGCGCGCGATAGCCCTCAGCTTGTCCGCACTTTCCCCATAGCTCTCAACGACATTCTGAAACTGACTGGCGTAGTTCATGTAGATGTAGTCATTGACCATATCCCTGCGCTTCGCCTCGGCCTCCATCTTCCTGACAATGTTTGCGTTCGCCTTCAACACGCGCTCATCGTCCTCCTTTTTGTCCCAGCGGCTACTCAAGTTCATGAGGAGAATTGGCCCGTCGGAAGGTGAAAGGCCCAGTGCGTTCCCGCCCTTCTTCTGCATCTGCTCGAGTTGTGCGACGGTGATGACCTGGAAGGTGTTTGCAGGTAGGATACCGGCAACATCTCTGATCTTCTCAAATTCTTCAAAGGTGGCCTCGAACATGAACTCGACCATCTCATAGTCCAGTTTGGATGAAGCAGTCCAATATGAGTCCCGATAGCCTTTGGGGTTGCTTTCATTCAGCATTTGCGTGAAGTTGGCCAGGGTATTCAACTGTAAAGTGTCCTGGAAGGCGGGAACTTTGCGGTACTCGTCGAAGACTGGCGCATCGATAACCGGGTCAGAGTACTCCAGCTCAGCAACCGCGATCCTTGTGTTCGTAGCGGCATCCAGGAAGATGGCCAAGAACTGAGCAGCTTTTGGATCGGCATTTTTGTTCGACCCCAAGTTCACGAAGGCATCGATGGCAGCAGGGAAACTAGTCTCGAAGAACCTTCTCTGTCCACCAAGCATTAACGGGCCGTGAGCGAAAGTTTCGAGATTGAAGGTTGTGACAATCCCGACATTATTGCCGCCACCTCTCAATGCCCAGTACAGGTCTGGGTACGACTTTGGACTAGCTTGTACGATGCGACCCGAAGCGGTAACGACCTCGAAAGACGCAACGTTGTCGCATGCCCAACCGTATTCGTTAGAGAAGAACGAGATGCCGCCTCCTGTCGTGAGACCTCCGATACCAATAGCAGAGACGCGGCCACCTATCACCGCAAGATTGTCCTCGGCAAGAGTTGAGTAGATGTCGTACCAAAGGTTACCAGGTTCAATCGCAGCAACCTTCTTGTCTTCCGACAGGGTGATCTTCTTCATGCGTTCAAAGATAACAGTGATGCCACCATCATTGCTCGATGCACCGGTAAATGCTGCATGTCCTCCACTTCTTACTGCGAAAGGGCATTGAGTAAGGCGCGATAGCAGAACGAGTGTGGAAACGTCAAGTGCTTCTTCAGGTTTGAAGACGCAATACGGTTGTGCTTCGCGCTGTTGCTGTGACCAGAAGTAGTTTACAGCTGCGCCATAACCTGTTTCTTCTTGAGTCTCAACCTTCGCATCACCAAAGATGCGTTTAAGAGAGCTACACTAAAGTAGTAGTCAGTATCATACTTGGCAAAGGATAACGCACAAAGGCAGGTGAGACTTACAGCGACCAAGCAAGAGCCCGAGCTGGTTCGCTTGGATAGATCGGCTAGACTCGGAATAACAGAGACGTTTACACCATTGTCCAATAACGCAGCAGTAACATTGAAGTCGGGTGACTCGAATGTCTGTTGTGCAAGTAATAAGCTCGGGAAGAAGCCCAGGAGAACGAATTCACAAAATCGCATCATGGCTGGATGTCAAATGCCGACGAAAGAGGTGCGACAAACAACATTCCCATAGGACAACTCTGGGGCACTTTCTTTTATAACACCCTGCACTTCTTTGCCACGATTTTAAGGGTGTATGAGCCCGCCAATGTGGTCCTGCCGGGCGTAATCCCGAACAGTGGCGAGCTGTGAGACAGGGTGAGGACCTTCCTAGCAACACCATGGCTTGTCTAGATAGAAAGTTCATAGCTGATCGAGATTTAGTTAAGATGCCAGTCGAGTAATCTACGATGAGACCTAGGTTGTGGCGGCCACTACATGATTATTTTCCAAGGCCAGCATGATGGGGATCTGGGGCTGTCCTCAATCGGGGCTAAGCCGCTTCCAAAGTACGCGGGCGCACGCCACGATTGTGAACTACTACTCAGATCGCCTACAACGTCTCGTAGAACCTTAAGACACCTCAGCTTGCTGCACCTACACACTATATTCGCGCCCGTAGATATATTTCTCAGCTGTAGTCAGATCTCATGGCGTCTTAACGCAGCGGAAAAGGTTAGCCGTGGTTAGATGCGCAAAAAGATCCGATCGGTGAACTTCATGCAATAAGTCGCAGGCATATAATTCGACAGCCGTGATAGCATCGCTGCTTTTGAGAGACTTGTGAGTTTTACCTTCCAATTCGAGAATGAGGATCAAGAGGTGGTCGTTGCTCGTCCGCTGATGAGGGGAGCGGCTCGGGGGGCCGAACCAGGAAGGCGGAGTGAGGCGTGTGGGTCGACACTAAGCTTGGACTAGCAACGGCCGCCCCACTGCTCGTCTTCGCTTTCTTATCGCCTTTCGAAGTTTCCGGTTTTGCTACGCATGCTTTTTGCAAAGTTTCTGCCATCAAAGCCAACTAAGTGATGGCAGCAGCGGTAATGACCGGCGCCGTGGACCCCCATGGCCTCGCTCCTTCCCTCTGAGGCCAAAGCCCAATGGCTCTCGGGTGCTGTTCAGCCACGATTGTTTCCAAGGTCCGCAAGATCTTCCCCCTGAGATTCTTTACAGCGATAACCTATCCAAATCTGAACAACTCGCGCGCGAATTTCTCGATGAGGCTGTTGTGGGCTTTGACATGGAATGGGTTTGGCCAGAAACCGATGTCCTCAAGGGAAGAGTAGCACTCATCCATCTCAGAGGCCTGGTCGAGAAGTACGTCTCGGGATATACGTTGAAGAAAACTGAGCACATGCACTAGGGTTGGCTGCGTCACTCAGCTCAGAGCTTAGGGCATACGCCGTTGCAGACGCATATGCAGGAGTTATGATGCAGCCTTGTCCGCCCCTACCAGCACGGGTAGAGGAAACTAGGGTTTACAGCGAATACGCTTCAGGTGTTATTCCTGAGCCCAAGCCAATTAATTTACAATTCATTCACCCAAATGGCCCGAGTCGACAAGCAAGCTGGTTCTTTTCGATAGAGGAAGACGATGAGATACCAACAAGCCTAGATACTGATTCCAGAGCGTTGTACGATCGGCTGGTAGAGTTTCGTCAAAAGGTAGCGAACGAGGAGGAGATGTACCCTGGACAACTCACTACTGACTGTACACTTCGACATATTGCCTCAACCCGGCTTGCGACAACGGACGAGTGCATAAAGCTGCGCATGATCTTCCCACAGCTTCGTAAATTGGTAGGCAAAAAGTATGCCAAAGTGGTGAATTCGTTCCAAGAGGAGATGCAGCAGGTACGTTCAATTGCGCCATGACAACAGGCTGAGACACTTACTTACGTACGAGCAGAGAGACAGTGAGAGGGAGATTCAACATGCATCGGCAAAGAATAAATATCAAGATAAATCTCTACAAATCGGTGGAGATGTCAATGGCACTGTTCCAGATCTTCCCCAAACGCTAGCGGAAGAGGCCGGTCAGGCACATGCTGGACTTTCTTTTTCCATGGCAGAGACTGGAATCGCTATAGACGAGCATACCGGCGGCGATACTGAGCCTGAGAGCGACGCCAATGAAACGAATGATATTTCTGCGCATGAAGCCAGCATCCCAACACATGATCCCTCAGCTGATGTGGAACAGAACCAAGACTCCGACAAGCATAAAGATGATATACCGTTGAAGCGAAAGCGCTCACTGAGCCTACAAATCGGCCGGCAACCTCCCATGAAGAGCTCCTAGATGCTTTGCCGTCGACAAGTATAAACCTGACGACGCAACAGTATGAATCATCACCCGGGGAAGCTACAATCTGTATGGCATTCTATGAAGGAAAAGATGCTATAATAGCACAAGCATACGTTGTATCAGAAAACAGTTACTTGTTACGATGTAATAGTATGTATGCAGTAAACTGCGACACGAATTCTGGCCACTCTACCCAAGCAGCGTAGACTAGATCAATAGGAAGTCATTCTTGGCGTCTGCATGTGTACAATCAGTGACTAACGACTAGTATTCGCTACTCGTGCTGATTGGACTGGGTAGGTCCAGCTGTCGAAAGCGTGTACGAAGTTGCCTGCTTGGCTGTTATATCAGGCGTGCCTACCTAATGCAAGGCGTAAGTTGGGTACCGTATAAGGCCCGCGACCGCCAACAGTCCTCTTCACAACCTCTTCACAAACTTCCGAGCTTTCTTCTTTCATCTTCGCAGATTGTTTCCGAAGAGCAAGTAATAATGCCGATCGACTCATCAACATGGAAGGAGTACAGCAAGATGGATGCCGAGATGGAAGCTGTACAAACCACCGGCGTGTCCCTTTACGCACTTCGCTAACAGAGTAAGCTGCTACCGCATTTACCGCCGAGCAAGTCTTTCGCAGACTACTCCACAGCTGTCGAGTTACGTCAGTCTTTCAATGAGCAAATCGCTCAGATGGTCGCAGCCGGAATTGTGAACTTCCCGGATTGGACCGGGTATCACAAATCCGAAATTCAGATCCCGACACGCGATGGCACATCTGTGCGTTCGCTCGTATACCGTTCAGAGGGCAAAGAGCCAGGGCCATTGTATATATACTTCCACGGCGGAGGATGGAGTTTTGGAATGCCAGAATATGGCGAGGGTATGGCGGAAGTATTGGTAAAAGAGTTGGGCTTCACGGTGGTAAGCGTTGGGTACAGGTATGGACCTGAGCACGTCTTACCCACTGCCGCGCATGACGCTATTGATGCAGTCAAATGGGTAAGTATATGAAACATCATTGCTTCCAACCCCGAGAGGCTAATTTGTGTATCGTCAGTGTGCAGAGAACGCAGCATCGTTGGGCGGTAACCCATCCAAAGGCTTCATCGTAGGAGGGACGTCGGCTGGAAGCAATCTCGCAGCTGTAGCAGCTCACCAGGTTGTTGATGACAATTTGACCCCGAAGGTGACTGGAGTTGTCCTGCTGTCTGCCCAGCTGTGTCATCCCGAAGCAATGCCCGAAAAGTACAAACCACACGTATCCAGCTGGGAGGATCATAAAGACGGCCTGGTACTGAGCCGACAATCCGTTGAATGGTTCCTCGACAACTACAAACCGGACCCATGGTCACCGTTGATGAGTCCGTTGATCTGGAAGACCCATAGCGGCCAACCCGCTACGTATCTGCAGGTTATGGGGTAAGTGCGACATGTCGTAGTTGCCGAACAGTGTTGACAATACGTAGAACTGATCCACTTCGTGATGAGGCGCTCGTCTACGAAAGTCTCCTCCAAGACGCCGGTACACCGACCAGGAAGGAGGTTTACACTGGTTTACCACATGGCGCACCCGACTTCTTTCCCATGCACAGCGTTGCAAAGAAGGCATTGGTGGATCTGAACGGAGGTGTGAGCTGGATCTTGCAGCAGAGCTCGGGTTGATACATAAACAACAATGCAGGATAGGACATGACAGATGCTGTCGGATAGTTCATTGACGAAATCTCCTTGTAAGGACTAGTTCCAATGTCAAGATGGCACATGTGCAGAGCCAGCCCTAATGACCGTTGCTGCCCTAGGGGCTCGCTTAGGCGCGGGACCCTGCTTGGACCCAAGTGGCCTGCACGCGTTATGGCTCCGTCATAGCGCGCCTTTCTTCTTTCACCCCAAGACACACGATACGGGACTCCGTACGCACACACGACGGGCGACGTCCTGCATCGCAGGCAGAGAGCGCCAAGATGTCAAACCAACCGCGGTCGAGTCCCGCCGCGAGGCCTGGCACTCCACGCGGGGCGCGACAAACAAATAGCGACGCGAACCTCCTTTCACACCCGCTCAAACGCCTCTCCCTGCACACGGCCTCCAACACCCCGCTACCACAGTCCCCCGCCCTCAACTCGCCAAGAAGTTCCGCTGAACTACGCCGGACGCCCTCGACGCCCAACTTCAAAGCCAATGCTATCCAGCGCAGCCCCAGCGTAGCCAGTTTCCGCTCCTCCACGCCCGCCCTGGGCAGGAAAACCTCGACCTCCTCCCTCCGCGGCGACCCTCCTCGACCGGGAACGCCTCGAAGTTCCGCTTCCCGCCGGTCGTCGTTCAATCCCAATATGCAGGCGCCCATGCCGAAGAGCCCGCTGGGCCCCACACATGTAGAAGAGAAGCCACCACTGCGCGCCTGTGATGTCGCCGAGGAGTACTTCAAGAAGGAGCTGGCTCGACATGAGGGCATGGCAGGCGCAGTCAACGCGGGTACCGTCGTCATTGTGCACGACCAATGCTACGGCCATCGCTTCTCACGGCCCAAGACATCCAAGAGCCACCTCAGCTTGATCATGGAGCGACCTGAGAGAATACTGGCGAGCGTCTTGGGCATATCGGCAGCCTACGTGCGGCTGGGTGAGCGCCACGCTGAGGGAGATAACCCGCCACATCCACACCATAACCCACCCGAACGCATACCTTTCAAGATTCGCAAGACTTCGCGGGCCGTCGACATCACTTCGCAGGTCGTCACAAATGTGCACGGAACAAAGTGGATGGGCGAACTCAAGACACTCTGCGACAACGCGGAGCGAAAGCTCGCATCAACTGGGAAGGAGCTGGCCAGGGACGCTCCTGCAGTCCCTGGACAAGCACCCAAGCAACAACTACATGCCGGTGACCTTTACCTCTGTCCCGAATCGCTCAACGCCTTTCAGGGTGCTCTGGGAGGTGTCTTGGACGCTGTGGACGCTGTCTTCCAGGGAACAAGTCTAGGCGGTGGTCCTTCTAGAGCTTTCGTCTGCATCCGTCCGCCTGGCCACCACTGCTCTGACGACTTTCCCTCTGGTTTTTGCTGGCTAAATAACGTTCACGTTGGCATTGAACACGCTATGATGACATACGGACTCACTCACGCGGCCATCATTGACTTTGATCTGCATCACGGAGACGGCTCGCAGGCCATAACATGGGCGCGTAACAAGAAGGTCCAGAACATGCCCAAAAACACTCCCAACTGGAAAAAGACCTCGATTGGCTACTTCAGCTTACACGACATCAACTCATACCCATGTGAGGACGGCGATGACGACAAAGTCCAGGCAGCTAGTCTGTGTATCGATAACGCCCATGGTCAGTCTATTTGGAACGTCCATCTACAATCATGGAAGACACCCGAGCAGTTCTGGGAAATTTACGAGGAGAAGTACTTGGTACTACTTGAGAAGACCCGTCAATATCTCAAACACCACACCAATCGCTTACGGACCACACCGAACCAACCTGCCCCCAAGGCTGCCATCTTCCTGTCCGCTGGTTTCGATGCGAGTGAATGGGAGACTGCTGGGATGCAACGCCATAGCGTCAACGTGCCTACTGAATTCTACGCTCGTTTCACTCGGGACGTAGTCCGGTTGGCTGAAGAAGAGGGCACATCTGTAGAAGGGCGCGTCATCTCAGTCTTGGAGGGCGGGTACAGTGATCGAGCACTCACTAGTGGTGTATTCAGCCATTTGAGTGGGCTCGTGGACGGCCAAGTCCTGAAGGCCTCAGAACCATCCACAGGCCTCTCTCACTCTATGCGCAACAGACTGAGTGGAATCAGCATACAGGATGAAGACGTTCCCATGCAGTCTGTCGAAGCAGAGCTCACGCCCGTCAGCTACGATCCTCTATGGTGGCATACAGATCGTCTGTCCGAACTGGACGGCCTCGTTCCGCCTCCGCCTGTACATGTCTCGAAGACAACACGCACTGACCGTCTGGCCCATTTTTCTTCACCCACCCAGTCCTACGTAGCGAAAGTTGTGGATCCAACCAAAATCAATCGTAGCCTTTCCGCTAAGTACGCCTCGAATCCACTGAGAGCGCCTACCCCGCCGCCGCCGGAGGTCGACTGGGCTACTGCCGCACATGCTCTGCGTAGCTTACTGGTACCATCGGATCGCCAAACTCATAGCCACCGACCAGAGGATTTGGCTGAGGTCAAAGCCAAAAAGGAGAAGCCTGCTGCATCTGCTGCGGTTCCAACCCGCACAGATACGTCAGGACGACAGCTGCGTGGTCGTAAAGCCGCTCCCTCCTACGCTGAGCCTGGTTCGGACGATGAAAAGACATCTCGCGTAGAATCACGGGCGAATAGGCGGCAGACCATAGCGGACTTTGCCCCAGCCAGCTCAGAAGTTCCAGCTCCAGCACGCTCCGCTTCTCGTCGCATGAGCATTGCTTCGAGCGTCTCTTCCATAGGCGACAACAGGGGTATTAGTCGTGCGCCAAGTGTAGCAGCAAGCCGGAGAAGTGTTGCGCCTTCTGCAGCTCCAGCGAACGGAGTTGCCATGAAGAAGGCTCGAGGCTCGACAACGACGGCAGCAGCAGCAGCTCGTGCGCCCCCACGCCCAGCTGTCACGAAAATGCCTTCAACCCAATCTGTCAAGCCCAATGCACCTAAAGACAAGGAGAATGATGGCATGGATGCACTTACTTCAGGCCTAAAGCGGGTTACGTTGAAGATGCCCTCAAAAGAGGAATATGATGCACGGGAGAGGGAGAAGGCTGAGAAATTGAAGGCTTCCGAAGCACCGAAAAGGACCACTGCCCGAAAGCCACCGGCTGCTCGCGCTCCTCCGACAAAGCCATCTACCAAAGCCGCGACAACCGCCAAAAGGGGTCCTGGTCGCCCAGCAAAGACTTCCAAACCTGCATCCCCAGTCCCTGAGGCGCCGCAGATGCAGGTCGCTGCTGCTGCACCGCTCGAGCAGCCTCAGCCAGTACAGATGGATTCTTCTACTGTCTTGCTACAGCAGGAATTGCAAGCTCCCATGGAACAACCTCCCATCGATCGTCGAATATCTGGCGGAATCGTGCAACCGCCCACTGGGTTGCATGATATGGCTATAACACCCGAGCAAATTCGTGAACAGCTACCTATGGTAAGTTTTGACCGTACGAGATGCATGTGAGACATGAACTGACATCGTACCTCCACTTCTATAGCCATCTTTCGTCACTGTAACGGAGCCGCTCAAGGATGTTTCACCACCTTCCCGCGCCGACACGCCTCCTCCTCCACCACCATCGAATCTTTCAGAATTTGTCAACTACACTGCGCAGAATTTTGGCGGAAACTCAGAGTTCGTAACTCCGCACGACACATCAGATCCTCAGGCCTCGGCAACTTTGCAGTGGGTTGCCAATACACATGCTGAGGATACGACCATGCCTGGAGTTCCACTCATGTCACCGCCAAGCAAGAGGGCCGATTTGCCTGTCTTCACATCAAACGGCGCGATACCGTTTGCATCAAACTCGAACGGAGACATGAACGCGCCTGCTAGACCGGAGGATGCCGATGCCGAATTGAAGAAAGAGGGAAATGGGAGGGATGTCTGGGACATACCCGACACGCCAGCTCGTTAGAGTATTTCAGCACTACAGCCCCTCTACTCGGTTGCGTTTTGCTTTCATTCTTTGATCACGCGTACCGCGACGCGATACCGCGGTCGCGTTAATCAGTGGTTATTGCCGGCTTACGCAAGGCAGACTATACCTGACGTTTTCCGGATTGGTGTTTATTGGTGGACTCGATTTCAATTTAGCGAATCGGCGCATTAGCCGTGACTATTTGGAGTTGTCTTTGTAGAATTTCTGTGGGGCGGATCGTCGATTGTGGCTCTACTTTAGAATATGCGCATGTAGAAGATAGATACCCCCGAAGGCGAGTATGCGAAGGATGTAATACGAAATTTTCCATACTACAGTTGACTCTGGACCATACTCTATGGTTACCTGCACCGTCTAAACAACTCTCAATGTATCAGAGCTGACCCGACCCCGCGGGATCGAAGTTCCAACACCACCCAGAGTACCAATACACCCCTCCCACAATCGCCACAACCACCAGGGTAAGAAACCCTGCCTAAGCGCCCGTCCGAATCCCGTACTCAGCGCCGGTGTAACTGCAGTCCCCGCAGGCCGCCGCCCAAGTACATGGTGTAGCATGTCAACATCGGTGTGGGCAGGAGCGGGAACCAATGATTAGCGTGCATTCCGTATCATGGGACAAGGTTTCGGTGCGGGGCAGGCCAACGCGCGACATGCGCATCATGCACGTCCAAGGGTCTTAGCGTACACGGGGCGTGACGTACTTCTGGGTCGCGGCCTTGATTGCGTCGTTTAGTTGGTTGCCTGGGAAGATCGTGTAGGAGGGTGAAACGTACATGAGGATGGGAGAGGAGGTGGTGCGAGTAGAAGTAGTGTACTTAGGTGGCTGATCCGACGGAAAGGTTGGTACGCTTCTCCTTCGCTCCTGCCTGTGCACCTTTTGACAGGACGCTTGGACGTGGTTTGTTTGCTGGGTCCGGTACTTGATTAGGGCATAAGCGTGGGCTAAGGTGCAAGTACCCGATTGACCTTGATCGAACCTTCCACTCTACTCTTCCTTTGTTCAACTTGTTCCCTTCTTCTCCTACCCTTTTGCCTCCCTCCCTTCGACAACACCATCGACATCCACACCAAAAGTTTCCATCTACACCCCAAACAAACCTCACAACCATGGCCGACGCCGCCCCCGCCAACGACTCCAACGGCGGCAGCAGCACGCTCAATCCCTTCGCAAAACGCACCTCGCACTCGGACCAGTCCATCCTCCTCTACAAGATCACGACCACAATCTCATGGCTCCTGCTCGTCATCTCCGCCATCTACACCACCTTCGCCGCGCCCTCAGGCCCACACTCGCACAAGTTCTGGCACAACAACCCGCAAACTCCGTTCGCGCAGTCCAGCATCTTCACCTCCATCTACGCGCTCATCATCTTCATCCTGCAGGCCGGCTACGCATATGCCCTGTACATGAGCGACGAGACGTACGTCACTGCGGCTGCAAACCTGGGTTCGCACTTCATTGCCAACAACCTTCTTCTCTTTGGCTTTGTTCATTTGTTCACTCGCTCGCACTTTTGGCTTGCACTTTTCTTGTTGGTGCTCAACTTTGGCAATCTTAGCTTGGCTTATTTCCGCCACTCTGCTGCCCCGAGGACGATCCATGTGGGTACTGTGAGTGGACCGCTTGCGTGGAACTTTGTTGCGTTGTACTGGGTTGGCGCTATTGCGGTCCATTCGAACCACTTTGCGGCGAGGATTGTGGCGAATGTGTTTATTTGGGGATGGCTTGGGTATGGCATGTTCTTCTTGGTCGCGTACAAGGATTACACCATGGGTTTTGCCCTGAGTGTACTGTCTTTCTGTAAGTTTTGTCCTTTTCCTCTCCTATTACAAAAGAATGGTCTTGCTAACATAATTTCTAGCGACCGGTGTCGGACAGTTCCTTACTCGCCCACATCTCTTCCAGCTCCAATGGGTCTTCGCTTTCACGATCGGCGGTCTGCTCTTCGTTCTCTCCCTTGCTGTGGGTATGCCTGGCTTGCTCGGACGCGATCCCTTCCCCCGTGGTCAGATCGTCAGCGAGGACAGGGAGAGGGCACCACTTTTGGCTGATGACTAGGCGGTGGTCGAAATGGCATCACGGGTCTACTCGTGTGCTGTACCACCTGCAGATGAGGGAATGATGATCTGGGTGGGCGACTATTAGGATATGATTTTCAGGTTCAAGTTTGAGGATGTGTATACTTCACACATACACCATATTGATTTACCCATCGAGACGTACAGGCGATGAAGGCCTAGCATACCTATGGCTCACACAGTTGAAAGCGTCTGCTACCATTGACGTAGCATGGAAATCTCACTTCTGTCAAGCTTTTTTGTGTGATGTACATCTCCCCGTGATCATTACACTATCTACAAACATCTACTAATACTGACTGTCCCTTTTAAAGTAAAAGATCCTGATTCCCGTCGTTTGCCCCGGGGCTCAAAACCATGTGCTGTGGCTCATTCTGATTGACCACCCATCCGCCTCCAGCACCGCCGCCAACTTGATCCGCAATAGGACTGCCACCGAAAGTGCTTTGCCTCCCTACACTAGCAAAGTACATGTCTGCATCGCTAACAGCGTTCGCCATGCCATTGCCGTTCGTCGGCGAAAGTGATCCGTTACCGTTAGTAGCGGTGTCGAGTCGCGAACGTTCGGCGGTTGAGCGGTCTCGAGCCTGCTGTGCTGCTTTGACAGTAGGTAGTTCGTGCTTTTGGAGCGCGGGCGAGTCTTGCAGTTTACGTGGACGAGCGCTGCGGAAGACTTGGTTGACTGGCTTGAGGTACACAGTAGCTAATGTGCCGACGTTGAGACACATCTCCTCCAGGGTACCAGGGTCGAGTTTCTCGGACTCCTCGGCAGTAATGGGGGGCTTCTCGCCCATGACGACCTTCTTCGCTTCTTCGGGTGCCGAGGAGAGGAGACGCCAGTACATGTAGCCTCGGTCACGAAGATCAGGGTTGTCTGTTTCCTCAGTTGCCCACTTGAGTACCTTGGGTACTAGGTTGGAGCCGCGAGTAGGTCTCTGAATGAACAGCTTGACGGTGGCAGTGAGCAATGCCAATTGCACCTCATGGGTCTCTTCTTGGAAGGTATCCAGGAAGTCTTCTAACAAGACATCCGAGTCTTCTATTCGGTCTGCGTATTGCCCAATAACCCAGATCATAGCGGCTTTCGCTTCTGGTTCATCCAGTGAGTCTAGGTTCTCACACAATGTTGAAATAATCGACTCGTATTGGTTGGGGTATTTCCGGAAGATATTGCGGATGACAACGGTCGCCTCTTGTACGATGTATGAGACTTTCGTGCTGACGAGCGAGAGAAGGGTGCTGATGCACAACTGTGCAGCCGGCGCGATTTTGATGGCAAGTTTGCCAATGGCGCGTACGGACTTGCGCACAAAGTCGACGTCGATCTCAGTAGCGTATCTGTCGTAGAGTCAGTTACCCATATTCAAAGTGACTTTCAGGAACTTACTCAGAAAGCTCTGTCAGCACTTCCTTGATATTCCTCTCCGTCGCCAGCATAAAGATGAGCTCAAGCTTCGTCACTTTGACGTATATAGGGTCGTTGTATTTGCAGAAGAAGACGCGGATATCGTTCCGCAATACCTCTGGCCTGCGCTGCAGGATCAGGAGCGCATTGCGTAGTGCTAGGTACTGGATCTCAGGTCCTTTGGAGAGGAGTGTAACGAGCGGTGGTGACAGCTTGTTACATAACGACGTGACGACTTTCTGGTCGCTAATGTAGTTCATTAGATAGAGAATAACGCGAATGCAGGTAAGAACGACGGCAGAATTCGAGTGGGAAAGGCGTGGCGATATGCGCTCAGCGAGAAGCGCGGCTTCGCTGGTATCCTGAGGGACATAGTTCATCATAGCCTCCAGGATATATGTCTGTCCCCACTCTGAGCAGTCTGGCAGAATCTGGACAATCTTGGATGCGCTGGCATAGTCGATTGTGAGCTTGATGTTCTCACTTCGCTCCCAGATGTCCATGAGCCCTGCCAATGCGCTTGACACTACTGTGGGGTTCTCATCTCGTAACATGCCATTCAGCCTGTCGATCAGATCTGATTGTTCCACCAAGTGTCGGTCATGATCGTATAGCTTCGCCACGCAGAAAGCTGCCGTCTTTCGAACGTATGGATCTGAGTCTTTGAGGAGGTTCTTAAGGTGTGGCACGGTCGCTTCGACGAACTCTCGGACGTGGACGTAGGACATGGTCCGTAGGGCGAGCGCTCGTACTAAGGGGTTGTTGTCGTGCATGTCTTCCTGTATGATGGGCAGCGCTTTGAGCGCAATGTCAGGTTTTATCCTGGCATAGTTGACGAGATACAGGAAACACCTGCCCGCGTCAGCATAGCCCTTCCTCATGTAATCTTCACTACGCACATCTTCTTGATCTCCAAACTCGGTATGTGCATGCAGCCCACAATGTCCATGAATAGCGCGACCATGTCGTTGTTGCTCATGGTCATGTTGGCGACAATCTTCTTGAGGGCCGTCTTCTTCTGAGAGAAGTTCTTGTCCTTCTTGTTGCCATTGTTGAGTTCGACACGGAGTTCCGCAACTTTGCCCTGGGGAGTGCGGAGGTTTTGTAAGCGTGTGTTGTCAAAGGTGTAGGGTAGAAACATCATCATGGCAGTGGATGCTCATAGCAGACAGACAGGCTGAATAGGAGAACATCTAGTTGCACAAGTCGGAGACGTGGGTGGCACGAATAACGAGACGGACGTACCCTCGCAAAGAGCTTCGCATCTTGGCCGCCCTGGCTCATGTTGGGCTAATGATGTCGCGTATGCCAGCTGGGCTGTCCTCCCAATGCATGTGCCTGCCGTAGCACAATCAAGATAACCTCCCTCGCGACTTAGCGCCCCTCCCTTGCCGTCTCGAGGAAGCGTGCGGGGTTCGGTGGCTGATTCGCTGGTCTATCGGCTTCGTATCGTTTCGCGCATATCGGAGGAACGTGGAACAGGGCTGGGGAGGCGTGAACAGAGAAATGATTTGTGATGTTAAGGAACCGTAACTTTTAGGAAGCCTGCCAGCGGTCAACACGGAGGAGGGGACGTGCATCCGCCAAGGCCGCCATATGTGGAGCTCTCCAGAGGCCCGCTCCGCAACACCACGAGCGAACTTGCAACATCGTGAGACCCTGGACCCTGGCCACCGCAACAACATCTCACACTCTGCTATCCGATACCTCACCATCACAAAGACGTCCCATCATGTCCAAATCGCCTCCACCGCCCCCACAGTGGGTGCTCGACCTCAACTCGACGCCCGCATCCAAGCCGAAGAACGCCTCGCTCTCAGACCCACCAGGCTACACGGCATCTCTTACCAAGAAGGAGCGTTCTCAGGCATCAAAGACGCAGAGGCAGCCCCCGACCCCGGAAGAGATGGATACACTCAAGATGAAGAAGGCGTGGGAGGTCGCCATCGCGCCCGCAAAGCAGCTGCCCATGAACGCTTTTGGTATGTCATCCTGACAGGGTACTCTGTCAGCAAACCACTAATGACGTTAGGCATGTACATGACGGGCAACACTCTGCAAATCTTCTCCGTCTTCATGGTCTTCACGCTCTTCAAAACTCCCGTTCTCGCTGTACTAGGTCTTCAACGCACCTTCGCTCCCTTTGAGACACCCGGCACATCTGGACGACTTCTCGGTGTCAAGCTCGTTTACATTGCATGCAACATGCTGATGTTGGCATTGGGTATATGGAAGGTGAATGGCATGGGACTATTACCGACAACAAAATCAGATTGGCTGGCATGGGAGAGTGAGAGGATATGGTCGGAAAGAGCAGTACCGAAGGAGTGGTTGTGAACGCGGTCCTACTTGGAGATACGTATTCTATGATTACTGTGACGGAATAGTCGCTAAGGCTTCCTACAAGGCCATCATTTTGACTTCCTCCGTTCCATCTTCGTCATTCCTGATCCTTTTCTTGGTACCCGTCTCGTGTTGCTTCTTCTTCTAGTTCTTCTCCTGCTCTGTCTCCATCAGAGAGTGGTCTTCAAGTGGTTGAAGCCGCTACGCACCCATCCATCTCGTCCTCTGCAACCTCTGTATCTCGGTCTTCAATGATCCTTATCTTGTCGTCCGTAGACCCGGTATTCATCGCTCCATAGTCGCTTCCACCCACGGTCACAGAATCGTCTCCTGAAATTTCCCCCAACTCTTCTTGACTGGCTGATACCTCAGCCACGGGCGGCTCTTGTACGGCGCGGTCGAGTTCAGCAGCCGTCGTCAGGTCTGCATGCAGCAACATCATCAGGTCCCTTGGTATGACCTGTGGACCTTCGTGTCGAATGTCCTCAGCTCCGTCACGGAGATCGGAGATACTATGATACCCATCGTAATGTCTGCTGAGAGTCATCTCGATGGATGCTAATAAAGCGATGATTGGGTCCCCGACATCATCTGAGTCCAGGAACGGTGCAACATCACTCCACTTGGAGATGACTTGCTCCATCACCTCGAGCATACCACGATTGTCCCTTTCCACGGCGTCTTTATCGCTTGGGCCCGTTGCAGAGAAGTCTATAAGCAGGATGTCTGGATAGCCGCGGTACCGATGGTGCATGACCGTAGGGTAGAGATTGAGCATGATGTTCGATGCCTCAATCCTCCCGTGCACCAAACCCTCCTCGTGTAGGAAGTCCACGGCATCTATCAAGCCCATAAAAATATGCGAAACAAACCAGCTGGGAATACCGCCCTGGTCATCCTTATTGCTCGCCTCGCCGAACTGCGCCAAAATGGGGCCGAAGATGGGGCGGAGACAGATGTACGAAGTGAATGGCGAGTCAGAGTACTCAGCGCGTAGTACATATGAGCCGACGAACAGCGAAGCTTTGTCCCTCTTATCATGCTCCTCGAATTGCGACGCCTCATTGCGAAGCTCAACCGTGTCTTTTCGTGTCTTGACCACGAAAAGTTGCGGTAGCACCTTTAAGTGCTGCTCTGGCAGCGCAGATGTGCAATTTTCCTGCATGCTCTTGTACAAGAAGTCGCCCAGGTTCTTGTATGTGAGCAACGGCAGCTGCTGTTGGAGGCGCGCATTTCCAGATATTGTCTTGAAGGCGTCGTGGGTTTCGATGGTCTCTTCAGAAACTTCTGGATCAATCTTATTTGATGGCTCGAATGGAGGGGGAAGCGCGCGTGGTAGGCAGAGGTACACTCCCGAGGAAGATGTCGGCGCGGAGATTGTCTTAACCACGCGGAAGAGTTCAGATGGGGGTCTGGGGGAGACGTTAGGGAGACGTTTAACAGCGGGCACTTGATCGGACAATGGAGCGGAGGAGTCCATGTTTGTGAATTGGTGGTAAAGATAGTGGTAGAATTGATGGTTGCAAAGTCGGTTGCAGAGCTAGTTGCAGAGGTGAGTGAGAGGATTGCCCAAATGGGAAATCACGGTGACTGCGCGCATGATAGTGCACCAGTTCAGCTTACGACAGGGAAGTCATCACTTGCACTGCGCGTGCGAAGGCCCTCGCCGCACTAACAACGTCATACCAACTAGAACATAGCGCCTCCAGATGAAACTCAGTGGAATAACGTGTGAACTGTTGACAGCCAGAGAGAATCTGTGACTCTACCACTGGGTAAAAAATAACAGTAGATACTACAGTCAGCGTTTCCTGATGCGGATGGATAGATGCGTGTGGCACATGCATATCCCGATAATATTTTCGTCTACACTTGTGACAAGGGCCGCGGTGAAAAGTTCTCCTCCGGTGAACATGACAAGCTCAGTTTCGGACGACTCTCATTTGATGTCTTGATACTCTGCGCTGCTCTTCCAATTCTTCGGGTATCCCCTCGCAATGCGCCACTCCTCCGCCTTACTTCTCAACCTCTCGTACACACTCTGTCGCCACCCACCATCGCCATCTTCCTGGAAACTGAACGTCATTCCAAAAGGCCAATACAGCATGTTCTCAACTCGAGCTCCATCCTTGGACTCCAAAAGACCAATAGCGATATCGAAGATCTGCGGTCGTTTGCCAGTAGTGTAGAAAACCACTGCGGAACAGGTGTCGCAGAAGTGGCGATAGACATCGGGCGAAGAGTTGTAGTACTTCAGCGTACCCACAGCGGGGTCTTTCGCGTCGATGAGTTCGTTGAGGGCGTACATGTCTTTGGGAAAGGCTTTACTGCTATCCTTTCCAAAGTGTATGTACCTTGTCTCCGCGTACGTCCAGTTGAAGACGTCACTCCCGCTCTGCAGTCTGCAGCTGTTGCATCCGCAAAAGCCAGCTTTGAGCTTCCTACTAACGGGTTCGACGTTGGAGAGAAGCTCTTCTTCGGCCATATGTTTGTAGTCGCCGCGGTGGAGGACCAGATCTACCCCACCGCATTTGCAGCGTATGGGTACATCATCTTCCTCCTTCGCCTTCAGTTCCGAAAGAGTAGAAGATCGTGGCCAGTCTTCAGGTAATTCCTCCGCCCCTGGACCACGGCCGGCTACTACTCCCTCGTAACTCTTCAGATCCTCCCCATCGCCATTGAGAACACAGAGCCATGAACTCGCACCTCCATCCTCTGTGTCGGCCACAAAGCCCTGCCCACCGAACTTGATCAATTGGCGATCTCCGACGTTCGCGTTACCGAGCGCACCAGTGACCACTCCCAAATTCCTGGCCGGATCTTTGAAGGCACAGAAAACTGGGCTTGAACAAGTGGGGCAGAACAACAGATCGAAGCGCTCCCAGCAGCTGAACGTCTTGAGGCTGGAAGTGTCGACGTTGGCGCGAGGCTCAGGCCATGATGTGAGCGAGGTGTGGAGCGAGCCGCACAAGTGCCGACAGGTCGTGCAGTGGCACACATGCCCTGATAAGGGAAGAGTGGATGCAGGAAAGGTAGTACTATAGTTATGAGCGCCACAGAGACACGATGCCGTCAGAGTTACGGTCTCGGTGGAAGAAGACATCGTAGGTCTTGAGATCGGAAACGATTCTATAATTGTTGTGGGACGCTCTAGCGATGATCCTGCTAGTTATAGGATGTCTAAAAATTACTATCAGGATGAATCTCCTTACTTGCTACGTTGCATGTACTACGCAGCAAGTATGACGATGCAAAAGTGTGACCACATGCTGGTGCATGTCAAAGGGCGCGGTGTCGGATTGGTCAGCATACATATGTGGGGCTCGCATTTTCGCGTCGTACCTCGCATTCAGGCTTGGGTGCACAACGAGTTGTTGTTAGCGGCTTGGTCAATGTTGACGTGAATCCTGCTGTTGGCTAGATAACTTGAAGAGTTTTTAAATCTTGACCCCCCGCATGCCGTCGAATAGGCCGGTCTTCTGCTCATCGGACATGCCTTTTTTCAGAAGACCAGTTGCATACTCGCTCTCTCGGCCCCGCTGGTTGCTCACAACCACTATGTCGCCTCGCTTGAACTCACATGTTCGGCCTGTCATACCCGACATCCACATCTTCACACTGCGAAAATGAGGGTTGTGTAGCAGATCGGTCCCGTACGCTGATGCCCAAGGCGCATCTACGTGCCAAGGGTCTAAAGAACAAGATAAATATGGCGCGAAGGACGTGACAACGACGATTTGTCGCTCATGCTTTGACGCTCTGGAACGTTTCAGTGCTGACGCGCCGCTCGGTGATGCATTGGGGTTGTTGACTGCATTCAAGAGCCACCTCAAGTCTCTTTTATGCTCCGAGTTGTACTTGGCGACGTCCCACATCTCTATACCGGCATCCCTGTTGAATTCGAGCATCTTCCGCAGCACAGCAGATGCATCCGATTCCGGTATATTACTACACAGCGCGCAACCAAGCAATGTTCGTATCCGGCACGTCGCTTCCCGTCTCGTATAGTATCTCCAGTTTCCCCTTCAGAGAAGGCTCTCTTTCCATCTTGTGCGCCAACTGCAAGCCGTCCATCCAACTAATGCCGCAGATCTCCAAAGGACCAAGGACCAGAAATACCTTCTCATGAAGGCTACACCGTCGAACGAGATACAGTTCATAGTCTGTTAGCCTGCCAACATCCCTGGCAAGCATCAGGAAGGGCGCCGCGACGGGTACGTGGAACGTGAGGTATTGTGATTCGTAGTCTTAGTGGAGATCTGATAGGACCTGGAAGGAGATCTTCGGATTCGAGGACAGGCCAGACAGGCGTCGCAGTTTGCTCGATATCATCGTCGCGGGGGTGGCTGTACAGCAAACTAGGGTTAGGAAAAGGTGAGAATGAGCGTCGCGATGCACTTGACGATTGTACCGCTGGTAAAGAGACTGAGGGGGCTGTTTGGACGAGAGAGGGGCTGATGAGATCAATGACACTCATGAATGAAGCGAGAGCAGCCCGAATACGGAAACGAGGGCTCGTCTTGTTGTTAGGACTGAGCGCAGCTGCGCCATGAGAACCGATCGCGGTCCGCAGCATTGCGGCGCCTGTGCTACTTCCCAACACCGTCGGGATCTAAAATGAACAGAGTTGCGACTGTGCCCATCCTTCCAATCCTTTCGATCTCTGCGAAGATCCACTGTTGGGCGCAACGCGACTGTGCGACGTATTGCTGTTGGAACTTGGTGGCTGTGAAGAGAACGCTCTGTACCTAAGCATGCCCAGGTGGGATTGAATTAGATCCCGTCTAGGCCGAGTCCGGATGGTGCGGTTTCGGCCCCGCGTCATCTCCTTCATCCCCTTCTAACCCAGCGGCGCCAGCCTTCGCGACGGCGACGACGACGGCCTCTACAACCCTCAGTTTGTTACGATCGTTCTGCTGGTGTGCGCGCATTGTTTGTGTTCATTTCTTCAGCAGCCCACTGAGCGCGGATCTGCCATCTCAACCCCAACCTTCCAATCGCGGATGACGGGCTTTCCCTCGTGCCATGAGCTGTCCACAACGCGACGACCACAGTTGTAAAATGGAGGAATGTATAAGCTGAGATCCTCCATTTGGATATTATGACCTTCTTACGGCGTCGTTCCTCAATGTACGCGCCAGTACACGCCGACTCCATCCGAACCTCGCGGCCGAACACATCGAGTGTTATCCATTACTTAAAGTAGCCCAACGCCGTCACAAGTACCGGCTGATCAGTATCCTATACTCTCGACTGGTTGTTCTGTACAACCGCATGCGATATATGCGTAGGAAGAAGCTCATGATCTCGGCTTTCATCACGCATGATGAACGATCGACATTACATCTCTGACAAGAGGCACAGCAAACTACGTTTTCTGTAGGCGAAACAAGACGCACATGCAAAGGCAGACTCTTGCATTGGCATCGAAACATGGCTCGGTACGAAGAAGAAGCCGTTGAGTATTGTGTGTTATCCGGCTAAATGTCAATCGCCTGGCGGCGGCGCCCTGGCCTGCAGCTTACCGGTTCACTGCAGTTGTCTGTCACATGCATCACTACCTGGTCGCTCTAAAATTCGTTCTCGCTCGACGCCTCTTCTCATCTCGCTCTGTAGTGCCGTTCGCGGTGTATCGAATACGATCGCCAGTGGTCCTGGGAGCATATGCCCAGATCTACTTTGATTATGAGGCTGAAGAGCTAATGTATCTCGGTTCCACCATCGACGGGTTGATATTGCGGTCGCAGGATCTACAGCCTGCAACCTGGGACCGACACACTGGCAGCTTCTAAGAATAGTTGTATTACCTGAGGACCTTTCAACTGTTCCCTATACGAGCTCGGTATATTGCCTGTGTCTGGACTTGCCGGTCCTTTCGGCCGCCGTCTAATATCCCGCGTGTTCATTGTTGTTGACAGACGTATGAAAGCCGTTCAGAAGCAAGAGCGTATAGTGACCTACACAGCTCAGCAGTATACCGAAGTTGATGACCTTTGATCCTTTGTAACCGATGCGTGTTGAACCCAGGTATCCACGAGCATAAGAATCTGTCTAAGCCCTTGTGTAGCCTGGCTACTACACGAGATAATTTCGGCTCTGCGTTCAGCTGCACGTGCAATATACTTCACGTATTACGGCAGCATTCCAAACCAAATTTCGCCTCCCGTGTTCGCGTACCCGGTAGCCAGGCACCTCTTTCTCATTATCTTGCTCGGCATTAACCAATCGCCTAGCCTCCGATCTTACCTCTTGGCTGTCAGCTCCTGCCTTTCTGGAATCTCGACCTTCCAAATGGTCTTTCGACTTTACACCCGAATATGATACGATGAAGATGCGGTCAGAAGCTCTTGATCAGCGAAGTGAATGCCATATGGCATGACACAGTATATGCAGGGTAAACAGCGGCCGCATCGATCTGCGCCCTGATACCAGCATCCAGGATGGCCAGTGGCAATTATGTCTCAATCTAAAGTATCACTGAAGCAAGATGTACTCCTCAGGGCTACTCAGAGGAAGTCTATAAGAGTCTGAGTCCACGCACGATTGTTTAAGTCATATCAAGTCCTTCACTTTGTCTCTCCATAGTTGTTGCACCATTATCATCAAGCAAGATGAAAGCCTTCTCTTACTTTAGCTATGCTCTCTTGGCATGCATGCCCCTCACTGAAGCTCATCCGGGGATGGGAGATACGATGGCAGAGATGCGCTATCTCGCTGCCCGTGAAAAGCGACAAGCATCAAAAGAGCTCATTGGCGACCTGAAGACACTCGCAGACTCCAAGCTCACTGCCATTGGCAAAGACATCAAAGCCATCATCCTCGACCAGAAGTCTGCGGAGTCTGCCACCATTGATAGCTCTATCCCTGCTGGAAACATCGGCAGCGCCGCCTGCAAAGCCGACATGTGCTGTCATTGGAGGTGGCTCGCGTACGAGATGACGGCCAAGTTCAATGGTACATCAGGCCGCTGCAGCAAGTTTGCTCGTCAAGCTGTTCGTCTGGGCTTCCATGACGCGGCCGTATGGTCTAAGAGCAGCAGTTATGGCGGTGCTGACGGCAGTATTCTCCTCAGCGACGAAATGTCGCGTGTAGATAACAACGGCCTTTCTGCAATTGCCGACCAAACGAAGAAGTGGTACACCAAATACAATCAATACGGAATGAGCATGGCAGACATTATCCAGTTCGGCGCCAATGTCGCCACTGTTGTCTGTCCACTTGGACCCAGGATCAGAACGTTCGTTGGACGCAAGGACAATAGCAAAGCTGGGCCTACTGGTCTTCTTCCTGGAGAGAAAGACTCCGCAGACAAACTCATCAAGCTTTTCCAAGATAAGACTATTGATGCACACGATCTAGTCGCGCTGGTCGGAGCGCACACCACATCGCAGCAACACTTTGTCGACACTAGCCGCGACGGCGACCCACAAGACTCTACTCCTGGTGTCTGGGACATGGCCTTTTACCCACAGACGACAAACGCTAACACACCTGTCCGTATCATCAAGTTTCAAAGCGACATCAACCTGAGCAAGGACTCCAGGACGAGCGCTTCTTGGGCGCAGTTCAGCGTTCGCGGTACTGCTCAGCCTCAATGGAATGCGGTATGGCTTGCCAGATACCCGAGACGAAACTCAGCTAACACATTGATGCAGGACTACGCTAAAGCCTACACACGTTTGTCTCTTCTTGGCGTCAACAACATCAACGATCTCAAAGAATGCACTAAGGTTCTGCCGGCGGAGCGCCCTACATTTGTCAGTGAAGATCAGGTTTTGCTTGACAGGTGGCTCGCAGGCGAATTTGATCAGCTCAACAATTTGGTGGACGACGCTATCCAGCTGACTGGCGTGATTTCTTCCAAGGACAAGAAGGCTTGAGCATACTTGACCGTTCAACTTCTTCAATGGCGACTTCTACGGTCGATATAGTGTAACAAATGCATGCCCTTACTTCTTTCATGTCTACTAAAGTATTTTCTCATACGTATCCTTAGTTCCTGATTCGTCAAGATATCCACGTTCACTGATGAAAGTTCTCGTATGCTCAAATGAGCCGCGCAGTCACCGCGTAAAGCTCGCCTTTCAAGGCTAGCCGGCACTCGCACATACTCACAGGGCATCGCATTTCTTGCAAACACAATTTTGATCTTTCTGTACCTTACTATCGAGTCTACATCATCTCTGTTTTCGATATCCATACCCACATCAAGCTCATACGATGACATCCCTCCAATCCCTCAAAGAAGTTCGCTTCCCAGACGGCCTCCCACCCTTCCTTGTGTGCAAGATCTTCGCGGAGGTCATCAATGCACACAACATAGAGCTCGAACCGAAGAACATCTGCCACGCAGATCTCAGCGTAAACAACATCATCCCATCATCTACAATGGAGAAGGAGTTGCCTCAAGTACGGATTGTGCATCTCGAGGGTGTCGCTGTGTGGAACGAGCAAGCTGTGGTTCATCAAATCATGAATTTGCTTCAACATCTCACAAACGGCGAATCATACAATCCAGACGAATTCCTCACCAACAAGAAGGGGGATAAGCTCAAAGATAGTATTGGCAGGAGTTTGAAGGATGGAGATAGATTGTACTCGTTCGTTGCGGGTTACGAGCCAGAGGGGGAATTGTCGTGGAAAAACCTCAAGAGGAGGTGGAGGACTCTGGCTGATCGTTTGGCCAAGGAGCTGTATGACAACGGGAGGTCGGCAGACGTCAGGGAGGCTCTTTGGCATGCAACAGTTACGGACGAGGAGTAGAGGGATGCGGTGAAGGACGGTGACATAGACGTCATTATTGACGGAAGTCTGTAGATTAGTGGCGTCTGCAGAAGATATTGGCATGTATAGATATGAATGAAACTCTGAAACCCGAGCGCGGTATACGTCGAGCTTGCCATGGACGTTAGGGAGATGATCAATCATGTGGGCTGATGTGCCTGCCGCAAGGTCATTACCGCTGCGCAGTTGTGCGATTGCGGAACGCCCGGATGACTATGATAGTTTGCTTCCTACTAAGTTATATCTACCCCAGTACTTGCTCTTTTCAAGCGTCAGTATCTGTCTCACAAATATCTTCCCCATCCTCTATGTCTCTTACCGAACTCCCAATCCCTCGAAGCGCCGACTTGAAATATAAGTCTCTCAAGTGCTTAGGCAATGGCAAAGATGGCCATGTAGTTCTTGCTGTTCCACGTTCTGGTGACCAAGATTTAAGCTCGTGCGTAGCTCTGAAGATTCTGAAGGGCGACAGCATTACTTCCGTTGCTAGAAAGATGCTCGAGAAGCTGAAAGGCATGGACCGTGATGAAGACCACCTCATAGCTACCGTACGCGACCAACAAGAAACCATACGCGATCAACAAATAATTGAGCACCCTGAATGGCACTGCATGAGCTATATTCCAGGTTGTAAAATTGAACAGCTGCTGGACGCAGTGTATGGTGACGACGGAATGCCACCTACCGTTGTCTTTCATATTCTTGCAGAGCTCATCCGCGTTCAGCGCCATCTGAAGAAGAACGGGCTAAATCACGCCGATCTTGCTGCGGGCGGTAATGTCATGCTTGGAAACAACGGTAACGATCCATGGCCCTCTGTGACACTAGTCGACTTTGGTGGTATCAGCGATTACAACCAGAACAAGCAGATACAACATGTTTTTCAGTTGATTGCGAAGATGACACGACATCATAGAGCCATTCCGGAATGTTGGAAATTACCCAGTTTCCAAGACGAAGATCTCGAGACCGCAGAGAAGGTTATCACAACATGTGATCGGCAAAAGCTGTCGCCCGACGAAGAGCAGTCGCGAGCGTTGTGGGATCTCTGGAGCGTGGATGTAATACGCTTGGAGCATAACTTCAGAGATGAGGCAGCCCTGGCGGATCTAAGAAATGCACTCGAAAGTTCGAAGATTACAGAGCAGGATGTGGCAAGAATGGCGACAATACTGGAAGTGAAGATGGAAGTGTGGAGATTCGATGCGGCTTGTGTGGACGAACAGGTAGATGAAGAACAAATTGGCTGATTACGCCTCATCTCTGAGCAAATGCAACGTTGGTACTACAGTAAGTTTCCAGGTGATCTCCCAGTAATTGATGTTAGCCAAGTTGAAGTTGCCATAGACTCCAATACTTTAGCAAGTTCCGAGTCTCGTGCACGCATAACGAAGCAGAACTCTCGAAGCTTCCCAGTATTCAGTCCGAGTCTTCTGCCTGCATAGTCACTGCCTAGACTTCATTTCAAGATTCTGCATCCGTCTGATTCAGCAGCTCATTTGCGCGAGGCATGTCCCGGCCCCAGCATGCTGTTTCCCAAATCGCTCGGATATACATCGCTGGGCATATCGACAACCAGAATTCTAGACTTGGCATGGCGGGTATTCGGTGCAATTCAGCTATGACTCAGCAGGTATTGCGGTTTTTCGGCGCATGGTAGCCGTTCCCTCGTCCGTTGTCGTTCACAGATCCCTCTGTCATTCGCCGCAAGTACTCTATCCGCTTGTAGGACGTCGCCGGCGCCCTCGTCTCAAGGATTTTCAAGTATCGCAGAGGCTTAGGGGCTCAGAGGCTATTGTTGTGATTCGTTCCGCTCTTGACGCGAGACCAAGGGTTGCCGTCAGCTGTCTGAGGTTATAGTGCATACTGGAAGCCGGAAGCTCTGAGCGTACTGCATCAGACTGGGAGAATTCAGCGAACAATTGATTGCCGCTCGCTACATCCACCGCGCCACCGTGCTACCCACGAAGCATTGTGAGCCGCCAGGCTTGCACACCCATCACCTTGTCTCCGCCACCATACCGCAACGCCCACCTATCTCCGGGTCAGTATAGACTCAAACATGTCTCCCAACGGTCTCTTACCTTCCCCTTCATCTCGTATCGCCACCGCTTCAACCATCGTCTTATATCTTATAATCTCTCTCTTCGCCTCTCACCCTCATTGGCTATCTGAGTTGCGTCAACTTCTCCTTATAAAATATGGACACGGAATACATACGCGTATTGAACTAGGATGGAAACAAGGTAATGGAGTACGTCTTGGTTTGTGTGGTTGAGTTGATAGACGGCGGCAGCTGGCCGACGCACATGGTGATGCGTACTGCTCTCCGGTCCACCTCCGACGAGATGCTTGACAAGGGAGTACGGAGGCAGGTTAAAAACTCCCGAAAGACATGTGTACGGCAGTCCGACCAGCGGCATGTCTTGCTCCGAAATCTGCTTGGAACATACGACGGAGTCCCATGCAACGTCTTTGCTGACATGCAATCCTCAGACACCATCTTCTTGCTACAGGCTCACGTCTTCGAAGCTGACGTCCCCTTCTCTGTGCCTCTTCGATATCCACCGCTTCCGGTCGAATTGAAAGCCGGGAGATGGGGATAGATCGTTCGATTTCGTGCCTATCCTACCTCGTCCGTCTCTTCGTTGCTCACACCGGCTCCATGACCCGCAATGGTGAGAGCAGCCCCCACCTTCACTGTAGGCGACACATAGCCGTCCTAGAGCTGTCAAGCATCGTCGCACAATACAAAAGTCAAGCTTCTGCGCGCTTCAGTCTAGGGGATATGGGCCTATGCATCTCTTTGGAAGTGTCGAGTGGTGTAAGTGACATCGAGAAGTTTCATGGTAGGAGAGCGTCCTGTCCGTAGTAGGTCGATGTGCTTGAAGTGAGCTCCACGACAACGATTCATCAATCCATCGTGTCTCGCTCTCCACACCCGCTATTACTCCGGCACGAAACCCTGGGGCCTGAGAGACCATATCGCTGTCGCCTGTAGAACTACGGACGAGGTCGCAGTCCACGAAGAGGAATCTCAACGAAGTACAAGTCGTACGGTAGGTGATAGTCGACTTCAGCTGACGGGATCGATGACTGGCTCTTCCTGTGGGCTACGCTGACGACTATGAGGCAAGTCAATTCACCTTCAATGTGCTCTCAGGGCATAGTACATATGCGTGCCGGCTTCGAGATTAGATTCCCGCGACCTTGTGAACACCAAGCGACAGTGAGTCAGGCGTATGCGCGTCAGGTTTCATGGTTTCGTCGTGATATCTCTAGTTGGTGTCTAGAAGGTGACCCGCATTCCCACGTATGGGTTTTCCGCCGCAGAGGAATTTGAGGCTCGCGAGATCGCGTGCAGCACGTAGGGTGCAGAGCGTCTCGCCGTCGCCAACGAGATAACAGATATGGTAATGCGGCCTGACTGTGAACGAGCATTCTGCAAGTCTCGAGCAACCATACGACAGCGAAGAAACCGAACGACTCTTGTGAAGAGTTGGTCGCGCTACTGGCGCGTTGACTTCTAGTCGAGCGAATTATCATAGGATGGTGCTCCAACCCAGGATAGCGATCAGTGTTGCCAGATCACCCTAGCTACTGCCATGCCGCCGCAGCCTATTCCTGGGGAAGCTTTTAGATGTCGCACGTCAGCGACGTCATATTCCGTCTTTGAGATAACAAAGACATCTCTGAATATGGCCCGACGATACCAGTGAATTTGGTCGTTGCGTCGAGCTGGGGCCCGCCAGTATTGTCGCTTGGCTCCTTCGCATTCGTCAGGAGTACTTGCCGTGCCGGATGGATCTATGTCTTGAGGTCGACAATGTTCGAGGAGATATAGGTCTCCAGCAATACCGAGAAGATCTGGCCGAGTTTGAGCGGCCATGTACTCCAATATGGCTTCGAATTCTGTAGGCGACATGTCAAAGAGCACTGCGCGCCCCCCGACATTCTCGACGACCTTGTGTATGGCGTTATCTAATGTTTGAATGTATGCCTCCATCTCTAGAACACGAATCCGTGCACGTCTATCCTCCTCCTTTGGTTGACATCCGTAGTAACGGTAGCCCAGGCTTGTGAAGTATTGTGTCTTGGATTTCGGGCTGAGGACATGATAGACACCTGCATCCCTGAGCCCCTGGTTACGACCGTACTGAGCCGCTGTGGGGTCAAGGTATGTTCCGGTACCATTCAACCGGGCGGAATTCTCTGGGCGACAGAAGTTATGCTCGTCGGTGGCTATGATCCTGAACATGGAGTGCCAAGCGGCAACGCGTACTCTCTGCATAGCGGTTTCCGATTCTTTCTCCTACAAGTAGGCGACCTCTACCTCTTGGTCGGACTGGACGTGGTCGATGTGGGCTTCGTGTATTTCTATCGAGGGGGTAAGCACTAAAGAGGTTAGCTTTAGTTTGGGTTTCGCTGGATGTAACGGTGGACACAAACCTTCGGTGAAGAAAGACACTGTCGGGGCGAATGCCTTCAGAACAGAGATGCACTGATTGAGTGACAGATAGGTATGTCTTGCCTTGAGGGAAAGGGAAAGGTTCTCCAGTACTGATACCGTGCCTGGATGGCCTTGCATATCATTCACGCTTATCCAAAGTGAACTTCCGCTCTCATTGGTAACCTCAGACTTGACCGACAAGCGGTTCGTCGTGTCGCTGTATTCGAAGAACATGCGATTGACGATGCGGTCTACGCGGTGCAGATCCCTGTCCGCCTTCTCCTGGACGTGAGAGCGGACGCTGCGGTATCCGTCATCTTTGAAGCGGACAGGAACCCCTGGATGGTCTGCCATTGTGGCTTGCGGTTCGGAGTCCGCTTCGCGTGTGCGAAAGGGAATAGATCGACGGCGACCGAAAGGTGTTATGGGTCTCGCGGAGGTGAGTAATATCGCGCGATATGGGAAGAGAATAGCGGGGTTTATGTCCAAAAGGTCGTTCAGAGGAGACTACGCACGAACTGAACGAAGACAAGGGTCCAGCAGTCTCACTTTCGCACTCCAGTCACTGTCACCGCGAACGACTTTTCCGCAGAGAACTGATCCCCGAACAACGCCAACAATGTCCTCTTCCGGTGCACCTTTAATCGGCGGACTTACCATCGAAGAGAATCTTGAACTCTACCTCATCGCATTCAACGCCGCCGTGGCCGCATTTCGCCCATTCTCTGTTACTTCCTTTGGCACCAGCGATCTTGGCGACGACTATACAAAGGTGACAGTCGATCTTTCGAGCCGCGGGCAGCTTCCCGAAGGAACGACAGAGGCGCAAGAGACCTCGTATAAGAAGCTGAACCTGTGCGACACCTTCTACGACATCCTTTTTGAAGAGGTCGAGGAAAGACTACAACGTAATCTTCCCGATTCTTCGTTGTTGGGTCAGAGTAGCTAACGTCTCTGCTATAGCATACCACGCCAGCGTCAAGTACGCCGTCGTTGACCCGAAGCCGACTCGTTCCCTCGTCACCCGCGATGAGAAGCCTCTCGTGTTGCACTCGGTCTTTCAGATCCGCAAGCAAGACGGCTCCGAAGTTATTTTCGATGGGACAGCAGAGCAATTTGGGTGGCCAGTATCGAACGCGATCATGAAGGGAGACGACTTTTGGCATCATTACACCAATAGCGTTAGCTCTGTAGATGGCTTTAGTACGTATGGAATGAGCCTGGAGAGGTCGAAGCGGAATGATAACGGATATTGGTACGATGTTGGAATCAGCTTGCGCCAGATGCTGCGTAGCCTCGACTGGGCGAGCTTGGAGGGCATGGCGACTAGTGATCGAGAAGATTACGTACGTGTGGAAGCGATGCGAAGGGCCCAGGCTGCTGCCCAAGCTTGTTGGGGATAGAGACACGAGACACACGGTCTTTGGTTAGCTGTAAGATCAGCAGCCTCCTGGATTGTACGTAGATAATCTGTAATCTGCAGAAAACAGTACACGCAGGGATCCATGCTTCAGAAGCTCATCGTCAGCCTCAAAAGCCTTTTCGTCTAGATGATATCAGTGTACTGCGTGAATAGTATACAAGAACCGCTGTTTTGAGCGTGCATATGTTCAGTCGTCAGGTATGCCAAGGCCATAAGTCAGCCACCGAGACATGCCAACATTGCGTAGCTTGAATCGTGCAAGATAATCTGAAGGATACTTGGACTCGGAAGAACTTGTAGGAGCCGTCAATGGTGATTGTAAACACGAGTTCATGAGTTGCTGTGTAATGATTTAATTGGTCTTTGCCCGCACGCAAAGAAGCGATCTAGAAAAGCTGATGCCGAGTCGCCTCAGCTCCCGACACTCGCTCCAAAGACTCCATAACCTTCGCGTGACCGTTACCCATGCAGGATCTAGCAAGAAGCTTCCAGTGTGTCTCCTTGTCGAGCTTTTCCGGAACGTAGACGCTGTCCAGGTAGCTTACCTGGACGAGAAAATCCCCCTTGACGAAGTCCAGGATATCCTGCTCCAAAGCATTCCAATTGCCGTCATTACCGCTCCTGATGACATCCTGCCATGCGAAACTCGTCATATTTTGGTATACACGATTGTTAACCGTTCGCACGATCGCTTCGAAGCGGAAGTCCAAAGACTCGGTGCGGGAACGTGACGAACTAGCTCCGTTTTCGCGAAGCCTTTTGAGGTGTTTGGAGTAATGGTACCCCAAAGGGAAAGACTTTACCGGCACTCTCACTGCCTTGTCCGGATATGCAGGGTAGCCCTTGACGGGGTATACGCCCGCTGGTCACAGGTACTGAGGCGCTGAGGGGTCGATATAGACGCCCTCTCCATCGTCGTTGGGGAGGTGATTTTGAACACCGTGTGTACATCTGCGATTCGCTTCTTCCCGCTTGTCGAATTATTGACGCAGACGACGGATTGGATCTCGTAGACTCCATGTATATCAACCTCTTCTGAATCGATTGGAAGGCCTAGTTCTGGGTCATAGTTTGTCTCCCTGTGCCTTCATACCGGAGCCTTTTTCTTGAGGGAGGCATGCCTGTATGAGCCAGGCTTGCCATAGCCCTTGTAGTCCGTCACGACGTTGGGGTGTCACCTGCCCCTCATGATCCCACGGATGTCTTCGAAAGCCTGAGCCCAGCCAGGTTTACCGAACTTCTGCTGTTGTAGTCCCATGTGTCGTACTATCAGGTCGTCCAGTCCCTTCTCGGTAAACTCAGCGCCAGGGACGGCCAGGAGCGCCTCCATCGTGCCTGCTGGAAGAGCAGGGCGAGCAGGAGCAGTGGGCCGTCGTCTTCGAAAAGATGTGGTGCGTTGATGAGGCTTCAGCGGTACAGGGAGAAGTACCTGAACGAGATCTCCGTGGCGGGCCCAGTCAGGACTATGTCCGCGTCGGCGTTCGGGTCGTTCTTGTTGGCTTCGTTGAAGGGATAGTCGTGCATGCAGGCGGCTACGCTCGAGACATAGGTTCCCCTGCCATTCTTCGTGTGAGGAGCTGCTCTGATTCGAATGCGACAGAGTGGAAACTGGCCTTTTGGCTTGATTCGACATGCCTCCTCGATGGCTGCAAGAGCGGTGGGCCATTCTTTATCCGCCGCCATCGTCTTTGTATTCGCGTAATAGTTCTCTGGCAGAGACCTGGATTCGTGTATTAGCTGGCTCGTTGATGATTTGAGCTTCTGGTGAACTAACTTGAGCTTCGCTATTGGATCTCCGCTGTAGTGATTGGCGCAGTCAGTCAGTATCATCTCCAGGATCTGCTTCTGAGTGACGAGGGCTACCATGTTGTTTGTGGAGAAGGAAATTGATTGAACTTTCGAAAGATGGCGGGCCAGTCCGAGAGTCCGGTCAAAGTTGTAAGTAGACAGGCTACTCTGGGACTATGCGCGTCCTCGTTAACGCGCTATTTGTGGCAATCGGACGCCCACACCGGGAGCAGATGTGAGGGCAACTCCCACTACCCCCTCCATTTTCTTCTACCAATCCGATAATTTCCCCCGCAATCATGACTACTGAGTCTCCCCAAGCCAGCTTGCGCGTCGCAGCTACCCTTCAAGCCTTTTCTCTTCACCAGATCCTTCTCGTGCACCTCATCATATTCCAAGAAGCGCTATTCGGCTGCCATATCTTCGGAATAAGGACATCATGGTTGAAACGAACGACACGACCCGGTATCCCGACAGCGCTCTTCGAATACGATCGATCGAACTTTGGGCGCCCTGATACAACACGACTTAGCCCAGAAAGTGAATGTCGCGCGGTGATATTCAACCACTATTGCGAGACATTCTGCGTTATGATGAAGCCCTTCATAACGCAGTACCTCTGTGGTAAGAAACAAGGCTCGTGTACGCTCTTGGACAGTGACTGAAGCGAGCAGAGCTTCTCGGCATCGGCCACGCGGTTACGTGGATCAGTTTTATAGCCAAACCACGTTTCCGCTTACTTGAAAATTGGGCAGAGATGGATAAACTGATATCCCACTCTTGTCTATTAATACCAGATGGTAACGGTGGGAACCACGTATTAGATGGCACTCCCGATCAATATGAACGAAACTGGAAGACACATTGGTTTATGGCAGCGAAGGAGCTTATTGCAAACTTTATGGATACTGAGTACTCGGATCCTGAGAGGCGTATTTGGACGACGAACGAGAAAGGGGAGGTCGCTATGTGCGAGTGGCTTGAGGGCACAGATTGCAGTCACGGAGACTGGATGATCAGGGACTGGGTAGTCACGCGTAGGCGTATGGAGCAGACATTCCAGGAGCTGAATTGGGAATCTCTCCGTGGGCTGTCGGACGACGATGTGGAAGAACGTATCCGTCACCTGAGCAAGGCAAAGTTTCGGGGGGCATTTGAGGAAGCGCAGTTAAAATAGACGAGTCTTCCTTACACGGTCCTTGATGCGCCAATGATTTGGTTACAGCAGACAATACAGTAAAGCTTTCGTGCATCTTGGCAATCGTAAAATCGTCAGTGAAGGTACTCCAGGCCTGCTAGGGATGCATCGACGTACCTTTAGCGCTAAAATCCAAAGACAAATTGTGGCTGCCCCTCCGTACCCTCACAGCCTCCAGGACACTAAAACACTCGAACAGAAGCCGTCCTCCTGTTCACCTCTCCATCATGACGCCGGTCACATCCACCACCACTGCACCGCCTCTGTCCCTGGAAGAGGTCTTGCACGTTTACCTACGTTGCTTCGACGCCGCCGCCGACGCCGCCCCACGAGCCTCAGCCGCATACGCACAGGCGTATGACGCCAAATCCGTGCCATTCAAAGTATGGCAAGTCTGATCGACCGAAGACCTAAAGACCGACCCGCCTACAAAGCTTGAAACCTTCTCCTTCCTGCCGCTGGGGCTCAACGAAGCACTCGCGCGGCAAAATATGTGTGACTGGTTCTGCATGGTTCTGGAGGAGGGGGTGGACAAGAAGGTCGGGGAATTGTTCCATGGGCGCGCAGAATGGTTGAGATATTGGCCGAGGGTCAACTTCCTGACGACTTGGCGCAGTCTGAGGCATAAAGCCGTGGTGGTGCCAATGCACTCGGTCCTGCGAGTCACGACAGAAGACGACGAGAGGGTGGTCATGGATGGTACCCTGAGGCAATTTCGATGGGCGCCGTCGACTTGGCTCCAAACATGACAGAGTGGTGCGTCAAACGCCTAGACACCACCAAGGGGGACAACGGCTGGCATTTCGTTTCGAGCGAAGAGAAGCACGTGGTAGTGGAGTTCTCCGTGGATGTAGCAGAGGGTTTCCGGGCTACTATCTACTGGACGTTGAAGGAATTGTTCGAAGAGCTGGACTGGATGGAGTTGAGGAGACGAGAGAGGGACGAGCGCACCAAGTACGTCAATGGGTTGGCTCGAGCAAAATTTGCTGACCTTCTCGAGAAGGCGTTCGATTTCTGAACGAAGCATCGACTGAGATGAGGGCCAAGAGGAATAGATAGATAATTAACTTTGAGATTGATGATGTTTCAATGAAAGAATACATATACGCATAATACTTGAACTATGCAAGCTATGAAGGCACAGATTTTACCTCATTACGCCGTCGGTGCCCACTTGCTCTTCGATCTGATCCTCGCCCCGAAGATGTAGAACAGAATGGGGACAGGGAGAAATATCACGCAGATGAACGCCAGAAGGCTGGTCGCCCATGGCACACCGAGTTTGGTGTACATTGCATGCGTAAACAGTGGAAAGAAAGCGCCCGCGAATGAGCGGATGAAGGTATTGACCGCGATGGCGCTGTTGGAATAGAAGCCATAGCAGTCGATTAGGTAGCTCATTCCCTGCCAGAAAGGCACCATGCAACCAAATCCGAGAAGGGCGACAGAGAGTACTTGCGGTACCCAGGAAATGTTTGGATTGCTAGTCCAGGCGAACCAGAACAGACCAACTGGAAGTGCGATGGCTCCGAGTATCATGGGCGGCAGACGTTCTTCCGGGATGACCTTGCCATGTTTACGAAACGCGCGCGTAAATCCAGTCGCTGAACTGTAAGCAATACAGCCAGCGCCCAGTAGAATGCCAACTATAAAGGCACCGAACGGGAGCTGAGAGACCCCTAGAGACCAGCCACGTTCTTCGTAGAATGACACGGGAAACTATCGGTCGTCAGATCCTGGTAGCAAGAAAGGTACGGACGTAGACTCACAGCTTCAAAAAGCAGATAGACAATGCCGTACAAGAAGCTCATGTAGGCTGTCACCAGCGCTAAGATGGGCTCCTGGAAAAACATGATGAATGGTCGTAGGAGGTAAACGTTCAGCACTTTATCGAGAGTCAACTTGTTCTCATCTGCAGCAGCGTGGTATTCGTTGTTTCCCGTGTCCTTTCGCAACTTTGCAGCTCGCAACTGTAGAATCCTGGCTGCAGAAGTCTCTGGTATGACGAGAAAGCCAATGACTCCAAATAAGCCGGCCATGATGAGGGTGATCCAGGATGTCCAGCGCCAGCCAAGATGCGACTCTGCGATGAAACCTCCAGCAATGGGTCCTGCTACCGGGCCAGCGAATCCACCAGCGGCAAAAACGCAGATAGCATACGACCTGGGGATGGGATCCCACAGGTCCGCAAGAGCTCCACCCACGACTGCCAGGGGTGCAGAGGCGAAGAGACCACCGAGAAAGCGGCCTACGCATATAGTTGTGACATTTTGGGCAAGAGCGACTGGAATCTGGAAGATAGCGAAGAGTGCGAAACCGAACATGAGTGGAGTCTTCCGACCTAGAACTTCGGACATTGGCCCGAAAGCGATAGGTCCAAATACGAATCCCTAGAACGTATGTATTAGATATTGGACCTCTGACTGCCGAGCGGGGTCAGTTCAACATACCAGGACGAACAACGCTACGCCGAGTGTGGCTGTGACCTTTTCGACGTTGAACAGCTCTTGGACAATCCCGATGTTGACACTGAATATGGAACTAGCGAATGTGACTGTGAAGACCATGAGGCCCATGGAAACTGTGATACACCATCTTCGTCTCGGCGTCCAGTTCTTCGGGTTGCCGGGGTCTTTGGGTCCATCGAACTCCACGAAAAAGCGATCTGCTTGTTCTGGTGGCATAGTGCTGTCTAAGCCTTTCTCCAGGCCATGCAAGGCGTCTTCTTCGCTCTTTCTGGAACCATCTTCTGTTACATCCAGGGTTTGCTCTGGGGACGTCCGAGGCTGTGCTGATGGTGGTGTAGACCGGGGGTCTATGCTGTGGTCTGTCGTCATGCTGGAAGAAGCTTCGAGACCGATAAAACACAGTCTTGGCTACAGCGACGGGCAACGGAGTATTTGTAGGATTCTACGTGTCGGGCATGTGGATATGTCATTATTCCCGGGGTTTGGGCGGATTTAACGATAAGGAAGCAACGACCTTCTGCAGCCCCCCCTGACCCACCTTCAGCGCCGGGCCATCTACACGAGGGGCAACTTGGCGTTTCACTGACGGTTTGGTCATGTCGCGCCATGGCGAGGCTCCGCAGCTGGATTGTCTGAACAGACCTTGACGCGAAGGAAGGATGGCGTCGTGACAACGGGAGGAGAAAGGGGGATGCAGCGTCATCGATGCGTCGGGGCCACTTTCCCTGAAGCCGACAAGCGCGAGCCACGGACGCGGCTACTTTTCCGGACGACCCACCAACTCTCATCCGACCTCTTCTCAGTCAGCCCTTTCGTGCAACGCAACCTGTCATCGCGCCCTTATGCCTTTGTTTTGTCACTCATAGCGTAAATTGCGCTCGCGCTCTCGGCATCCATTCGAAGCGAGCCAGTAGGAAACCACGAAGCTTTCACACGTTACAGGCTCTGGCAGTATGGTCTCCGCGCTGAAGCTGGAAGATGGCGTTTCGCGATTGATGCTGGCTGCTCAAAAACAGCGCCTGATTATTCTCTGCATATTGGCATTGTTCTACCCAACTTTCTTCAGGTCTTCTGCTACTACCACGCGAGGGGCGCGACGCACTCATGATAGCATTCACCGAGGATGACACTCCGAGCGATTGCGTGCCTGCCCATCAGCCCCACGCACGCTTAACACGATATCACCGTACTGTTGCGACATCCCGAACACGCCTTCCTCGCTCCAGGAACACTCAGTATCTCGGTCGTCCTCTGTTCTCCCGCATACCAGTCTAGCTTCACAAAAGCTGGCACAACAAAGAGGAGTAACAGGCGCAATGACAATGCTAGAGGAGCACTCTAGCCAAATGAGGCTATGAGAAGGATGAACCCGCAAGCCCTTGACTTCTCGTTAAAATTTCGAATTTGTACGTGATGAGTAGGAAGCGGGCATGTTGCCTAGACGAAGTTGGATCACCACTGCATTATCTATACACTACTAGCGACCTTGTCTTGAGTGTCCATTCCAGTCATCCTATCATCACCTCGGTTACCACCAGCCCGGAAGATTCCTTCGGTTACCCTCTCAGTCCTCCTCGATTCTCTTGTCTAGACTAGGTGCGCTTCCATGAGTGTCTGATTAGTTATGCAGTATCGAAATCGATGTCCGAAGAGCGAGACTCAGTAGTCTTCGGTTCCGGTTCCATCTCCGTGCCAAAGATGTTTCCATCGGACCACTGGTCAGTGTCTTCTTCGAGCCACTCAGGATACACATCACTCCGATGGATTCCTTGCTTCAGCCTTTTCCATGCTGTGTACACATCAGAGTCCTCTACGAGTGTTAATTCCCCTTTGGACGATTGTTTGAGCTGAAGAAGAAGCTTCTGGCAAGAACGTTCATACCATCCGCTCTCAACCTTGATATCGGCTGATTTGAGACAGCGCTCGATGTACTCTTCTGTCCCAATAGTGAGTACGAGAAGCAACACCCAACTGTCGTTGTGCAGCGCGTGTGGTGCCTGGGACACTATCAATGAAACGATCTCTTCCCGATCTTGCTGAGGGATAGCAAGCAAACTCTTGACGCTCATGTCCTTCAGTTGTTCCCACTGGACTTTGAACGTTTTAGTCGGGTTTATCACAGGCCGTCGTTCGTGTGCTTCTGATGGACAGAAATCCCTATGCCAGGGCTCATGCTCGTTCCTTGGTTCCGAGACAGGAGAGAGTGGATCAATGTCTTGCACAAAGCGCAGTAGTATGCCGATGTATTCCATCGGGTAAGTACTGGCGAAACCGACTGTGTCAAGTACTATGTACGGTGTTCGTAGGCCGTGGTCTTGAGCGTTGTCGTAGTGCTTCTGCTCATAAAAGCTGTACGCTTTCTCATGCTTGGCTGACCACCAGCTCGGTCGTCTTGCTGCTCGCACTAAAATAGTCTCAAGTATCTGCTTTTCTAATCTCTTACTGTGCACAGCGATGAAGGAGTTCGATGCCGTTTCTTGAGGCGCACTAGATGCTGAACTCTTGCTCTTCTTCGTCTTAGAAGACTGACCTTTAGCAGCGCTTGGAGTCTTCCCTTCCTCGGTGTTCTTGTCTTTTCGAGCAAGAGATATGAAGTGTCGAACCTCCCCTATCTCTGCCCAGTTCCGGTCGACGACACCGAGGTCAGCGTGCAGCGGATTCACCTTTGCCGAATCGATCCGAATCAGGAATAAGTCGTACTCGCGCAGGCTGCTCTGAATATCCAGATTCTGGCCTTTCATAGATGCGACGTTCTTTTGCGTTTTCCATGTATCCTTCGCGTCTTTGGCGACACGCTGAGGCCAGAACCATTCCTCCGCCACTTCTAGCAAGTAAAGGTAATTTCTCTTTGGGCCCAATCGCCTGACAGCTATGATCTTCTCATTCATGACCGGACCTGGGAGATCTTCGGGTGCCCACTGGAGCCAGAGTTCGGCCATGCCATCAGGGATTCTGATTGCTTCTGAAGCTGGGTAAGAAGCGCTCCCGCTGGTTGCTATCGTAGACGACTCAGGCTTGGTTCGCGACTCATCACCCTGCTGGGCAACAGTTGGCTCTGATCTGTCGTTGGACATGCTGTGCTTGGAATCACAGTCACCTGATCAATGCAAATGAAGAGAGGTTGATAGTAGGTATGGCGCATCTGCTTTCTTTTATGAACGCCCAGTGTGCCAGTAATCGCGTCACAAGTCATCAGTCCGGATTGTTGCAAGCTTGCTACATATCACAAGTGGCTATATCAAACTTAAGAGATGAATTGACAAATATGGAGTGTGGCAGCTGAAGCTACAGGCATGCCCACACAGCTAACCCTGGCTACCTAGTTCTCGTCATCGGCCAATGCCACAGTCTCCTTAGTCTTCAACTTCTTTGCCGGTGGCTGCTCACTGCCCGCCGCAGTAAATACCCTCTTGCTCGGGTTTCCAAGCCTAGATGTTCCATCCGCTACCCCTTCTTCTTTATCAATTGCCACCGACATGCCAGGTTTCCTTGAGTCAAGACCTGACTTCGCAGTCGCTTCACTCTCCTCTGAGGCACCACGATGCCGAAGGGCATGATTTGGGGCTGGTAGACTCTGGCCAGCTTCAGTGCTATCCCCTTCAATCCCTCAATTCCCTGATTGGTCTTCAGCATCTTGTGCTTCAACATGCTCGTCGTCTTCGTCCACCAGCTTACCGTGCCTTCTACTCTTCGATGACTGGGCGCTCTTTTCGTTGGCTGGAGCATCGTCTTTATCTCCAGAGGCGTCTGTACTGTTGTCGTTTTCAGAGTCGCTATGTGGTCCGCGGTCGGAATCAAGTCTCGGAGCAGCGTTGCTACTTAGCTTCTCGGCGTTATTCTCGCTGGCGAAATGCTCGTCCTGCAGGGATTGCTGAAGCACTCAGAAGGCATGTACTGCTTCGGAATAGCTCAGCTCCTCATTCTCCTGATACTGTTCGATGCAGGTATGGATAGCATTTCTAGAACGAGCGTCTCACGCCAGTAGCCCCATGTCGTCTTCCACTTGCTTCGCTTCGTCGTCTGTAAGGAACGCTAGGGCGAGTAGATAGGGATTTGAGCCTCGCCTGGCGGCATGGGGACTGTCGGTGATTATACGACGACCGAGGTCTTTCCGTTCCGCTATGGTCCGCGGCACGATCTTGGGTAACAAGACTGCTCCAGTACGCTTTTTCTGCCAAACATGGAAGCGTTCGATGAAGATAGTCTAGATGCTCATCAACTTGATATTGGATATTTGCCCCGTCGTTGTTCATGATCTGTGCTCGTCATCGAACGTTTCGACCTTGTTCAAGGCAGAAGTCCACACGACATCTACATCACTCAAGATTTGACGAGTCTCTTCGTCTAGCTGGTTAGCATCGGTCTGGCTGTCATCAAGCTTGTTTTCATCGATGTAAAGCTGCCAAATTATCTCGAAGAGCTCTTGAGCACTTTTGAAGGTAGATCCCATAGTTTTCGCTCCGTCCTCGTCCGTCGCATACTGATATCTACCTTCCTCAGGTAGAACCAGCCACGAGCTGGGCTGAAAGACCTCATTCAGTATAGACACAAGCATCTGAGTCGCACGTTCGTAATCGTCGTCGCTGAATCGTGTGATGAATTTCTCCGGGCCGTCCGTGAGCACGACTTTGTTAAGAACCCTTGCTTGATTCCATCCAGGTACAACCACAACTATCCAATCATCCTGTTTGACTTTATCGAACCTTTCGACGGTATTCTTGTACAACTTCGAGGCATGAGCCTTTCTCGTCCACCACAGCTTCCCATCGTCCGATATCAATAACTCCAAGTTGGATTTTTCCAGTTTCTTCCTTCGCGCGATGATGATGGTCTTGTCGGGCCTCTTCGGGAACTCATCCTCTTTTTCGGTCGTGAGCAAACTATCAAATAGACAGAAAGCCCCAGATTACTCCACTGTGTATTCATGGTACTGCAGTAGCAAATATTTATCGAAACACGACTTCGCTTCTGCATCCTGTTCAGGCTCGACATCTTCAATCAACATGTGCATTCATCTATACTGACACCTATAAGTCCTCTAGCTCTATACATTCTCGTCGTTCTTAACCGGCTACTTCCCGCCATCATCATTTCCATCACTATCTTCGCCATTTCTCGCATCCTCCGGCGCTGCCACGATAACGTTTCCATCCTTGTCAACGTCATTCTCTACGTACCAGCAAATCTCATCACGAGTCGTGGTATACGTGCGCTCAACGCAGTCAATCGGTCTCTTCTCCCAATCACCGCAGTATGTCCATAGGAACTCGTCTCGGGTGTGTTCGTGCCATTCATCTCCCACTTCGATACTAACTGTATTCAGTTTCTCTGCAATCCTATCGCCCATGAGGAAAAGCCGGGTAAACATGAGTAGCATAGGGTGTTTGAGTAGATATGGCGCATGCGTTGGGAATAGTGCGACGGTTTCGCTTAACGAGAGGGCGATGACGTGTGCGTTCTTGAACGTCCAGGTAGGATTCTTTAATTTACGGAGACTGGCGGCGAAGAGCGGGATGAGGAAGCTAATGACGGAAGACGCTGGGCGTTTATCTCGAACTGTCTCCTTCGCTGGATCGACGCTGCCGACATACTTGACCTTGATAGCCCTGTAAGCCAGGTCTTTGTCTCTTGTAGTGACAGGGTAACGGCTTGGTCCCGATCTTTCCCATATGGTACCATATGTGCGTTTCACCACTTCTGACGCGCTTGGTGCATCCATCTTATGGTTTTCGGCAATGACCGCCGCCCGTTGCTCGTAGTCCCCCGACTCGAAGACCCATTCCTCATCCTTGAAGAGCTCGGATGGCGCAAGGCCGTCTTGGTCCAGGAGTACCGTCTCTCAGAAGTGATCGAAGACCGTCTTTCTCATGCGGAGTATGTGTTCGGGCGAGTCGTCTACGCTAGCGTTCGCACACCTAACGACCGTATTACCTTTCAATTGAAATATACGTTTCTCCTCTTTAGTGTCCTCCCACTCTTCCAGAACCTTCGCAGCAATATCCCTGGCGTTCACCATGGGCTCCCAAGTTGGAATCCAGTCGACGAGATATCCGCGTTTTCCATCCTTGATCTCCCGCTCGGCTAAGACTCTTCGGATATCGTGCGTATTCGTCGTTCGTGGCAGGTCCGCAGGAGCTCTTAAGGACTTCTTGGAAGGTTTGGGTGGCATAGTTTGGTATCGTTCGTTCAATGGTTGATGTTAACAACTTTTCATTGGTGGAGTTCTTCATAATGTATTAGGAGCTGTTGTTTGCTAGTGAAGGGCGGAGAGCTTTGCAGAATGCATCAGATCATCACAGTCTCGGCGTGTCCACCATAGAGCACTCTGGAGGTATTCAGTGGTATTCTAACTGACCGGAGAAATATGCGAGCGTACTGTACTGCTCCAGGAGGTTGGGTGCCGATTGAATGTGTGAGATATGATGTAAGGGAGTGACAGCTACAGAGGTACCCAGAACCATCAAAGAACCACATGCAGCACCACATCAAGCACACCTATAATGGTATCATCACAGCATATTGCAAGTACTCACCCAACAAATGGCGAAGAAATCTATTCATGCATATTTATAAGGCGCACAGCGGCGCCATCTCCCCAAACACCACCGCAAGTAACCCAAGATGTTTTGCCAGAAAGACGCAATTCCTCTCCAACCCACTCAGATCTATTGTCCGAAGATGGCCCTGTCAAGATATGTCAGCTTAGCTCGTCGATTTGTATTCGAAATTAAGACGTACTTCCACTCCTCCAGCTCAGGGGCCAGCTTCCACTCCGACACCCCCAACCTGCGCTTCTCCCGCTTTTCCTCCGCCACCTCTCTCTCCCACCGGAGCTTCTCCTTGATCATGCCTCTGGCCTCAGCCAGGGCGGCCACCTTATCGGGGTTGTTGATGGCGATACGCCACACAGCGTTCCAAGATGGCCGCAGGTGGGCTGCGGACGTTGGCGGCGAGGGCGTCTCGACCTCGTAGGCCTTGGGGTCGAACGTGAAGGTCATGCTTGGAAGTTTTTGAGGTATTGTATACGTCAGGGTATGTTATTGTGATGACGTTGGAAAGTTTTGGATGGTGCCAGCTAGGATACACAGACGCGCAAGACTAAAGGTTTAATTACAATTCCGCGCTCTTCGCTCTTTACCTACAAACGGGCAGCTCGACCAATCAGTTCCAACCAACCCAACTCTTACTCATTACACGCCAAACCCTCACTTCACCTGATCTCAGATCTCCCATCTTGAAGCTCTCTGGCTTGACCTTCTTGTGCTCACGTCCTTGCTCCCAAGCCCGTACCTTCTTCTTACTTCCATCCCACTCGACAACAACACCGACGTGATCCGGCTTCCCCACATCCATCGCGTACTTGGCATGCATTGGCCCAGTCTTACCCTGAAATTTTGCATTGCGGAAGCTGATAATGTCACCAGGACGGATCTCATCATACACTTGAGTTGACGCGTTGGCTAGGTTGGCGTACACAAGCGCGCCATAGGAGCGGGTTGAGATTGGGGGCAGTGCGTCATTGAATGGCTTGAACAGCTCCTCAACCAGTCCATGCGGCGTGCCATTGCCTACGACGGTGTTCTGCTTCGACTCAACAGTCTTGGCTATCGAACGACCAAACTGCTCGTACGCGTTCTCCAGCTGATCAGGGCGCTGGCTGGGCGGCGGCGGCTCATTGCGCTGTTCAAGATCCACGTCGGATACATTGGTGGACTCGAACCGGGCGGAGATGATTGTTTGTGAGTAGTCAAGGTAGAGAACTTTGATGAGTTTCTCAACAGTGTTGCCTGATTGCGACTCCTTCATGTCTACCAAGACGTCTTTGCGGCTTTGGAGCGATGGGGGAAGTAGCTTGGGTTGGGTCCACCAATGCGACGACATTCCCAAATCGATATCACTTGCAATGAAACCTTGATTCGTTGCAGGGCGAGGCTGATCCATGGAGGATCGAGTTGTCAGCATTTGGCCTGCATCAAGTGACTTTCGAGTGTTCAGCATCCGAGGTGGTGCCTCCGTTGCGACGGGCGAGAACATGGAAACTGGGCGTTCTTGGGGTGGCGGCGGGACCATTCTTTCTTGAGCTGGAGCAGGCGGAGCTTGTAGAGGTGGAAGAGGCGGAGGTGCATGCTGATGCGGAGGGGCCTGAGGTGGTGGAGGCGGCGGCCTATCGTGAGACTTCCGAGCTGGCGGGGAAGAGTACAAATCATCCTCTTCATCTGGTTCACCCGCCTGACGATGTGGTACAGGAGGCATCGATGGCGGCATGGGTGGTGGTGGACGATTCTGCGGAGGGGGAGGCTGGCTTTGTGGGGGCGGTGGCACTGCTCGGGGAGCTGGAGGTGCTGCGGCTTGCGGAGGGGGTGGGCCAGTGTACTTGTACGGGTCATATTCATCATCGTCATCGTCCGTAGGGGCGCTGCGAGTCGGTGGTGGTACCGGTGGAAGAGGCGGTGCACCACGGGGAGCATCTGTCGATGGCCGACTAGGCGCCTGTTGGGGTGGCGGAGGTGGTACTGCACGAGGTGCAGTAGGAGGCAGAGGCGGCATTCCCTGAGGGATCGTGGGCGAGCGTGCTGAACTCGGCTCGTCCGTCAAGGTATTGTCTTCTACGCTTGAATCCCGAGCATGTGACTTCAAGGCGTCCTTGTGAGTTGCCTCAGGCGCCATGTCGGTGTCGTAGTCACCTTCGTAGTCAGTCTCGCCCTCGTTACGGTCCAGTTTGCGAATCGGAAGATCTTCATGGCGCGATGGAGGTGCCTGTGTCGGTGGAGGTGGCGGAGGCGGACGGCTCATTGTAGGCGATGTAGGACCCGCTGACGGAATGGGAGGCACGCGTCTCTCTGACAGATCCTGAGATGGCTCGCCGGAAGCGAAATACGAAGCCCGCCTATTGGATGGTTGGAATGGGGCAGATGGAGTATTGGCAGTGTCGGTCATCTCATCACCAGACTCAGATCCGGGCCCAGGGGAGAGAACTTGCGGAGGAGGAGGCGGTACCGGTCGAGCTAGGTACTGTCAGTGTTGTCCACATACTGATAGCCGATATTACTTACAGGCCGATGGTACAGGAGGGGGAGCAGGACGTCCTGAAGAATATTAGAACCAATGCAATAGACGTAAGACTTATTGAGAGAGCCATGTGCACACACATACTAGACACGCATACAGTCATAACATATTCCGACAGACCGTCATAAGTGACATATGTCTTTGACAAGGTCTCAGAAGATGGCGACTGCAGGCGGCCTTGGGCGTGGTGTACAAAAGCGCGGATTGGTTTGCGAGGAATGATAAACTTACGGTCTGTTGGAACAGGTGGAGGACCATCGCCAGTAGTTGGCCGGGCCGGCTGAGATGCAACCTCCTCTACGTCTGGCACTTCGTTCGCTGGATGAGTGCCTGTGACAGGGTGCGGAGTGTCATCCTCCTTCTCGACAGAAAGCGTGCGGTCCTCTGGCTCTGGGCTTCGAACAGGCATCATGCCAGGCATACCAAACATAGGGACCCGTTGCTGAGGCATATTGTACTCCTCAGTCTCTTCGGGCCTTTTCTCGGTGGTCGATTTCTTCTTCTTCGGTGGAAGACCACCGCCCATGGGCATACCACCTCCGAACATACCGGGCATGCCGGGAATACCACCACCCAATCTCCTCATGCGCTCGCGTAACTCCTCCTTCCTTCTCAACTCGGCAGTCTCCTCGTCTTCCTCTTCTTCTTCTTCTTCCTCTTCTTCGGGCACATCTTGCTCATCACCAACGTTGGGCTCTTCCGTTGGGGCAGTGGGTGCTCTGGGAGGTGGCGGCGGCGGGTGCCTGCTCTTTGGTCGGTCCTGGTCCTCTTCGACACTTGTGGATTCTCCTCCAGCATCTTCAGTATCTCCAGCGGCTGATTGATCAGCATCGTTCTCGCTGAGCAGATCGCGGTCGCGGTTGTGCGCATCCGGAGAGCGGATATCGTGCGACGTTCGCGGAGGGCGATTCTGATCCATGGATACACGGCCTTTGGAAGCTCCACTTGTCACGCGCTCGAGGCCAGTGTCTTCACTGTCTTCGGCGGGGGCGTCTTGAGATTCAGTCCTCTTGGCCACAGGCGGTCGCTTTGGCTTTTCCTTGTGCATAGCCGCGGCCCTTTCTGCCTGCTCCTGCTGCTGTTTCTGCAGCAGAGCGATGCGCTCCTTCAGGCTAATCTTGGGCTGTTGTTCTTCTTCGCCCTCATTCGCATTTGCGTTGTCATGAGCGACCAGTCCCGCACGCTCCGCATCGTTCTGGGTCTGCGCCTGACGCTCTGCAATCTCGGGGTCCTCTTCGCGGCGGTAAGTCTTGACGGGTGGAGCCTCGCGAGTGGGAGGAATGTAGGCATTGCGGCTCGGTGGGGGAGCCACGAAGGGCTTCTTGATGAAACTCGGGGCGCCGCCAGAAGGCTTGAAGGGTTTGGGCGGAGGGTCAGTGGGCTTGTTGAAAGCGGCAATGCGGTCCCGGAAGGCATTGTTCTTTGGAGCGACAGGCGGAGGAGCCTTCTTCGCGGGAGGAGCGGGCTTGGACGATTCCGACTGCGGCGGTAGAGTTTCCTGAGCCTTTGCGCTCGACGCAGAGCGGGGCGACATGGGTGACATAGGCAACGGTGTTGTTTTAGCGGCGCTGGGCACCTCAGTGGGAGGGGCCTGGGGCTTTGGCAGCTCTGGTTCTTGAGTCTGCACTGGCTCTGGCTCCTGCTGCGGTATTTGGGGCGTGGGAGGAGCTTCCTGCGCAGGCGGCTGCTCTAATGGCTTGTGCCGCGAAGCTCGGTTGGGTCGTGGTGGCGGCTCTGGCTCGTAGCGCTCGACGAAGTTCCTGGGGAAGAGGCCATCGTGCTTGGTGCCGGTGTCGTCGGTATATTCGCCCACGTACCAGTCGTCGCCCTCCTCCTCGGTGACGGAGATTATCTGACCGACCTTGAAGCCCAAGTCGTCTTCGTGGTTAGACACATAGTCGAAGACGGCTCTGACTTTGTACATGGCGGCGGGGTGTGTCGATGGCTGCAGAGGTGGTCGAGCGGCGGAAGACTCAATGGGGGTGACAGCTGCGGTCCCTGCCTGACAGCGCTACAGCAAGAATGTGTGGGAGCTCTCTAGGGTGTGGTGCACGGCGGGTCTCGGACGTGTAGCTGCGATGACGCCCATGTCAGCCTGGGCAGCAATGCGGGACGCGCGGGTCAACAAGGCGGCCTACCATTCAATGCTTGCACCCATCCAGCTCAGGGCGAGGGGCAGTGGGAGATATGAGGGCTGCTGCAGGTGCCTCGTGCGAACAAGTGTGGTGACGAAGCTCAAAACAGCCCCGCCCAAGTCCCCGACGCTCCGCCAAGCACGCCCAACGAGGTTCCACTTCACACTCTAGCCACGACGATCCCAACACCAACACAGACCCGCCATGCCGCCCAAGTCCATCCTGAAGAACTCGACCGTCTCGACCAACGCGCCCCCTGCCAGGAAACCTGTGAATGCGCGCCACCTAGCAGTTGCCCGCCACCATGCGACGGTACTTGAAGACCGCAAGCGCGTCGAGGCCGAGGTGCTGGAGGCCGTCATGACCCTCATGGACTTTCCCACTTCGCCAGACGCCGATGCTAAGCGACCTTCGCCCTCCGACGCTCACTTCTTCCAAAAAGCAGTAATTCCCTTTCAGCCCGCAGACTACGACGCCCTCATTGAGGAGCGCAACATTGCCGACAAGTGTGGGTATGCGCTGTGCCCGCGCCCCAAGAAGAAGGCGCGATCCACCGCGAGGAAGCAGTTTGTTGACACTGATCACGGTGTTGAAATAGTAGACAGGAAGGTGCTCGAAGTGTGGTGTTCAGACGACTGCGCAAAACGCGCACTCTACGTCAAGGTGCAGCTAAACGAGGAGCCGGCGTGGATGCGACACGGCGGGTACGGCGACAAGATCGAGCTTATGGTAGAAAATGCCGACGAGCATGAAAAGGCTCTACCGCTACGTCTCAAACAGGAGAGTGCGACCACGGCTGACGCAGATGACGAAGCAGACCTGGACGCAGCCTGGGCCGCCCGCACAGATGCCATGACTGATCTGGCGCTCGAACGAGGCGAGAAGCCGGGCCACCTTACCAAGGCAAACAACGACCTTGTCCAGGACCAGATTCTCGAGCGCTCTTCCAGCAATGCGCCGCCTCAACCACCGTCGCTTCCTGCACAAACGTCTGACCATACCATGGCTATCGAAGGGCATGTTCCACGTATCAACAGGAAAGACAAGGACGACGACGAAGACGATGATCAGGACTGGGATAAACAGTTGCCTGGTTGAGTGGGAATGACGCCCGTCATTGCTTTACGACATTCATACATCGGCATGCACACCTAGAAGATTGCAATGATATGTGTAGACCACTCGGCGCGCAGTATGCGTTTCAAAGACCATGCGGATAAAACCTTTGGTTGAAGAGGTGAGTCCTGACCTGAAAGATGGCGGACAGCATATTGCACGCACCAGAAGAGTATGCATGTCAGGAATGCTCCCGACACAGGCGCTGAGGCGGAGGACGAACTGCGCGTGCATGGAGGGAAGGAGATCTTGGATAGGTTCTGTAAATAACTATGAATGTTATAATCCATCAATAAAAAAACGCATTTAGTACCGTCTCATGCACCTTGACGTGGTGATGTGACCCAGCCTGCAACCCATCAGAAGCCGCGGAGGTCTCGCACGGGCCACCCCGCCGCAAACTCCACTCGACATTTCGCTATGCACGTTGCAATCATCACTTCAGCCGCCATTGAACGCCCACACGCGGCTGTCGCATCGCCAACATGGCTCTAAGCCGCCAGTCTCTCTCGCCTACTTCCAACCTCCTCCGAAATTCTCGCCTCTTCTCGCTGCCAAACCCACTCGCACGACCGCCCGTGAGCGATACCTACGGCGCCGGCATCTCCAAGTCTTCGGACACCGCGACCCTGCCATACCCGACACACCAAGCAATTGCAACAACAAAGTCCTCATTGGCACGTGGCGACTGGGGTCTCAAGCGGCCAATTCCGTCAAGGAGTCATCTAGTACAAGTGAGCGACCCAGTACTAAGGGTCACTCAACTGGATACTATCGAGCATGTCACAGACTTCGAATCAGCGGCAGACCATGTGCGGACAAGACAAAAGTGGGAAGAAATGGGTGTGCCAATGATAAAGGGTCTATCGTTGATGAGGAATCGGGGCGTGAGTGACGACTTATTACCGGGAGCCTTTGAGGTACGGGATGATACCACGAGTTACGACACCGATCTCGGACTGGATGAGGCCGGTCTTTACCTGAAAGCTCTCAAGAAGAGCATGCCTTCGGAGCGGGTCAAGGCTCAATGGGACGACTTCAACGCTATCTGGAGGAAGAGGTGGGAAGAGAAACTCGCGAGCTTCAGGGCTCGTGGATGGGGCCTTCACCTTTCTGACTTCGTGTCCTTCCAAAAAGAAGCGAACAGAAGATCGTCAAACAATAAGCCTTGGCTAGGAGAATTCGTAGCTCTTAGAGAAGAGCAAAAAAATGCAAAGAACGCTCTGAAACAGCGACTAGCGGCCCCGCAGACTCCCGGATCATTGCCATTCACGCCCTTTACCCCGCCACCCGTAGATCCTGTTGTTCATAATACAAGGCGATGGAAGCACGAAGGACCTTGGCTTCCTGGCATGGGCGCCGAGGACTTCATCTCTTTTCTTAACAAGCAGCTTGCAGGCCGCAAGAAGGAGTTCAATGACTACCTAGTCGAGTATGTCAAGAACGAGATATACGCCACTCGTCGACTTGCCGCTTCTAGATCTGGCGAAGTAGCACCAATGGACGCCCAAGAAGCTGAAGCCTGGCAAGAGCAACGAGAAAAGGCCTGGCGTCACATCACAAAACCTGAGATTGATGCTGGTATCAAGGCGCTAAGGCAAGAAACTGCAAAGGACCCATTGAACAGCAAGCTCGTTAGCAAGTTGATACTTCCCTTCTTGAAGCTCCCAGCCATCAGATTCAAGCACACAGCATACAATCCGGACAGTGCCAAGAATGAAGTCGATCAGTACCAATTCGACCAAGAAACTGCACCCCTCTCCACCCACCCTTCAGCCGGACTCGGCTATCTTCGTCACAAGTCATACCTCGCCAATCACCCCATCCTCGGTCCCCAAGCCAACCCTGCCCCGATACCTGCTCGTGTCATGCAAGCCAGACGCACAGGCACAAAGAACGAGCTCTACGCCCGCCTCGGAGTAGGCGGCTTCGTAACAAATGATGACCACAGGGGCACAGACTCATACACTGTTCCCAGGAACTTCGGGGCTTCCAAAGACGTCGAGACAATCGATGTCGACACGCCCGGCGGCAGAAAGATCATGGTGCAGCCCCAGTTCGGTAGCGTCACCAACGACGGGCGCATCCAGATCAAATTGTCGCGCTCCGTTGGCCCTGAGGTTGCTGTTGGCAGAGGCGAATTCGACGAGAAGCCGCCATCAAGACCGTATGCTGAAAACGTCTCTTTCAGGACTTTGGTTGGTGGTGCAAAGAAGAGTGGGATCAAGGAGTTGGATGAGCAGAGTGAGCAGGGTCAGCAGTTCAGTGAGTTCCTGGAGAGCACAAAGCCTCAAGGTCATGCGCAGCCGCCGAGGGGTTTCCCTGGGGTGGCTGAGGCGTTGCGAGGGGACTAGATGGTCTGATATATTTGTAGCATAGTGCACACATTGTATTGTATGAAATGGACATGAGATATCTGCACACCTCTCGTCGTCGATTCCTCTGTTGGAGGTCTCGCCAGCTGTACTCAAGAAACGTGTCTACCTGAGCCTGACCAGGCATAGAGATGGCAAAGTTTTGCACGGTCCCCGACCTGACTTCAGTCCCATGAGACACGACATGGCCAAGTGCAACTATGGCGAAGAAGTTCCCAAATATCACTACCGGGCGGGGCATGCGAGAGCCCAGTGTCAGCAACTCGAATGGGAGACCGCGAGTTCGCGCTAGTGGCGAAGATAGTTGCCTACATTCTGAGACATCTGGCAGGCTCCGACTTCGGCTTGGCAGAACATGATATTGAAGGTGGTCGGAGGTGCCGAGAATGTAGAGTTGGACCGCCGTGCCGCGTCGTCGTAGTGGCCACCTTGCCACTTGATGTAGACCCTAGAATGGGCATGATAGCGACAAGATAGCGACAAGTTTTCGTTTCGATGTAAGACAGGTGGTAGGCTGGGGCTAATCCGATTTGCTCTGCTGTGGACCTTATGTTGGGAGTGGCATGTGATCGTGTCCATGCAGTTTGCAAGTCATTGCACTCGAGTCTGATCTTACCGTCATGATTTCAACTTCTATTTCGGTGAAATCTCGCCATGCTTGGCACTTCACTGCAACACACCGTTCAAGAGATGTTACCTCCAAGCTCGGCTGCAGCAACCAAACCTGATCTATTCATACCTGATTCTTGGCCTAAGTAAGTCATTCAGCTGCTATCGTACCCATGTAACGAAGCTTGTTGTTCCTACGCAAGGCTGTGGTTGGTGCTCAGTGGCGATGGGGCCGAAGCTTGGTAGTGGCATACGTTCTGCTTACAGGCAGGCAAGGCAACACGGGACGGCGCGTAGATGGTTCCTGTGAGACGTGAGAAAAGACGTGGCTTGTTTTCGATGGCAGTCTTGCAGAGACTTGCTGATGAGACATTGGTAACATTGAGTCAATACTGTAATGGGCTGTTTGCCCGAAGTCTATTGCCTCAATGAGCACATCCGAACGGTAAAGAGACAGCGAGACGCTTCCGTCCCGCAACCTTCGGTTCCCACATGTCGGGAAGTGTAGCGATGCCAAGAGATACGTTTCAGCAGCAGTGCGATCGTTTTCGAATGCGAGGTCGCTCCTCAGTAAGGTGTACAGTCTTCAGCACTGGAGCGATGAGACTGGTTATACCACTTACCAATCTTACACATACGTATGCAATGTACAAGTAGGCAGTAAGATTTGGTGGCTCTCAAGTTCGCAGCGGTTCTCCAGCCATCGATAGCGTGAACAAAGTTCGCAGAAAGTAAATTTCCGCGTGTCAAGGCCACCAGGGAGGCTATGCAGCTAGGTGACACTGATAGTGGATTGGCGATATGGTGTGGCACAGCACGCCTGAGGCCATTATCGGCCTAGTCTGTTGAGGCGTCGTGGCTGAGGCAGTACTATCGGTGGACGTTGAGTGCATAATCGAGATTAGCCGGCATGAAGTTTGTGAGAAGACGGTGAAATGAACCCCTCGTGACAGCAAAATCTGCTAGTCAAAAGAGTGTCTGGCAAGCAACGTGACAGGTGAGGGATCCAAACAGTACTGAGCCTTCCAAGGTTGTTATGACGACTTGTCATGACTGGCATATGCATAGTACACGCTTCAATTCTGCCAATTGCGACCCAGTCATACTCCGTCATCCACCTCTTTGTCAGCGGATGAAAGAGCGCGCGAGTGCAACGAGCAATTGTGGCTGCTCGATGTGTGGCCATGCGCACCTTCGTCAGGTCAGTTCCCTTTTGGGATCCGTTGACGCAAATAGCGGTGTCGCAGATTGAGGGAGCGGCTCGCTTCTTAGCCACTTAGTAGTTGTTCGCCAGTCGAAGGATTCAACCCCCAAAGTGTCAGGAAGGTGACGGAAGGCGCAACTCTTACGGCTGGTGGCTGAGGCTGTGAAGCGATGGAAAGGCCAGGGGCCAGGGGATGTGCCACCAAACGGCTCGCAAGCAGCGTGCATCGGATGACCGCCACATCCGGCAAACAAAGATGTTTGTAGGACTGTCGCATTCACGCTGACGGCGGTGGAAATCTGTAAGGAGGTAAATCCGTCGTCACGGTCGGTCAATTGCAGCCTCTCGGTGCTACCTCACGAGTTGGCGCTAAGTGAGGGTACATTCAATCTTGGAAAAAGGCGCTGACGAAGACTCACCTTCCGATGGCAAGTGCGACGCACAATGTCGAGTGCTCTTTCCCAACTTCGGCTTGGTCAAGGCAGCAAGGTGGCCGTGGGCTCACATGCTCAACAATTCGCCTCCCCACCCTCGTCAATGGTGCCCGTCACGGCTGTTCGTGAGCACCTCTTTCGCAATTCTGCAAGAAATGCAAGAAAACTAGCGACGCGCAATAAAATCGCGGTGTCGAGGTTTGAGAACGCGACGCATGAGGCCAGTATGCGAACGATGCGTCCGCTGCTCGCGTGCAGCGTGGGTGCATCCCGTCTCCCTTTAGCGCCCGCCGCAACGTGATGCCCCACAGCCAGTTGAGCGGCCAAGCACACTTCCCTCTATCCATATCACCACTTGAGGCAAAGCAATATGGTCGGGCATTGGGCGCCGATCAGCAAATGCCCGGCTTCTGGTGCCTGGCATGGAGGCCCGCCTGCCTCACGACACGGGAATGACTGCATAGCCCCTCCCATCATTCGCCAGTCTTTCAGCTGAGAGCTGGCGATCCGGATCTCTTTCATCGCTAGCAACACTAGCACGGCCTCTATATCTTCATCAAAGGAGAATGTCATCAGGCGAAGTTACTAAAACCGAGCCTGGGGGACGGTGACGGGGAGGACGGGGTGCGCTCGAGCGCCGGCAGCTTATTGCTGCCCATCGAGTCTGAGACAGCTTGTGCGGCCGCGCGGATGCGCAAACCGGCTACCAGACGCGATAATTCTTCCAATTCCCCAATTGCACCGGGTCAGTCTCCCTCTTCATCACCCTCAGGCACAGGACACCGGTCAGAACCAGGGCCCACTCGCGGCTGGGCGGTGTCTTCGGTCACTCGCGGGCTGTGCAATTCACCGCTGCGCAGCCCTAAGGAATGGCCCCAAAGACGCCCGGATCATGTTCATGCATTCCGTCCTGCCTGCCGCTGCGGCCTGGCACTGGCACTTTTTTTCTGCCCGCCCGTTTCGGTCATCTGTGGTAAATCTGCTCCTTGTCCACTCATTGTGCACTTTTCCAGGCTCCAACCTGCGCCGCCTTGCACTTAAAAGGAACCTTCGCCCAGTAGGGCTGCACTTTACTTTCCTCGAAGTTGCGTAGCTCCCTGCACATGATCATCTCTATTATTACCCCTTCGCCGCTCTGACTCTTTCGCTTTTCGGCCCATGTGTCCCTGAACTTACGAGTACACTCATCCTACTTGCCGCTTGTCTCAGTCGGGCCGTCACCTGTTCCTCAAATACCCTCAGTCTCCCCTACATCGCCAAAACATCGAAATTACGCAAATCCACCCGTATCCTGCTCAGTTTACACTTTGTGTAACCTGGATACACACGTCATCAAGATATCTTGACCGTCCGGAACTTCCATATCTACCTATCCCCCGACGGGTTCATTGCCCCGGATAAGCTGGTTTGACACCTATTTTACTGAGAATATCCAGCCCAAGACAGAAGCTTGAGGCAAGGAGTTCTGTAATCTCCCTCGCATCGAGGATACCGACCAACCCCGACTTCACTCATTGCACATCGCCATCATGTGTCGGATAGAGCAGCGCGAAGAGTTCACCCCTGATGGGCGACCCCTGACATCTTCCCGAGCCTGCCTGTGTGCGAAAGCACGTGGTGATAAACCATGCCGAGACGCAGTCATCGTACCCATTCGTTACATTCCTAGAAGTGGCTCCATGGGCCGTGACAACACACCGTCTCCGACGAATCCACCAACTCCCACCACATCAACATACTTGGTCCAAACACGTCGTCCGTCTGGCAGTGGTAGCCGTCCTTCTACTCGGGATGGTCAACGACCCATCAGCAACGAGATCATCATAGAGTTTGGCACAAAGAAAGACAGAGGCAAGAAATACCCATTGCTTTCGGTCTCCACTAAGCCTTACGATCGGTCCTCATTGGGTTCTATTGGGTCTCATGATATCGCTGTGGATTCGGTCGGCTCTGATGCCTCATACACTTACCGAACTGGCCTCCCGGAAGCCCCTTTGCCCCCACCGGCAACATTTGATCATCACAGCAGCTATCTTACAACACCTACTGCACCGTACGGACAAAGATCTCGTCACATTCCGTCAGCGTCTTCCAGTCAGACGCCTTCGCTATACGTCGCGTCGGACGCAGAGTATGACCCACCGGCTAGGCAGCGAAGTACAAAGCGCTCTTCCACGGTGATCCACAATCCACCCACTGTTATCCCGTCCTCGCCACCTCAGCGTCAGGGTGGTATGTCATCTGGGTCATATCGGACGACCAAAGTTGCTCCACGAGAGACGTACACATCAGACCACCCACATCCACTCGACTACGACGCCTTTGCTGATCACTCGAACTCGTCTTACACTAGCTCGGGCGCACCTGAAGGCGCTCGTCGCGCCAAGACTGGCGACGAGCGACAAAAGCAGTCCAAGTCAAGTCGGCATCAAGAAGAGTCTGACCGACGGCTGGCTGATGAGCGTGACAAAGCAGATACTGCCAGACGCGTACATTTCGAACCAGCCCGTGCAGACAACCGCGCGAAAGAGAGGGCAGAGACGCTCTTCGCTGAAAAGGAGAAAGACCGAGCGTTGGCTAGGGAAGAATCTCGTCGTGTAAAGGAAGAAGAACGCCTAAGACAAGAGAGGAGGGACCTAGAAGCGAAGAAAGCCCAAGATCGTAAGAAGGAGAAGTCAAGCCCTCCAACAATCGACTATACGAAGAAGCGGCCCGGCGCGACACGCAGACTGTCCTCCTCTATGACGTCAGCTCAGCTAGAGCAACAGCGCTTGATCAAAGCTGAGGAACAACAAATGCGGAGTGAAAGGCAGATTGCAGAGGCCAGGGAGCGAGAGGAAGAGCTGGCAGCTCGTAAAGGCCAACAGGAGAAGCCGTCTGCGTACTGGGACCCGCGTGGCGGTGATCGTTCCCTATCCACACGCCGAGATTCGATGGCTCGCCACGACAGCCTCACCTCTAACACGCGTCCCGTTGGATTGACTCGCACTCCCAGCAAGCGCCGCACAAGTATCTCGCAGCCGGACCCTCCAGTACTCGATGCTCAGGTGCCTGCAGAGTCTTACAGGCCTTCCAGCTCAAGGAAACGCGCGCCTCCGCCGTTATCTTTCCCGGCAAACTTCAACCAAGATCACGCCCGGCTGCCTTCTGCCAGACGTCCATCCTTGAGTCAGGACAACCCGTTCGCAGCAGCATCTTCCATGATGTCGCCATCATCAGCATCGCAAGACCCATGGGATTTGCGCAACGTCGGGAGTGCACTTCCATCTGCCCGACCTCTAGGTGATGGTCGTTATCCTACCATGCCGTCCCGTGGCTATGTCGATGCCTTTGCAACAGACTCTGAAAGCCCGGATGATCATCCGCCTGTATACGCATCGCGCACGGGTCTGAGCCGCAAAGGATCGAAGAGGAAGCACTGAGCTTTATGTTACTTTGTACGCCTCGGGTCATGCGTTTGATACTGTTTATTGCTTTTTCTCCCTGTTGTTGGAGTTCAGTATGCGTCCGCTTTTGTTATGATACCCTTCCACCAGCATTGATATATACGGCACTCGCTCTTGTACCTTGGATAGACATATACCCTTGTTTCACTGCGCATGTATCGTATTCATTAGAAATGACAAATTTATGCCATACCACGAAAACATCTTTACGAAACTTTCATCATTTTTAGCAAATAGTACCTGCAGCTACGTATTCGAAAGACTTGACTGCCACCTACGAACTGTCTCTGCACTATCTAGGCATCCCACAACCCGGGCAACATTGATTCGGCGTCCAGAGTTCCGCCTTCGGAGGTGGTGTCTCCTGGTAAGAATCAACCGGTATCTCTAATTCGGCGTCAACACCAAGCCTGAAAGTCTTGTAGGGCGGAGCATCAGGATCTTGGTTTTTCCACTCATTGACCTGGTCGGTTATCTCGTTTCTGAGGCGCTCAAGCAGGTACAGGTAGCGACGATGCTCCTGGAAAGAGGTGGGAACGCTGGTGTCGAAGGCTCTGATGGCTTGAGAAAGCTTGTTGATGACAGCGGCTTTCTCCGGAGGGTAGCTGAGGTTTTCTGATGCCATGTCATGGAGCTGAGTGACAAGCAGACTAATTTTGATAGTGCTCTGATACTTCTCATCCTGTACTGATATACTGAAATTGTTTGCTGCGAGCAGAGCCCTTTACGGTGTGACACGTAGAACATTCAGCATACCAAAGTCTGTTATAGATAGCAAGCTTGCGTGATTGATCACCGCAATTCTCGTGTCGGCCTTCAAGCTCATATCCTTGTCTACTTCTTTAGATAGGTGGAACGGTCGTCGTTTTGGGTATAAGGTATAGTTTCAGTAGAGCATGGCACTTTTACACGACTAGGTTGTCAGGCAATGGCCCTTTTATCGGCCGTTCATTTGATGATTTAACTTTACTCGCAGCCTATACTCGCAGCCTATACTCGCAGCCTCTGACCAGAGCTCGCCCGTGGAATCTCGCCCCACTGCTTGCTAGGTACTCCATCCTCTGCCCAGGCTCTGCAGCATCACTAGACAGACTCGTCGCGTCCTTCTTTTCTGTCTCAGTATACCTCTGCTAGTCACCACGACATGGATACTATTCATCTTGATGTATCCCTGCGTCCTAATGGGCTATCGGATGAGGAAACTCATGTGATTCTGGTATACCAAGCTCAGTATCAACGTTATTCCAGACTTGTGGATCAGCGATTGCGCTCTCTACATCTTCCAATAGCCACGACCAAATAGATGTATCTATCTCGCTTTGTAGACGGAGACAGAGGTATAGAAGTCTACGCTGCTGGAATAGCGTCATTTGCGCGCTTGGTTGGATAGCGGCGATGGCAGTGTGCAGCTTTTGGACTGTGGGAATATCGGCGCCAATGAGCGTACGTTTCTCTTCGTCGGCCATGGTTCGGTCAGTCGTGTTGTAGAAATTGCTGTTGTGGGAAGCATCAAGTGCTTATAAGTTGTGGACGTGGGAGAGGGTCGCGCGTGGTTTGCTCAAACAAACGTGTCCCCATGATGCAGATGAGATATCTTGCCTGGTCGCTAGCATAATAGGCACAAAGTAGACACATGCACAACAATGCGCTTCATACGCGGACAAGCCATGTTTTGAGATACGCCGATTTCATTCAGTACCCTGTGAGATCTATTTTAGTACTGATACCCAAACCTATGCTCACTTTGCACTCATATAGCCAATACGATCTCATCTATCTGACTATGTGACAGGAAACCTGGCTGTACAGTTCGCGTGAGGTACATATACAGGTGCAGTCTTACTCATTCATCCTTGCTCTCAACAACCTGAGACAGTGAGCCCTTCACAGGAACGTAGTTGAAGGCATCATCGGATCGCTGGCGACGAGGCGGGACCGAGAAGCTGATCTGTGAGTGTGGCGCGGAGAAGGGAGCGCGAGTGACGGGCGTAGACTGTCCGAACTCCTGAAGCTTCTTCTCGAGATACTCGATGCGGTCGTCCTGTTCTTGAGTGTGGTGCATCTGCTCCTGATACATGCTCGACATGTAGTTGTGCTCGTTGTATAGGCGGTCGAACTTGATAGCGGCGTAATTGATGTCGTTGCGAAGGCGAAGGTTCTCGCGATTGCTCTCGTGCTTTACGCTCGCGACATGACGGCGATGGGCTTCACTAAGATCGCGAAGCTGTTTCTCGTGTACCCCGCCAACATCGTTCGTGAGGAATTTGGTGAGCGCCTTGCTGGTAGATAGACGCGCGAGAATTGCGATCGCGACTGCGACAAAGACTCCGATCAACTGAATGATCTCGCGATCGCTGATGAGTTCAGTCTGAAGTTGTTGGTATGAGACGCTGGGGAAATACTTCAAATTGACGTACTGTAGACCAGACTGCGGAGAGCAGACCGAAGATGCTTGAACAAAGGAAGAAGGCTAGGAATTCGATGTTGTTGAGCTCCATTGTGGTGATTTCCTTAGGAAGAGAGTTGTTGAGCGGGAAGACATCCGAGCTGTATCACATTCAATTTGATACCACTCGGCTTGGCAGTCTAGCTGAGTTCATGACTGGAGTCAGATGAGATGGAGTAGCATTTCATGCTGGTAAGATGTCGCGATGATGTCTGTGTAACTTCAACTTTTTGTCGGACTAAATCAACAATATGATGACACATTAACATCCTTTGCGAACTCCACAGTCTAGCTTGCTTCAAACACGAACATCTACTGGAAGATGCTTCGGCTGCATGCTCTGAATTATAAATCCAGGCATGTGTGTATTAGATGACTATGTACTGACAGTATGACTATTTACAGGAAAGTGACTATAATTACACTGAAGCATGCATAATGTCGCAACCACGTAGGTAAATCGGACATGATGCATGGAACGCCGTTTTTGTACCCATATGCAGAGCCCAAGGTAACAAAAAAACGCCTTAACCATGCAGTAATGATTCTTGGATATGAACTTGCCAAGCCCGTTGATGACACGCTAAACAATTTAGGAAAGATCCATGGGTTCGGCAGCGCTGCTACCAGCACCAGCTGATTCGCGACTACGCTGGTCCCTGATCGCTGGAGCAGCAGGCTGCGGGAAACTGTTCTGTGCAGGTGGAGCAGGAGCGTTGATGCCAGTATTTACGTTGTCGGTGCGAACCTGTGGGGGCGCAACATAGCCCATATGAGGCTGGGCGTAAACCGGAGGAGTCGCTGGACCAGAAGAGTTGCGCGGTGGCTTTCGACCACCAATGCGCTGAGCTCGGGGAGCTGGGAAGCAGGCATTCTTGACACGAGTCTGGAACTCTTGAGCGAAGTTGTCGTAGGGCTTCTTGTCTTCGGATGTCTTCCAGCCCATCTTGTTCTTCATGCACTCAGCCTTGCGGTGACTAATCGTAGAACCTTCAATTCGAATGCCATTGGCCTCAAAGCGGCGACAGCAGTCAGAACGCGACAGGATAAGTAGGACAACGAGAAGGCTGACATTGTCGTTGTCGAGAAGATGAGGACAGAAATCGCAGACATTACATGCGAAGCGGCGCATGTCTTCTAGTTCCTTGGTGTCGGTGCAGTTAACAAAGCGCTCAGCCATTGAGAACGGTCTGACCATGTCTCTACAGATATGGTTCTGGAGGACGTTGGCGACTGAAGAGACTGAAACAGGATATATGCTACTACGATCGATCTTGCTTGTAGCAGACGATGAGACCGTGCCGGCGATGTAGACAATCTCGATATCGTCGAATGGGCCACGGTCGAGTTTGATGTCCTTGAGTGTCTTGCCTTCTTTTTGAGCCTCTTTATAAGTCTCTGCGTTCTTGATACCAGCCTCGCGAGCCGCCTTGACAGCCTCACGGGGTGTGATAAAGCCATACTCCTTGGCAAGAGCTACAGAATCTTCGTGCATCTCAAACTTGGAAAGCTTACGCTCAACATCAGGAGCGCGTATCCAATCCTCGGACCAGGGTTCTTCTGCGAGAACTTTGTAGAAGACCTTTGTTAGGGCGCGAAGCTTGATCTCAAGATCAGTCATCATACGCCGGCCGAAATACAGTTCATCGGTCTCAAAGAAGGCATTCTCAATAAAGGTCTTTCGATCCTTCTGAGTTAGCTGGCCACGAGATGGATCATTCTTCCATTCTTGGATGATGTGCATGAACTTGGCGTGAAAGATGTCATCGAAATGTTTTGATGCAGGTATAGCATTCGCTGCATGGCACGTTAATTCATAGTCCAGAGATGTTTCCACAGTTTCCACGTACAAGTCGGTGTGTCGGGTTGTTGTGGCGGAGAAGGTAAGGTAACAGCGGTCTGGCTGATTGCGGCAGGTGACATAGTGATCCAAGCGCGATATATGACCTGATATACCGAAAGAAGTATATTGTCTACTTGTGAATCAGTATGAACGAGAAAGGAAACAGATCTCGATGGAATTCGATGGGGTTGGAAGGTGAGGTTCGCGGTCGGGCTAGAAGGTTGCGGGGTGGTTGGGTTGTCGGAGCGTGAGGGCGGTAGGCAAAAACATTCACGCTCGCGTCGCTAGCGTGCCAAGTAAATTTGGGGTGAGCATTGAGATAACACGTGACCTGCATGACTCGGCCCCAACAATCTTGGAACCTCGGGTGAACGTCATAGGTAGCGCTTCCGCTCACAACATTTCATCAGGACATCCATCGAGTGCTTCGTCTTATTAGTCCCTGTCCTTTTAGCAATGGCTGCGACGCGTTATACGTTCCTGCACCGCATGGCTACGCGCTGGTGTGCGCTTAGGGTGTGCTTGAGTGACAAACCCCTTCCTGTCGCGTTCCTGCAGTATCATCCTCATTCCATCTACGCTCAGTACGCTCGCCTCGATACAAATTTACATGTCATCATTGCGAAATTATAGAGTTGAATATGTGTGGGTCTACAGGATGCTGGGCCTCTTCGCCATCTATGGAAGTTATCGCTTCCGGCTTTGGTTGCCTTTCGTGCCACGTTCCTGGGATCAACAGCAGTATGTGCCTTCTACAAAATGCATCTCCTCTGGAGCGATCTCGGTTTCTCTGATAGCCTGAATGAACCATGGTTCCGTTGGACCGCAATGGTATCCCTTCCGGAAGGACACCCATGGTATACGCAAGAGCCTAGATGACAGAATTGGAGCTGAAAACACTGGGCCTTCTCTAATCAAGCGTACCGTTATATTACTCAAGAATTCATGCCCAGGGAGACGCTCAGATCTGGTTTGCGCTGAACTACTGGCACTTTAAAGCCTTTTGTGGGCAGGAATACCGTGAGCCACGGGAGGCGCTACTTTGATGGGCGTTTGACAGTGAAGGAGACAGTAGAACCGAAGAGATGTTTCCATGACTAGATTTCGTCACTACGCGAATATTCCCTGCCTTGCAAGCAGCTTTGTTTAACTTCCTACGCCAACGGCACACGACCATCGACCCAATACAGCATGAAACTGGTCAAAAGTCGAGACAGGCGTTCCCAGGCCACAAATGCGAAGCCATGCCACTTGCTTGCACTACCAGCAGAGATTCGCTTGTTCGTATACAGCTACATTGCACCTGATGGCTTCCTGCCAAACGCGCCCTGCAAGACATACATCGGGCTTCTGCTCTCCTGTCCCCAGATCCACAACGAGATGACATCCGAAGCCGTCCGCCTAGCCCCTTTCATCCCACGAACGATCCAGTTCTCCGTCAACGCAACGCCAATGAAGCTACAACCGCTCCGGCCGACGAGCTTCGCCTCGCTGATGCACCTCACGATCGGAATACCGCGCTGAGCAATGCTCGATCAGCCTACTATAATGGGCATTCTGATAGCCATGACACCAGTACTAAAGCTTCACCTGGCCAGACTGACCATCAGATTAGAAGACCTAGAGGGCGAAGACGACATCTTGCAGATGGTTGAGACACTGAACCCCGAAACAAATCGCGCGGTATATGAGCCAAGTACAGGACATGCCCGCATCCCTCTTTCCACCAAGCGCATCTGCGGGATCTGGTTATTATCGCATCCGAACAACATACGCAAACATCATTGGACTCGTCACGTCAATGAGTTGTTTGATGGCTCCAGGAATGTGTAATGGTAAGCATAACCAGGCCAACCACTGGTGCCTTCGAGCTTCATCTCTTAACCCGCCATTTCCGACAGCGACATGTAACGTTCGGAAGATTGCTCTCCGATTGAAAAGGCTCCATGATGAGAAGGCATGTGGGTGTGGCCGGCTTCCTGCTCATTTCCCTCATCTGGTGTATCCGTTTCGCGGGCCGAGCTTTAGATGGGATCCGATAGTCGAGAATTCGTCGTTGTATAAGGAGCTGTGGTTGGTCCACTGGAGGGATGAGAAAGGCAAATTGCCGTGGTTCTTCAAGCCGAAACCAGCGCTTTATGTGTGGAAGATGATGGAAGAGAAGCGATAGAGCAAGTTGAAGAGAGCTGTGAAAAGCTTGTTCAGACGGTCCTAGTTGAAGGCGGGGCTATGTTCGTATTATCCAAGTCCGCAGGTGCTAAGTCTTGCGGTCAATTCCAAAATCATCATGATCATGACATGAATGCATAAATGGCATCGGTCTGGGAATCACGATGTTACAGAGCGCGTCATGCCAAAATCACAACTCCCAACGAATGCATTGGAAGGTTCTACGTGTAACATGTACCTATCCGACGGCTACCACATTGAGCATCCACAAACAGAATGAACATGCGTTTGTGTGACCCGATTCCAGATACTTCCCCATTCTGCTGATAAAACCCCGTTCACAATCTCCAAAGAACAGAGGATTTACCACTCCTCTACCCCAACCCTTGGATACCACTCAACTACCTCCACAAACTATCAGACAGGAAACCACAATGGCCCTATCGAATTCAGCGACAGTTGGTGTAGTCATAGCAATCTTCTGCGTTGTACTCATCATTGCAGTCGCCCTTTACCACTACTACGTCGATCGTCGTTGCAAGCAAAATGGTACATCCAAGGCAGCAACACCGTCATCTCCTACTGGCTCTGGTTCCCCGACACCTCATCTACAACAGCTTCTGGGCAATCAGAATCCACAGCATCAGCAAGAGCATACGCGTCCAAGCCTAGAGAACGGACCCGGTCCAACTTGGGTCGCGACAGCTGAGCCCCATGCTTCTCCGTTCCGTACAATTAGAGCAGTACCAGCTACTCCTAAGACGTCCTCCACGAGTGCCATGCGTCCTGTTACTGGGGAATTGGACAAGCGGAGTAGTCTGCACCAGGCGGTCTTGGGTGAGTACAAGTCACGGTCGGAGGAACAACAGTGATGCCACGAAGGAAGCCGATGAGAATGGAAGAACCAAGGATATGGACGACGACCACATTGCTGGCGGTAGCATTGGCAGACAGAAAACGTACACCGGAGCTTGGCCTTGAACGGTGTGGTGATGTCGACAATGTTCTAGGGATGTGTTCACTGGTGATTTGATTGAGCAGAATTGGACTACGTACGGTATAGACTAGATTCATCGAGCCTTGATACACTCAACATACTACACATAAGAACGTGCATTGGCGATGGATTGAGATAATGTGTGAATTTGTTCCATCTGAACAAGAAGCTATTGACATCACGAGACGCATGAAGGATCGTTCCTTTTTGACAATGCTGTTGAGACTGGCAATGGAATTCACTTACCTGATCCTGAGCTCTATACTCTTCGTTTGTCATCACAACACCATCGCATCACAGGGAGCATGGGCAGGGGAAATGGCAATCAAGCATCATCCTCGTGTCTTTCAACACTCGGACTCAGCGACACCTAGTGGGGGAGAACCTTTTGTTTCATTGACTCCTGATCATCATGCCGCCGTATATAGCCGTAAAACCATGCCATAGTCGTGGCAGAAGAGACCCTTTCCCAGACACCATATTTTCAGTAAGCCGAGAAAGGAGGAAGAAGGGAGACCATCGTGTCGCGCGTGCGCATTCGTATTTACGAGCGGGCGGGGCGGTCGTTGAAGCGGCGGGGACCGCGCTCGACAATCTGTTGTTGGGAGACGGCGATGACGTTGGTGGGGATGCTGTCGAACTGCCGAAAGTGTTAGTGATATGCTTGAGACAGCGTGGGTAAAGAGAGCAACGTACGCCCATGCTCTTGAGCAGATCCTTGGTCTCCTGGTCGACGTCGAGCGAGCCAGACTCGCTGTTCTGGGTGAAGTCGAGAGCGGAGATCTCGGGGACGTACTGGTCCTTTCGCTCACGCTCCTCTTCTTGGAGCTTGAAGGAGATACCACGGACGGGACCACGCTGAATACGCTTCATCCTGCGGTTTGTTAGCCTATTGTTTGGTACGAGAGCACGTTGCTCAATCAGGGCTGCAGTGTGGGCAGTTGAAGAGCTGTCCTCTGAAGTGCCCAAGAGCCTGCGCATAGGCATTGCACGACGCTCGTCTGCGCAGGCCACTCAAGCTTCCAGGACCCAGCCCCTCACTACCATCGTTGCAGCCCCATGGGCGGCACGTACAAATGAGTGGTGTATCCGGCAATCTTGTTTCGGAGCCTCTTGGAGGCAATGATGGCAATCTCATCACAGATCCTCTTGTTGGTCTCGAAGTCGAGCGACAACTTGGGGTAGTAACGCTCAATGATGACCTTGGCGGACTTCTTGACGGTCTTAGTTCGGACGCGACCCATTTTGGCGACTTGTTGTGTGAGCTGGGAGAAGAGGTTGTCGTGGGAAGGGGCGGTGGCTGTCGGGTTAGTTGGATTGTCGCTGAAGAGTAGAAATGTCGGGAGGGCAGGCGCGATTATTCGCCTAATCTGTGTGGAGGCCCGTGCGCGGGATCTAGTCACGAAGGGTTTGGCGCCAACACGACACCGGAAGTCACTGGTTCTGGCTGTCACGAACACCATTACACAGCGGACAAAGAGTCTCAATCTCGTGTATCATATTGGTATCTCTCGCTCGCTAATTAGAACTGTTGGAAAAGACCGCTCAAAGAAATGCATCACAGATGCTTGCTACATGTAAGGAGACCCGGCAACCCTCCTCGCAGCCCACTTGCAGCGAAACTCCTTAACACCACCGTTGTGAGAATATCAATCTGAGATAAGCCACGTGGCTTTACATGTACGACTACCCGAACTTATCGTTTAATGGCCACCCTCAGCGCCACCTTCGGCGCTGCCCCCGGAACCACCGTGGTGTGCAGGGTTGGGGAAGTAGAATGCACAGACTGCGATGATGACGTATGTCATCACGCAGAGTACACCCTCCAGGTAGTTTGAACTTCTGTCGCGGAGGAACGAGCCAACGGCCAGAACAGCCAAAACCAGGGCAACAGCGTCGAAGATGGCGAAGTTGTAGTCCATGCCAACACCAATACCCCAGCCAACCAGTACCACAAGGGGTGCGTTGAACAAGGCGGTTTGGATAGAGGCACCGAGAACATGGGCGAGGGCCATGTTGATCTGGTTGTCATAGGCTTCGTCGATGGCGAGGAGGTGTTCGGCGATCTTCTCGACCAGCGGGATCAGGATAAGTCCGACGAAGGAGTCACTAACTCCACGCTCTACTATATGCGGGATTTCGAGGACAAGGAAGATAGCGACGAGCGCTACGCAGGCCAATGAGATGAGAAGAGCAACGATGACTTCGGTCAAGGTAAGCTTGGGCTTAGCCAATTCCTCGTGGCGATCCTTGTCCTTGTGGTCGTCTGCCTCGTAGATCTCATGGAGCAACCCGTCGTGGGATACGGTCTGATAATACAAGTAGACCAGGTAGCCAACGATGGATATGATGGCGACACCGCGTGATATCAGTCGAGTGTTATAGGCGATATCGACAGTCTGTTCGTAATCGGGGTTTTGGAAGAGGTATGCGTAGAAGACAGCAGGAAGTACGAGCGCCGCTACAAAGGTTAGCATCGGAACTTGAATAAGCCAGGAGGATTGACGTACTAGCAGCGACAAGCATCAGACCACTACCGTTCTCAGAGACAGCACTATGGAACTCCTGAACGTCGTGCTTGAGACCACCTGCGATGAAACTGGAGCAACTTAGTGAGAGCTGGACTGGGGATCGAACAGACGCTTACCAGGTGCCGAGGCAAAGGAGCAGGTTGGCCAAAATAGATCCCAATATGGCAGCCTTGATAACCTGTACGTTTGAGTCGCCGTTGGAGGTTTTGAGCAAGACCATGAATAGGATAACTTCAACGACAGAACCGAATGTGGTCTCGAGAACGACAGCAAAGGCCTTGTTTGGCATCTTGCGCGAAAACTCCTGGCCAGCGAAACCGAGCAAGTTGGCTGCAGGAAGCATGGCAATGTAGTTGGTAATAAAGATTGCTAAATGCCATTCGGGCCTCGCAAAGTGCTGTTATAGTCGGTCAGTTGAAGAAGCATTTCCCGTTTGTATGCCACTTACCAGTGCAATTGCTACAGGTACGATGGGCCATAGGCAGTTCACTAGCATGGACATCGTGCTGCTGCTCCTGCCGCTGATAACCAGGAACTTGACTGGATTGAAACCCCTCCGGCCACTCTCGCCCTCAGGATGAAGGCCTGGAGTCACCTTGTGTCCATTGTGATTGTACTGTGGTAGAGACGAGCCACGCCTGTCACGGCGATCGGAGGGAGGCACGGAGCGTGGCTTCTCACTGGTATACCCTCGGTCGCGCGATGAGCGGTGCCTTGAACCGTCGGGATAGTCTCGCGAGCTTCTTGAGCGGTGCGCCATGGCTTTGGTATACGAAGCGGCCTAAGGGATGGTGTTGAGGGTGCGCCAAGTGCAAGAGTTGAGTGCACTGGCTTGTGTTTCAGGGCGGGCGAACGAGTTGCCCTGCAGCGGTTGCAGTCTGTAATGCCGTAATTGAAGACGAATTGATAGAGGGTAAGTCAAAAAGAAAGACAAGAGGGCCGGTGGGACCAGACATTGTAAAAGGGCCGGGCGTCATTTCGGGACGAGTATACTACCTGCTTCCTTGTTTACGAGGTGCAGTTCGCAACGGGGCGGGCGCGTCCACAACACAGCCTCGACGCTATGATCGCCAAACAACGAAAATGTCGCAGCGCGTTTACACCGTAACTCTGCAGCAGAGCGCGCCGTTCGCAACCAATTGGTCTTCATTGGTCCTTTTCAGCACCGATTCATGGTAATTTAGTATCTAACTGAGCTTATCTCCAGCAGAACACGTCACCAAGCACCGCGCAACGTCCCTGGCAATGCTTGACACGCCTTGGCTGCACTACGATGCGGAGTCCAGAACAAGGTTTCAGCTCCATGCACATTGACGTGGGCCGAGACTCCACATCTCAAGTTTAGCAACAATAAGGGGAAGGGTCTCGATCTCCACCACGCAAATGCGAGCTATTTGATGGCCAGCGACGCACTGCGAGCTACCAGAGGTCATTCGCATCGATGGCGCTACATGGAATACAAGCGCTGGTTCCATTGGGAGTCGGCTCCTGACATCCGCATGAACCATCATCGATCGCAATGAGAAGGGCCGACAAGTTGCTGATGACGATATAGAGAGGACCGAACGTCTACTGCTGTAGAAACTAGGTACTTACATACCTGATACCAGCCTGCAGATACTTTGTGATGCATCATTGGAGTAGCGGCTCACCCAGAGCTGATTGGTTCCTGACGGTCCGCATGTGTTGTGCCTTGCATGTAAGGACAGACTAGCAACAGCATCCATGGATAGTATCGCCCGCTGGATGCGCAGCTACGTCTTCACAACTTCATCCTCCCTCTGCGCATCGCAAACCTTGACAAGGCTTCAACATACATAGACAGCCATCATGTATTTGACATATGCTCAAGCAAAAGCAGTCACCTGGCACTGTGCACGGGACAGGCCTTATCGCGAGGCGCGTGTTAGCGGCATGGCAACAGCGACTCATCCATAAACACACAAACAGCCCTTCTCCATCCCATCTCGTCCCCAACCCCATCCATCACCGTAACCCACAACATGGTCTTCTCCTCTGGCTTTGCGCTGTGCGCAGCCATTACAAGCGCGACGGCGCTCCAGATCCCGCTTCTGTCGGCCGGCAATCAGGCGCCACTCGGACATCCACATGGGACCAAACCGTTGGTCAACTCGACCGAGCTCCAAGACCTCATCAGTGGGGACAGATTGATGGCACGCGCCAAGAAGATGTACGAGATTGCGAAGCTTGGTGAGGAGGAATACAATCATCCTACCAGAGTCATCGGGAGTGCTGGTACGTGTGTGCACGTGATTTGCTGTATGCTTATGCTGAATACTCACAGGCCACCTCGGAACGCTTTCTTACATCTATGAAACCATCCTCCAACTTGGTGACTACTACACGATCACCAACCAAACCTTCCCAGCTGTGTCTGGCAATGTCTTCGAGTCGCGTCTGGTCATCGGCGATCAGGTCCCCAAATCTGCCAGGCCCATGGGATTGACGCCAGCCACCAAAGACAAAGAGCCTGTACATGGCGATCTTGTGTTTGTTGAAAACGAAGGTTGTCAGGCGTCGGACTTCCCAGACTCCGTAGCTGGAAACATCGCCTTCATCAAACGTGGAGTCTGCCCCTTTGGTACCAAGTCGGAGCATGCAGGCCGCAAAGGCGCTTCTGCTGCCATTGTATACAACTATGAGAAAGACGGTGTTTCAGGCACCCTCGGCGAGCCATCCTCGGATCATGTAGCCACATTCGGACTTTCCGGTGAAGAAGCTGAACCAATTCTGAAGAAGCTCGAGAAGGGAAAGCATGTCGATGCGATCGCCTACATTGACGCCGAAGTGAACACGATTCTGACGGTCAATATCATTGCGCAGACAACAGCTGGTGATCCGGATAACTGCGTCATGCTCGGCGGCCATTCCGACAGTGTCACTGAAGGGCCTGGTATTAATGACGACGGAACAGGCACAATGTCACTGCTCGAGATTGCTACCCAACTCACCAAATTCAACGTCACTAACTGTGTGAGGTTTGCATGGTGGGCGGGTGAAGAGGAAGGCCTACTCGGGTCCAACTACTATGTCGCCTCTCTGCCTGAGAAGGAGAACCAGAAGATCCGTCTCTTCATGGATTATGATATGATGGCTAGGTGAGTGTTATCACTGTATGCATGGTAGATGTCATGTTACTAACTTGTACCAGCCCCAACTTCGCCTACCAAATCTACAATGCTACGAACGCGGTGAACCCGAACGGCTCAGAAGAGTTGCGCGATCTGTACATCAAGTGGTACGAGGATCAAGGTCTGAACTACACCTTCATTCCCTTCGATGGCCGCAGCGATTACGACGGCTTCATTCGCAATGGAATCCCTGGCGGTGGCATTGCTACTGGAGCCGAAGGTATCAAGACTGAGAAGGAAGTAGAGATGTTCGGGGGCAAGGCCGGGGACTGGTACGATCCTTGCTACCACCAGCTTTGCGATGATATTCCAAACCTCAACGTTACAGCGTGGGTTGTTAACACCAAGGTATGTGCTTCCAAAAGTTTCATATGGAGATGCAGTCCGCTAACATGCCTAACGCTCATTTCTCACTCGGTTGCAACGTATGCACGCTCCCTCAAAGGCTTCCCGAAGCGAGAGCTTGAGGCTTCGCTCAAGTCTACTGCGTACAGGGAAGGTGTAAAGTACCTAGGCTCGAAGTTGTTCATCTAGAGTTTGGCCGTTTTTTCCAACGGGCAACACAGCCTACCTTGTTAGATGCATCGAGCAATGCACGTAGATTCACATATAATGTAGAAGTTATTAAAGAGTTCAACCGTGCCAGCTCTCTCAAGAAGTCCAAGCGCGATTTCCTCACCGATTGAAAACCACCAACTGCTTCACTATGTTCCGACGTGCTCGGCTGGTCCCGAGACTGGATCTGGGATTCCATGACGATTGATACGGGGAAGTCGCGCTAAGCGAACGGGCCGCAGCATTCCAGGGCTGCAGCTGAAGCGACTCATCGGCTGCAGATCGCGTCTCCCCAATCGCATCATGGCGCCCGTCTCAATGCCTTCAGCCCTCACTTTTGAGCTGCTGGGAAAGTGTTCGGTCTGTATCATGTCAGTTTCGTGTCTTGATCATCCTCTGACAACTCCAGGTCACCAAAGCACGCGCGGCAACGCTGCATCTGCCTCATGGCCCGGTACCCCTCCCCATCTTTATGCCCGTTGCGACGCAGGCCTCGCTCAAAGGCCTCACGCCCGATCAACTCGAGGACCAGGGTTGCCGCCTATGTCTAAACAACACATATCACCTGTACGACCGACATTCTGCCGCCATGCCAGCGATTGCTGACATGTGGGAGAGGCCTCAAGCCAGGACAGGCGACCCTCGATGTCATAGGCGGCGCGCATAAGCTCCAGTCCTGGCCACACAATATCCTCACAGGTGCACTATGCCACAACGCCCCAGGACGAAGAGACGGAAGTGCTGACTGCTGCAGATAGTGGTGGGTGGGTCACGCCTCCAACTTGGTGAACGAACGCACCATAACTGACGCCAACACCAGTTTCCAGATGGTATCGCTCCTCAAACTCGCCAAAGTCACTGAAGAAGGTGTCCGTTTCCTCAGCCCCCACGATGGGTCGCCCATGCTGCTCACACCCGAACACTCCATCTCCCTACAGAACTCAATCGGCTCCGACATAATCATGCAACTCGACGACGTTATCGCAACCACCTCACCCGACCACGCGCGTATGAAGGAGGCCATGGAACGCTCGGTACGCTGGCTCGACCGCTGCATACAAGCGCATAAATACCCAGACCGACAGAACCTCTTCTGTATCATACAAGGGGGCTTGGACCTGGGCATGCGGAAAGAATGTACCGCCGAAATGGTTGCGCGGGATACACCAGGCATTGCGATAGGAGGCCTTTCTGGCGGCGAGGAGAAGGCGGCTTATTGCGAAGTTGTCAAGACATGTACCGACTTGCTTCCTGAGAAGAAGCCGCGATATGTTATGGGTGTCGTAAGTGCGGGATATCCTCCGCTCTATCACAGTGTGCTAACCAACTCAGGGATATCCAGAAGATCTGGTCGTCTCCGTTGCACTCGGCGCTGACATGTTTGACTGTGTCTGGCCAACACGAACGGCCGTAAGGTCTCCCCCTTACTCACCGCAGATCCATGCTAATAACATCTAGCGCTTCGGTAACGCCATCACATCCCGTGGCTCCCTCAACCTACGCAATGCCATGTACTCCGAAGACTTCAGCCCTATCGAAGAAGGTTGCCGATGCACTTGCTGTCGTCCGACATCCGATGGAGGACTGGGTATCACTCGGGCTTACATCTACCACGTCACCGCGAAAGAGACTGCTGGTGCTCACCTTCTTACCATGCACAACGTCTACTACCAACTGCACTTGATGAGGGAAGCGAGAGAGGCCATCATACAGGATAGGTACCCACAGTTTGTCAAGAACTTCTTTGGCGATTTGTACAACAGGGAGAAGGAAAAGTATCCTGTATGGGCGGTCGATGCGCTGAAAAGTGTTGGTGTAGATCTACTTGCCGAGTAGACGATTGGAGCACGTTGGTGCTGGCAGCGACCTGAAGAACTCATTCTGCCATGAATTCTCGCTTGGTGTACGTTCGCCGGGCTAACAGTTGATGCATCCATTAAAAGTTCTTCAGAATTATGTCGCGCAGAACCAATTCACCCTGAAATGCCAACACATCATCCACCCATCCTCCTCAGGACCCGTACTCTGGCGGGCTCCAAATCTTTGATGACCCAAATGCTGGGATGATCTTTCCAATCACACCACTGAACTTCTGGATGAATGGATGTGACAAAGTTCCGGTCACAGTGTTGAAAACCTTGATTCCCCATTCCGTCTGCGGGTTTGCGATTTGCGGGGCTCCCGGAATGAGTTTCTGCGCCTTGTCGACATATTCGCGTGTGATACGTTCATAGTTGGTGAGCGCGGCGGGGATGTCATCTTGAGAGCGCGAGATCTCGCCTGCGAGAACGTACGCGCCTACGATAGCTGCACCAGTGCCCTATTATTGATATTAGTATGAATATTTGAGATCAAGAACGATGATTGAGAAGAACTTACAACACCAGAAATTGGACTGGGGCAATACGCCGCGTCACCCACCAGAGCCACACACCCCTTGTGCCAAATATCCATCCTGACCTGCGCAATCTGCTGCATGTAAAAGTCATCCGCCTTCTTCATCTCGCGTATACAACGCTCCGTCTGCCACCCTGCACCCTCGAACTCCTTCTCAAACCACGCTTGCTGCTCCTCCCTGGTCCCTTTCTTCAACAGCTTGTCGATCTCTTCGAAGCGGCTGAGATCACCATCGGTGATGGCGAGATACGCTCGCGTGGTGCCGTACTGGTCAGGTCGTAGAAGGAACAGGCGGCCGCGCGAGGCGTTGTACCACTGTGCGTACTGAGTGTCTACAGGGTCGCGGGGCATGGTGAAGAGAGCAGAGTACTGGCCGAGACGGTACAGGTAGTCGTCGTTCTTGGGTCCGTGTCCGAACACAATGCGGCGGGTTCGCGACATTTGGCCATCAGCGCCGATTACGACGTCGAATTCCGTGGGTGGGAGCTTGCCGTTCGCGAAAGTGACGAGTGCTTTGCCGCCCTTGGATTCGTCTTGTTGGACTTCTGTGGCCATTTCGCCGAAGACGTACTTGATGTTTGGGTTGGATAGTGTGAGCTCGTAGACGATGCGTGCCATGTCTCCTCGTAGGATCTCGTACTCGCTCGTTGCTACAACCAAGTTAGGGGTGGTTTCCAATGCTGACTTGACGATGTTCTCGTTTTCCTCTCATCGAATACTGGGCCCAAAGGTCAGATAACATACCGCTTTGTCTCTCCTCTTCTCCAGTGGCCTCGAACGTTGCGCGCCTCTCCCCATCTCGGTATACGAATTGCATGCCAACTTCTGTAGTAGTCTTTTCCTTCACCTTCTCCAAGATTCCCATCTTCTTTACGATAGGCAGAGCTGAAGAGCGTAGATCGACGGCTTGTCCACCTAATCTTGGTTCGGGTGATCGCTCTACGATAGTGATCTGGCAAGTAGGCATGAAGCGGTGCAGCCAGTACGCAGTTACAGGGCCAGCGATGCCGGAGCCCGATATGAGAATGTTAAGAGGTCGTGTATCGGACGGCATCTTGAAGGCTGTCCCAACGTTGGACAAAGGCGTGGGTTTGGGGTGTGTGAACTGAGGTACTGAGATTGTGGCTTGACGGACGTGTGGATGATGCTGTGGGTAAATGTAGACAAGAAGAGGAGGGCTGCAATATGATTATGTTCAAACGGACGTCCGTCCCGTTACGCTATATATCTCACATCGCTCTTCTTTTTCGGTCCTTTGCATGCATCCTGAATGTTCAACGCTGCGCTGACCCAGGTCCAGCCCACTAGAACACAGACAGAATCATGAGTCGGAACTCCGTCCTTACTACTTGCAGATCGGGTTCTTGCGCGCTACGGCCAAAATCTGCCGGGACTAATGACATCACCAGGTCCCCAAGACAATCGGTGGCTTTGGCACCGCTAATATCATCACTCGGTCGTTCTACAATTGGATCGAGCTGAATTTGAAGCTATTAGAGGTCCAGGCGTGCAGTTGTGCATGAAGGAAAGTTTGCAACGTTATCGGCTGTCAGGTGTCTTCCGGTGCCGCAAGGAATGCGCAACGTCTCGTACTTCTTACTCAACGTAGAATCGGAGGTTGCGAAAGTGCCGATAGTATCTTGGCGATAAGGCCTCCACACAACGATGGTAGGAAGCTTTCTTATGAAAAGTACCGTGCATCTGACATTTTACCCTACGATCGCATTACTGTTCAACTGATGGCGAAGATATGCTCGCCTTACGAGCTCTCAGAATTGGGTGACAGTGCCAGGCTGCACTGAACAGGTGTCAGCGCACACTAGGGTAGCACGCTAGATGGTGACTAATACACGCGGTCTCTACGCATCATACCAATGCATACCATCTTGGTCCCACTGATGTTCCTTCTAACTCTGGTCGACATGGCAAGCTGTTGATGGACTCTCGCGGAAAGTGCGACTAATTCGCTTGACTCGGTGTCCTCTACCTAGGTTCTCTGAGAGATAATGGCGTCCGCGAAAGCTGAGACACGATATGGTCGCTCACCTTTTGATCTGTTCGTTCTAGTAAGTCAATTCGGACAACAAAATGTGGATAGAAGTAATTAACATGCCTGTAGGAACATTGGGAAAGCACTAGCGCTGCGCTACCAGCCGACCATCATCAGCGATGGAATGAAATAGCAAGGAGGTACCGCAGTACAAGCCTGCTGCAGAGATGGGTGCGCCAGGCCACCTCAAAAACCACAGTGTGATTGCATTGGCCTCAAATTGACGCTACCCAGCCCCTGTACAAGCGGATCCAGGACGCACTGACGGAAATCCCTGGTGCAGTACCTCTTCTTTCACCCACCCCGAAACAAGTCGGCCAGGTGTTTGCTCCGCATCAAACCATTCAAGAACACAATATCAGCAGACAGTTCAACTCAGGGTGGAATGTAGTCTGGTTAAGGACATGTTACAAGCCCTCAATGGCCCAAAGCTACGCTGAGCTTGCACAACTTTCCGGGGCTAAGTATGAAGGCGGCTGCGTTGAGAGTCTGAACCATGTGCTAGATGATCATGCGCTTTACGATTTTCATGGATCAGATCAAGAAGTCCTGGGCCAGCTTCTTCTTCGCATTCCCGGATTGACCGATGGTTTGGGTATCTCGGACGAGTATGGAGATGGTAGTGAACTTGTTCATGGAAGTGCAATACACCAATCTGAGATGGAAGGGGACGAGAGCAATCGTACAGATGGTATCGATACCGATCAAGAACTACTCGATATTAGAGACGTTGGAAACCGGGTTCAAAACTATGTATACGTGGCAGATGAGGAAGCCATCGAGAAGAGGAGGGTGAAGATCTGGTGGTTCGATGAGTTTGGGAAGATCATCTGGGATAGCTACGCTGAAATCCCAGGTTCTGATTTGGATGGGCTGCGTGGTGCAATCATGGATGGGCAAGCCTTCCTTGAGATTGTCGGAGAAGACGGCAAAAGAGGCGATCAAATTACCCGATAGACAGGCCAGGATCACGGGACAGAGCCGGCACGACTTGGCAACGATGCTTCACAAAGATCCGGCCCAAAGAACAAGACTGCTGTGGGACACGCAAGAAGAGCATGGGTTATGCGGTGCTGTCATGTGAGCACGGCATCTGGCGGGGTATTGCGTGCTTGCCACCTTCGCATATATGCAACAAGACACAAACCGTTACGATAGGCTAGAAATAACCGGGAATAACGTCGCAGAATGTATAAAAGTCAAACATGACTCCCAGTCGCGCAAGTCTCATAAGTTAAAACTACAGCCATCAACATGCCATCAGCGACGCTGCAACAGCCACCTTCCATCGCGAAGTGGGAACGTCCAAAGCAAACAACGAAGAAGTTAGATTGGGCTGAGATCAAGGTCATTGATCTATCTACATATGATGAGCCCAATGGGAAACAGAAACTGGCTGAAGAATTAAGAGATGCGGTGAGTTGGCAGCCAAGATGTGCGACAAGTCTATGTTCTGACAAACCTGGAGGTGCACCACACGGGCTTCTTCAGCGTTACTGGCACTGGCTTAACGCAGGAAGAGGTCGAACGTCAATATGACATCGGTCAGGCTTATTTCGAGTTGCCGTTAGAAGAGAAGGGTGACCCAAAGTACCGATGTGATTTCGCAAAAGGCAATTACTTTGGTTATCGCGCTGTATGCCACAATGTCTATCTAACAAGGGAGCGAAACACGTTCTTCTGACAATATCACTAGGCCAACGAAAAGAAGATAATGGGCACCACCGTCCTCGACAACGTTGAATCCCTCAACATACCTAAATTCATCCCGTCAAACTCCCATGAGCCCTTTCCACACTTCCTCCACCCCTTTCGCCCAGAGATCGAGTCCTTCTCCCGCCGCTCTTTGAACATAGCATCCAAGATCTTCACGCTCTTCTCTGTGATCCTGGAATTACCCGAGACTTACTTCTCTGATCAACATCGCTACGAAAACGCATCAGAAGACCATCTACGCTACATGATCTACCACCCACGCCCCGCTGCCGACGACGCCAAAGTTCAGAATACCTGGTCTCGCGCACATACTGATTTTGGGAGCTTGACGCTCCTCTGGAGTCAAGATGTTGCGGGTCTTCAACTGAAAACGCCTACTGGAGAATGGAAATACGTTCCGCCTGTTCATAATGGCATTGTTTGTAATGTTGGCGATACACTGTCCTTCTGGTCGGCAGGCTACTTCAAGTCGACTATCCACAGAGTGATCAGACCACCGGAGGATCAAGCGCATATTCATCGGTTGGGACTGTTCTACTTCGTTAGACCAGGGAATGAGGTCGATATCAAGCCTGTGGCATCGCCTTTGTTGAGAAGGTTAGGGCTTATTGGTGAAGATGCGGAAGAGAGGGAGCCGGTCAGGGGGCTGGAGTATGTGAGGGAAAGAGTGAAGGATTATCACGATCACGGGGATTATGCGGACATGAAAGGAAAGAAGTTCAAAGTGGGGAACTTGGAGATTGAAGATGAGGCAGCATAGCGTCGCGAGAGAGTGAGTCTCTTCCTTGAAAATACTCGCGTTATGGATTTCGAAGAAACCACAATAGATCAAATTCGTAGCTAAATGCACCTCGTCTATCGGCCGACCCCCGTTAAATGAAGCACTCCACAATCTCCGTACTAACAATCCCCTTGTTCGCAAACCTCAAACTCCTTCTATCCCCCCACACCGCACTGTTCCAACTCTAACAAATATCCAACCCACTATTAACCCTCTTAACCCTTCCCGCCCACTTGGGCTCCTTCTCCAACTTCTCGAAAATTGGTAGACCACCCCTACCATTGTAGCATGCATCGTACGCAGCCATCTTCCATGGCCCCAAGGGCTCCTTCCGACACCCATGGCTGATCTTGATACGACGATTTATACCGTGCGCAAGGTATTGTGTGATGGCCGCGAGTATGGCGTAGCGCTCTGGATCGTGGTCGCGCGGGTCAGGGATGGAGTGGACGTGCCAGTTTGTGTGGTCGAAGAAGTCTTGCACTTCGTTGCGGAGGACTTCGTAGTCGCCGCGGATTAGGTAGTGGTACATTACGTAGATTTTGTCTAGAGGAGTTTCATTGAGCTTACGCTTGGGGAGGAGGATGGCGTCGAGACTGGAGATTAGTCAGTGTATATTGCTCATACATAGGTCTGGTGATAGTTTGGATGTTACGTACGGCCAGGGATATATTGCTGAAACGGGATGGGAAGAGAATGAAGGGTGAACATGACTCGTGCTAAAGGTGCGTAGCTTGGTGTATAGTGCCGGATGATTATTCAGAAAGTAAGCTTTGCAGCCCCGGTGAAGAGGTAATGGTTGTGAAGGTTGAAGAGGCATTGTGGGGAAATAGCGTGGCATCTTGACGGCTCGACAGCGGGGATCTTGATATGCGCTTGGAAAGAATCTTCAGTACGAAGGCGCCGAAAAGATAGGTATGGAGTCGAACGGTAGCCTCGAACATGATCATGACATGTTTGAAGAGATGCTGAGTGTTGCGAATAAATCGGAGGGAAATGATCTGGCTTCCACTTCGGCTCGTAATGGCAGTATCGTCTCAGAAAGTGGCCTGTAAGCTGTCGAAGCTCGAGACTTGACGAGTTAACAGGTTGACTGTGCGGTAAAGAGAAAGTATTTTCATTGAGCGGGACCAGCACACTGGTCCCGAGGGGTACCGTTGTATGTGCCGTGTTCCAGTGCGTCGGACTCTGACACAGGGTCCTTGCATCATCTTGACATTCGTCGAAACATCGGTTGATGATGGATATGAGTTCTGCGGTTCAGGAGCGGTGGTGACGATTTGAAGAACAACTCCGCGGGACGCTAGACTCAATCGTCAGCTCTGGTGGTCATGCGATGCCGCTCGATACCGGTTTGACTCTGCTCGCTGTATTGGACTATATTTGTTGAGGTGGAAATAGCGAGCGTCGTAAAAATTCAATGTAATTCCAAAACTCCGCCGATTTCAACTGCTAAGCGAATATCGATGTGGTATTGTGTAACATGCGTCCAAATACCCTGAAACTATCTCGCGTTCGGATTCAACGCTCTCCTCGAACTGAAAAAGTCCCTCCGACGTTCATGCTCTTCTTTTTCTTGCCAAAACCCTTCAACTTGCCCTTCAAGCTCGCGCTGAACTTCCTAGTCATGCTCCCACCAGCTTTCTCCACCTTACCAACCAGGTTCTTCATACTGTCCTTTCCCTCTATGATAACGGGCACGACACCAGCAGAAATGCTTCTCTTGAGATCCGAGCCTATAGAACTCACTGCTTTGACCTTCAACTTCTCCCAGCTGCCGGTTCTGCCATGCGATTGATAACCATGCTTCCTGACTTTGGGTCGTTGTGCGGGCGTCGGATGATAGGGCTTTGGTGTGAAGGTGCTGAAAGTAGGGTATGAAGATGGCCATCGCGATGGAAGTGACATATGGTGCGGTTTTGGTGCATGTGTTGGATGCAGAGCCGATGTAGGTGCCCAGGACGATCGGTTCGACATAGCGGTTTGAGATCTCAGGCGCTGATTCGTGATGGAATTCCGTGAAAATGCTCTTGATATAGCCGCGCCTTCCAGGTTTTCTCCAGGTATTGGCACGATTGCCCTACCGTAAGGAGATGATTCAATGTCCAAGTCAAAGAGCCGTCCGTGCCTCCTCTCTTGCCTTGCCTCGAAGCTTCCCCATTCATCTGTAACACGCCTCATGCTAAGCTTGCGCCTGAATTTGTCTGTACTACCTACTCGGCTGCGGATACTGCCATGTTTGCTGTCTTGCTTTCCCAGGCGTCGTCTTTCATTATGTTCGTTGCGATTTGCTTGTTCCTGGCGAGCAAGAAAATCCTCAATCCACTCTTTTGAGCTTTCGTCGATGGCACAGGGTTGAACCCATTCGCTCGATCTCGCCCAGCCATATAAATATACCCTTTCGGGGGGGTTCGAAAGAATATTACAATTTAACCTTGAATGAGCTTCATAAACTCCACCGCTCAAAGGCACATTGGATATAGACTCTGGAGTACCGGTAGGCGTTGCCTCATTACTTGCACGGTTGGGCCATGTCCTTCTCCATGAGTTACGCAGACTGGCGACTTCATGAAGCCTTGCATCTAGCTCGCCGATAGACTGCATACTTTGGAGCTGAGAGGACTGATGAATGTGAATAGGCCCAGGCTCTGTATGTGACTTCGTAGAGACTAGGGAAGTCATTGTCGATGCGCGCGAGGAAGGCCTACTTAGAGGCGAGCATGAATGAATATTGCCCTCCTCAGTACCGTTGATGATCGTGGTGGTTCTTAGAGGTGGTGCAGATACTGGGCGATAGAACGATAGTTTACGTTCAATAACTGCATTTAGCTCGTTCTGGGACGACTTCGGCAGAGGCTTGCGGCGAGGCGTAGTAAGGGCATGGCTCTGGTGTACGGTATTCGTCATATTCAAGAGTTGAAGCTTCGGTACAGCCGGGTATGTGGGCAATCCTGAGGTAGTTACGTCGTCGTACGTTAGTATAGGCTTTTGCTGGTTTGCCACAGACAGCGTCGAGGGGGAACGGGTTGTGCTGGGGAAACTTTCGGTGCACGCGGGATGCTGATTAGACGGCATTTTAGCATGTTCCGAACCTCCAGAGAGGTATCTATCCTCGATGATTTGCGTATTTTCTGGGGATGGTATGTCTCTCGCTTCTGCCGTGGCAGTACGTGTACCGTTTTCCTGCCTGTACATATGTTAGTGGGGCTCGACGTCGTATCTTAGGTTGCGTACTCAGACTTTGCGTGTCTCGACATTTGCACGGCTTTCAGCAAGACCTCCGCGCCCTTGTCATGATCCGAGGCATGTGTGATGTTCGCAGCATTGCTGGCTTCCATAATGATGGGTTTTTGTTGGAAGAGAGCTAGAGTTACATTCTCGCAACGGACTCCAGGAAAAGCTCGTACGTCAAGGAGCATCGTGTACTGGCAGTCCCACAATTGGCGACAACCGGATCCACCCGTGCCCGCGGTATCTTCGGTCGGTTACTCGTAGCTGATGTGCAAACTCAGATCGCTTCTCGGTTTGTGGGGAGGCGGTCAGGGTCTGAGACGACCATTTGTCGGATCGAATGCCTTATTGTCACGGCGGAGCGGGGTTCGACTGCGATGCGAACCTGGTACTGACTGCGGAGGACCTGCATCGCCTGGTCGCTTTTTGCGCTGCCGTCCTCGGATCCTGCACTATTATGAAGTCTGCGCCATTGATCTATTTTGTGTAGGCTTCCTCCACAGACAAGATACAATCAATTGGTGCAATCTTGTCGCTGTGGTGAAGCTCAAGGCATGTTTGTGAACAATCAACGATGATTGGCGGAAACCCCCATTAGTTTGAGCTCTGTTGTCCTCGTCGGAGTGCTAGTGGAAGGCATAAAATAAGGACTTATCAAGGGTGAACGCAGATGCGGAAGGTGCAGCGGCGTTTGAATAGACATAGTGACAGATTGGGGTTGTGGGAAAGAGCGTACCGTGGCACCCACTATTCTGTACCATCACTATCTACTTTAAAGCATGGGCGATAACGGATAATACAGATCAACGACTGAGATCTTGTACAGCTATGAGTGAGGGGAAATCATTCTGATCTGTCCATGTTGCTGAGGTGTGGGTACGAAAGTCAAGCGTCAACGTCCAGAAGTGTAGGGGGAGGATTATCAGGACTTAGGTATTGCGCCAGCCAACACGTGCTCGTCACATGTGACCTTCAATGCAGGAACAGAATTCAGGAATGTCTGAGGATACACTCATGAAAATCACCGCCATCGATGAATAAAGCGGGCACACATGCAGCCATAGCCTTACTGCTCCATCGCAATACTGCGCTCGTAGAGATCAGACACTTCCAACAAATTAGTCCAGCTCATTGCATGCGGTTTCGGGAAGAACTTACGGGTCAACGCGTCCAAGAAGAACCCCTCCAGATTCTTTGCCACTCGCTCATATCTAGCCAAGTCATCTTCATTAAGAATCACATTGGCCTTTGCTCGGATACCCCGATCTACAAGTACGACCTCCATGTCACCACCCTTCAGCGGTCGGTTGTCAAGACGCATTACATACGTTGGCTCGTTCGCTTGGATGGCCTTCTGAAATCGCTCGGAGTACTGGTAGAGAAAGGCCACGTGATCCGCGATATCCTCCCAGAAGCCGATGAGCGAGAGAAGAGCAACGCGACACGCTGCCGAATGGTGGACGTCGGTGGACTGGTGGCCGGGAAGACCACAGATACGACAGCCACCGTGTGTAGGACGCGCCAATAGATTAAAGCGGTCGGGGCTTTGTGGAACTTGCTTTGCGCCGGCTGGAGTCAGCTCGCGAACGGCTACTGAGAGCTTCGTGAGCGTTTGTCGAACATGTTCGGCATCGTTCGAGCCTGGGGATGACATAGTGATTGGGTGCTGTGTGTTAGTATTGACAGAAAGATCTTGTGAGAGTAGTCTGCAGGTCAATGCTTGCGAGGATCGCTGAAGTTGAGGCCGGTGATGGATGGTGGAAAGTGCGGTTGTATAGTAGATGGTGGACGAGGAAGGGTCGATGCAAGGCATTGGGGTAGTCACGATCTCACCGTTAACAGTGAGAGAAGGCACGTGCCGGCCAAGGCAGCAGGCACACACCTGCAGATTGCTAACTCACGGGTCAAGAGACCGTAGTGAACCATGTAGCCTCATAAGCACGTGCATGAAGCGTAGGCTAGAACAATTGCTCAAACCCCAGGCGTAAGACCCTCAGGGTACTTTATTGGTATAATACCAGCCGAGGTCACCACCAAGCGGTGCATATGCGATAAGACGTTTCACTCGGTGTGAAGAGGAAGCCTACTACATCTGTCCCGTCATAGCAGGGCTACCGTGGCGCTGATCAAGGTGATCATAGTTGAGGTCGAACTCTTTCTATACTCGCGTTAGTGTCTGGTACGTCGTTGATAGGAAATGCATTGGCAGAGCAAAACACATACCCTTTCTCTCCTCCAGTTCTTGACATCGAAGAATAGATACCACCCATGTTCCTCTTTTGGCGAAATTCTAATAGGCGCCGCGAGATCTGGATCCTTCATCATCCACTGCTGGAGCTTCATGTGCCACCGCCAATCGCGATTGTATAGCTCTTGTGCAGCAATCTCTTGCAAGATGTCTCTCGGGAATTGATAGAAGATAGCTAATAGTGTCTCGGCAGAGAAGCTAGCCATTTTGGAATGCAGTGGTGGAACATTCGTTACAGTGTACGCCGCTGGTAGAGTGAAATCTGGTGGGATTACAGGCTTGACGTTGGATTCCACGAAAGGAGAACCGAACGTGGGATGTAACGGAGAATTACTAAGAAAACCATTAGCAAATGTGTTGAGCTGGGTAAGGGAAAGCGTACTCTGGCCGGCTCAGATCGAGGCCCAGAACTGTCAGATCTTGGCCCATAGCCAGCGAGGAATAGTCGGGGCTGTCCATAGGAATCATGGACAGAAGTCCAGGTAGACCGTATCTTTCCGAGTCGGTCATGTCCGAGAGCTTCTTGTGTAGCATGTTCTGCGCGTTCGGGGAGCCGAGAACATCAGACCCAAATGTTTGCTCGAACTGATTTTGCTGCTGCCGTTGACCGCCCGGGGCAAGATCAGCACCACCTCGCATGCCTGTCTGAGGGCCTAGGGAGAACATGTTCCCTTGCTGTCCTATCCGTTGGTTTCCCTACATAGTTTTAGCTGAGGTACAGTGTAGTTGCATGTGGTACGTACATCCGATTGGTTGCCTGTCCGCATGTTCTCAAACGGTGTCCGCGATGCTGTCATGGTCAGTAGCTGCTATGATGGCTGGGATCTCTTGCGTACATGTACCTGGCGGTGCCCTGCCACCCACGGTGGGGTTGATGCTCCTGTCTTGCTGGCTATCTGTCGGGCTTGAGAGGCCGTTCCGTGTTTGTCCGAGCCCAGGAAAGGCGCTGTTTCCATTCGCACCGAATGCCGCCGCGTTCTGTATCAGGCCAGCTCTTCGATCTTGTGGAATATCTCCGCCAGCGCCCCCTAATGGAGGAAACTCCTCGATGTTGCCCGTCTGCGGCTGAACACCCCCCAATTGTCCGACGCCCCCTTGTCCCCCAAACCGATAATCATCTCCAGCGCCAGAGAACTGGCTTTGGGATGAATCATCCTGTCCCTGGTTCTGCTGTTGTTGGTTCGTAGCTTGTGTAGCCTGCCCTTGGCCCTGCTGTTGACCTTGACCTTGTGGACGTCCAATCGTGTTTTGCTGGGCTTGCTGGGTGGTTCGTAGGGTGGGGTTTGACCACATCTGCTGCGCGGTAGTGTTCTGTTGCGCTTGCGGCGCGCCCGACAACGAAGGAAATTCCCTAAGGTCATCAACATTTAGCTTGTGTCTCTCAACGTCCTTCAGATTCTCGGAATAGAGCTGGGGAGTGTTCTTTCGGTACTCTCCTTTCTTTCGTTTCGGAGACATTCCGTGTGTTGACTTACTCAAGATTCAGCGGGGTATGTGGCTGCGAGCCGCCCATTGCTTGCGCGAAGCTTGACATGGCCCCGCCGTTTGTTCGTGTTTGCGCATTCGATAGGCCTGGCGCACCCATTGGAGCTCCAAACCCCCATTGAGATGCAGCTCCTGCAGCGACAGCAATCAGCGATATAGCCCAAACTCGCCCTGGGATTGTCCTCACCCATCTTGCCATTCTGCAACCTATTCGCACCGAGTGGGGCACCACGGCCCGGATTTTGTTGCGCTTGAAACATATTGGTGCGTATGTTCTGTGAGAATGATGCGCCCTAGCCTACACGAGAGAGGAAGTTAGTGTTGTTTGATTTGGGAGTAGGTACTTGGTCGACCGAATGACAAGGCTGCGGCGAAGCGGTCGAGGGAGGCGCGTAGTGAGTTCGGCTGTGTAGAGGGATCGTAATCGTTGTAGGGCCGTTATTCGGGCGCGTTCGGCGTCGTAGTCGTGGGTGGCTCCTTTGCGATGTGCGGCGTGGTGCGATTCCGGTTCGACCTTGGGGTTTATGCGGGCAACAGAAGGAATGGGTGCACTTTGAGGGCTTGGAGAGAGAGTATTTACGAACCTGGTAATAGAGTCGTGATCTGACCTTGGGCGGCTAGTGTACGTCGAGCTCACGGTGTTGTTGTATCAGTCTCGCGTACTTAGGTACGTGAAGTTGCGAGGTTCCCGAAAGCGAAATGGTGCTAACCTAATCGGGCCTGCACAGGCTTATGACGCGGGGAGCATCACCCGGTCCACGGGTGGATCTTCCGTCGAAATTGAGAGCTTCAGACTGCTTAACATTGAAGACTGTGCTTAATCACAATTTCGATACAGATGTGATGACTACGTAAGAAAGAAAGATGGCATGAACTCGGATTAGATGTCTTCTCTGGCAATCATCAGCGACCTATCCCAACAGTATGCACATGGGACAGATGAATTCTAGGGAAGGCCTCACGAGGCATTAAATTAGAATGTCTTGACGAGAACATCCCGAGACCGTCAAGATCTGACAATAATCGCCCTCAGTCACAAGTGCGCATCGTGGAATTTGTTCGAGCACGCGAGTATTATGCATGGATGGTAGCTTATAGTGAAGCAGACACAGAGAAGTAGTATGCCGAAAACCGTGTCACTGTAGTATACCAAATCATCCTCCTTTGTACAGGTGACGTACAGAAACCACGCAATTAGCACCTTGAACCTTTTGTAGAGAGACATGTATCCACGCAACAACTGAATCCACGCTACTGATATGCTTACACGCGGAGCAAAGCTTGAACAACAAAGCTATCAAACATTCACAGAAGCAAACGCTTGTGAGTCTAAGCAGGACCCTGCTGGAACAGATGTGACATGTCGGCTTCACCGTTGATGCCGAAGAAGTTGAACCTAAGCCAGAGAGTTAGTGACTGTATTCAGACGGAACCGCAACTTCGACTTACCAATCATCGACATTCAAGCTCATAGGCACAATGGGGTTGTGCCGGCCTCCGGAACTTTGACTCCAAGCATCATCCTGTGCGCTATGCTGTTGCTGGTTCTGCGACATCATCTCCATCTGTTGCTGCCAGGCCTGAGGATTATTATGCTCGTAACCGCTGGAGATGCCTGTATTTGACGGTGGGTTCTGCATCTGTGACTGGCCCCCAGCAGTCTGTTGAGAGGGCATGGCAATATTTTGAGGTTGACTTAAGGCAGGATCTACAAGGCTATGGTTTTGCATGGGTGACATCTGGGGAAAGTTGACTTGTGTGTCGGCAGGGAACAGCTGGTCAGGCTGGAAGTTCTGCCACACTTCTTGGCTAATATTAGGGGTATCACGGGTCACCAGGAAAAGATCCGGCGGCGTTCCTGGATACGAGTATGAAGGGTTGAACGGGGTTGTAGGACGCGTTCCTGACCGTGAAGGGCCCATGAATGCGTCGTGATTTTGCCGATTCATCTGTGGAGATCCAGTGGTCATCTGGGGCATCTGCTGTTGAGGTTGCAGCTCGCGCGAAGGTGTGACGGCAGGAGTCTGCGGTCTGGACCGTTCATACGAGACTTGAGCAGATGGTGGACCACTTGGAACAGGGAAGCCTAGGTCCATGTCATCGAATTTTCGTTTCGAGGATTCTTGGGCAGGCTTCGGTGGCGGTGGTGGTGGAACCGAAGGGACCTTGTTTTTCTTATGGTTGCGGCCGGCAGCTTTCTGCAGACGTTCTTCAAGGTGCTTGTTTCCAAGAATTGATTCGAACAGAGTGTGCACCATCTTTGCGACAAGCCAGACCTTGGAGACCTCTTTAAGGGCGTCCAGGCAGATCTGCAGTCGCTGCTCAGTCGCCGAGACGACAGACTTGTTAGACGACTTCATCTGGTAGACGTGCATAATGAGGGCAGAAAACAAGCTGTAGACGATGAAAGCCGGAGTATACCGAATCTCGTCATGAGCTCTGAGGTTTTCAATGATGGATGTGATCATGGCGGCCGCTTGGTACGCAATGTTCCGTGATGGATAGGCGTTGGCTTCACCAAAACCGTCTAGATGAGTGGCTTTTGGTGAGCCTGCTGGAGGCATGTGTGCGCGATGCAGAAGACATAAAGTGGTGCTGCGAGCGTTAGTCTACGTCAGAGTTAGAAGATGCATAGACGTACTAGTAATTCGAATGTAACAAGGCGGCCCAGAAATGGTGGCGGTTTCGCTCCCACTGCACTTCCGGCGGACAATGTTGCAGCCAGTCGGCAAGGGCCATGTCGCTGTGTGTCAGGTCTATGGCATTCGCCCTGCGGTGTTTTGACGCTACCGAGTATTGTTGTGATAGGACCAAGCCCATAATCTCGCTAAGTTTGACATAGTTGATGAAGAACTGAACATGGATCGGATCTGGTGGGTATTCTGCAGCGTGCTCTGTCTCGTCGTCGATGAAGTCATCTTCAGACACCATCTCGACATCGGAATCTTCAGGATCAATAGCAACCGGCCGGCCGAGTGCGACTGCCACTGAACGGTCCCGGCTGTACAGGGTCCACCAGATACGCTTCCACAGGCGCTTGTCGGAGCGTGTGAGCTGTGATCCTTCGACGCTGCGGTGCATGCCCGAACCCTGAGCTACTACGATAGCGACTCGGGTCCAGTAGAAAACGTTCTTGGTCACGTCCTCGGGTCCCTCCCAGTACCAGCCCATCAGGATGAGGGCTTGCACGATGGTCACGCGATCATCTTCGAAGTTGGCGTCGTATAGCGCTTTTGCGCGCTTATAGAACGTCATGGCCGCGGGGGTGGTTGAGCCACTCGAGTCCATCAACTGCGCATTGGTACACACGCGCGAGCCTGCCAGGAGTATGGCCTGTAGCAGAAGGAGCGAGGGCGGGTTCTTGGGGTCTCGATACTGGCGCATGAAGCGGCTGCGATTGATGACTGGCACGACCGGAGCTACCCATCTGAAGAAGGCTTCGACAAGCTCGTCGCATAACGCCCGCGGTGGGAGCAGGAAGGCGCCTCGCTGATGCAGTATCTCAATCTCCATGTTGTCCATCTCGTTGACCCGTGCCTTCGCGCCCCGCACGTTCTCGGGCAGCGGGTAGTGGACGACGTCGGTGGTGCCATAGCGGTCGTGCACGAGCAGCGACAGGTTGGAGGACTCCCCGAGGTATGCGACTCGGCCGGCTTCTTTGATGGGCGCGCGCGCAAACTTGGGCTTCATGAACTGCACGTAGGTGCCATTGTGGGTGGCCTGTTGGGCGGCGTATTCGGGCGAGACGGTGGTGGAGGGGGTCCCGTCCTGGGTGTTGTATACGGTCGACTTCTCGCGGGGCTCAGCGGAGGTGCTGGCGGGCGAGCGGTCGTCGCTGTCGCCGCGGTCACTGCTGTCGCGTCAATACCAGAGCACCCCAGCGTGGAGTCGCGTGCGCGTACCTCTCTGCATCCTTGGCCCGGGCCGTCTGCGTCTTCTTGCGCTTGGGCTGGGGGATGCGGCACTCGATGCCGAAGGCGGTGCAGTTGGTGCATGGGATCCCCAATGAGGCGGCGTCGCATCGTACCTATGGCTGGTTATGTCGCGTTCTGGCAGCACGGCGGTTCCGCGGCTGATTACTCACTTTCCTCGCGTGGCAGGCTGCGATGCGTGGTGGTTAGCATTCGTTCTCCAGGCCGACCGAGGTGCCGAGGCTCGCGAGCTGAACCATATATCCCACCGACCGCAATGGCTCCTCCCTCGTACCATCAGGGGCGTAGATACAGGCAAGACATGGGTCGCACTCACTTTCGCACGCCCTGCTGGCGCGTTGCCGCCGGAAAGACGGGTGTCCAGGGGGAACTGACTGCGACGACGCCGACGGCCTGGCTGGTATGAGCATGTGCTGGACGTGCTGCGCGCGACTGCAACCTACGGAGTCCCAATGCTGGGTTGCGCAGCGAGCGGCGGCGGCGCTGCTGCTGCGGGCACGGCGCTGGCCATGAAGGAGTGTTCGCCCGACATGCTGCTGTCGCTGTGCTCTTTGACGCGGTCGTCGAGGGTTGAGGTTGTGATTCGTCCGCAAATGGTCGTGTTCTTTGGGGGCACGCACAGTGTGAACTAGCGCGGGCGCCGGGGTGGTACGGGAGGCTACGGCAAGGCAGTTATTACCATTGCGACACGAAACGTGCTTTTTCCTGTTCGACGGGATATTTGCTCAGACGCCAGAAATTGCACGGCTACCTAAGCTGCTTTTGGGCCGCGTCACGTTGGTGTCGACTTTGGCTTCTTTGTTGCTCGGTTGGACGGCTGCCAACTTACCCCAGATCACTTCTCCGACCATATGGCTCGCCTCCTATTGGCGACAATCACGAGTTTCATATGTGGACAGGCGAGACAGCATGGGAAGCAACTGATCGCCGTCTCTGTGAGGGTACTCGACTTTGTGATTTACATTCACATGCAGAATCTGGCCTAAAGGGGCTAACTTCGCTCACACGACAGTAAATGTACTGTCAAGTCCGGCCAATACCTTAAACATGGCCTCGGAAGTCGTCCCGTGAAGAAGTCAGCTTTCCCAGATACATCAGGCGTTTCAACCCTTCCAACGTCCATGGCTGTTACGCGGAACACCGCCCTTCGCGCTTCTGTCTGAACGCTTCCAGCTTGACCTCCTTATTCGCAGGACTGATGTACCTGAGTTCGACATCCCCCACCTTGTCATTGACAACCTCATCCGCGGATGCAAACAGGAATTTCTGGTGCTCGACTGGGTCCAGGACGACTCTGTCTGCGTTCTGCACTTCCATCTCAAACACCAACTTGAGCCATGTCGTGGTCCCGTCCAAGAAGGTAAAATGCGTGACTTTCTTCAGTATGCGAGTCGTTTCCAGACCAGCTTCTTCTTTGAGCTCTCGAGCAGCAGCATGCAGAATTGTCTGGTCCGTATCATCGACTTTGCCCCCTGGGACCTCCTTTTTCGTGTTAGCACCGTGGGACTCGTAGCTTCCTCATTGACTCACCCAGAGATCAGGGAACGCTCTTTCCTCCGCTGCACGCTGCACGATCAGCAGCTTGCCTTCTTTGTTGAACACAATTGAGCCTGTGACGAGACAATTGTATTCGGGGTGCTGCTCGAGATAGACCTTTTCAGATACTGCATATTCTTGCAATGAATCTGGATAGTGGAGAGAATTCATGATGCCACTGGAGTGCGGGTGAAGATAGACCACGAATGTCAGATTTGGGGCCTGTGAAGGCAGCTATGTGCGCTGCAATCGTTGTTGCCTTGAGGACATCCTCAACACGTCGTGCAGGTCCAGGATACCGCTAGACCTCAGCGAGGCACTACATAAGCCGAAAACACATTCATCTCGTTGTCCATGGCCATACTGACAAGCCTATGTGGGTGATGCGCTGACACGTGAGCCAAGTGTTCGCGCGTCTAGATCGGCGCTAGGTGGTGAATTCAATCCAGTGCGTCACAACATCGACGCGCCTCATCCCCATCCCCGTCGCACGGTCGCCGCCCGCATCAATCAGATCGCGAACACACTCATTCCCCTGCGCATAATTCCCAACATCTTAACACACTCGCGCTGGCGCCTTGCTACCATGCCCCGCCCACCACGATCGAAAGTCGCGTCGCGCGTCGCGAAACCCACCAAACCGAAAGCTGCCCCCGCGCGCAAGCAGACAGCCAAACCCATCCCAGTGCAGACCAAAAAGCTCAGCGAGGCAGCCAATAGTTTCAGCGAAGACAGCGATGGCCTCGTTACCAAAACCAGAACAACGCGTTCGCGCAGGACTATGCTGGGGGAAAAGACACCGGAGGTTCAGGACGAGGCAGAGCTCACCATGACTGTCGCGCTGCCGGCTGAAGAAGACATCCCTGTGTCATCGATTAAGAACCGGACTCCTGCATCAAATGCATCAAAGCGGATGCGGGCCACGAGGAGCAGTGCCAGGAAGCCCGCAGCACATACATCGCCAACTGCGATCGCACCAACACACGAAGAATCACAGATAGAAGAGGATAGCGGCTATGGGGATTTGACATTCTCTTCCCTTGGCTCAAATTCACCAGCTCACGGCACGCGCCCGCCATCGGCCATCAAGGTCGGCGCAACACCCGCACACGAGAGATCGATACTCGCTTTGACCAATTTCAAGCGCAGAGCACGGCAGCCAAGCTTGTTACGCATGGTACAACAGACGACGGATGTGGAGGATAACGATCAAGACGACTTAGACAATACCGACAATTTCGACTTTGACGACTTCCTCCCCCATGCCGAATCGACACCCCTCAATGTGCGAAAACAAGCACCGGAGGAGGAGACAAGGAATGATAGCGGCACCCAGATCTCAAGCTCCGGTTCCCGTGGTACAAAGCGCAAGCTGTCGCCTGTAGTACAGGTGCCACGCTCGTCACCACCAGCGAGTCCACAGTCTGGCGGAGATGTGGAGTCACAGCGGTCACACTCCCCGAGCCTACCAGAAGTACTGTCGACACGTGAGCAAGTCATTGCGCAGACACAAGAAGACGATGAGCCGTTGAGCGAGACGCTTGCACCTCCCATGTCAAGTAGCCCAGAACGCGAAGTGTCAAAGCCACCTCCAACCCCAGCGCAAACGCGACCACGCAGGAGAGCACGGCAGGCCAAGACACCCGTGATGGACGAGGACTCTGATGGCGAGGAAACAGAGACACCCGCGAGGGCTAAACAGAGGGCTAAGAAGAAGGCACAGCAGACCATATCCACCGCGCAACTCAAAGACCTGCTACCACGTCGGCGCAACCGCTTACAGGATCGCGATGAGTTTGAGATGGACTCTTCGGACGATATTGAGCAAGTGGACTCGGATCAAGATGAGCTCCAAATGCCAACACGTCGCGTCCGTCAGAGGCCAGGGGCTGGAAAGCCGGCATCGCCAAAGGCAACAAAGAAAACAGGTCGCACCAAGAAGACTGCACCAGCAAAACCAGCAGGGAAGTCGAGCCGAACGTACGGTCGCAGGATTTCGTCGGACAAGGAAAATGAGACGGCAGACCAGAACGAAGCAGAGACCACCAAAGTCTCGGCCATTGAGCACTCTGAGAAGTTGGCTGCTATCCGAAAGAAATTTGAAGAAGTGGACGCTTTTGAACTGGAGTTTGAAGATGTGGATGCGACGACCAGCTCGAGCCCGTTCCGGTGACGGATAGGCCAGTGGGTGTGTGAGATTCGTTCTATTCGATAGTATGTCTTCACTGCTTCTCGTTCTGTCGGCCATGACGACTGATGATGATATCCGTGGGTTTAATACACGCACATGGCGCTTGTTTGCGCATGGCTACGCAGTAGTATTATAGTACATGACAATGCATGATCTATTTTCTTCTATGAAGTAACGTTGTGAATGCATTGGATGGCCGAGTCAGCTCTGCCTGAAGCTAGTCGTTATCTGTCCTTATCGTCACACGGCGCCCAGGCAGTTTGAGAAGTCACGGAGGGGCGGTGAAAGTCGAAGAGTACCCACTACTTACGTATCCAATTCATCTTAATCAATCGTGAGCCTTCTGCAGGGTGCCTAGGTGACTTGGCATGGGACGTTCTGACGGTTCGGCGGCACAGTGCACGGGCGTGTTTGAATGAAGGGGTGTGGTACTCGCGGGTTACGTAGCTTCCTTCCCCAGCTGTTGACCCTCACGATACCCGAGGAACCTAGACACTGCGCTTCCGTCCTTGCTCCTGACGTCTACACCATGTTCCCGTAACCTCATGTCATGCGGCTTCCCGACCACTCCAATCACTTGGCTTATGCAGCACCACCGTTACCCACTCCGCCTGGCGTCCGCATGCCATGAACCCCTCCAATGGCTCCTCGCTGTCCACGTCCAAGAGCAACTCGACACTGCGCCCCCGAACCCGAAGATTGATCTCGGTAGAAGATGACATCTATGCGACAAGTGGGAGTGAGAGCGGACCCAGTAGGGCCACGTCGAGGTTAAACTCGCGGACCACATCTCCCACCCCGAATGCACGCACGGGCGGCGCTTCCTCGTCCCATCTAAACATCACTTCTGCCCCTTCATCCTCCTTTCAAAGGTCCTCGGGGACCTCGACCCCGAAATCGCCCTCGCAAACACTTTCTGGCCTTTGGGGAAACTCGCTGGCAGCTATTCAGGGCATTGCCGCTACCGTCCTGGCCAGTGACGGTACCTCGGGCGAGTCTGGAAATACTCGTAGACGTAAACCGGGCCATGGGCGTCGGACGTCGACGAGCGCCCCGCCGCCGAAACAATGGGGTCCCGCAGGCACAGGCTCGCATGTTGGAGCTGGAACACACGAAGAGAGAGAGGCCATGGTCAGAGCAATGAAGCGCAAAGATCTACTGACCGCCGGCGAGCATCTGGTACCGGACTCTGTCGGCCGCATAAAGCGCAGGAATTCGGATGAACGTATCAGCGCTTCCGCGCCTCCCAGCGAGAACGACGATCGAGATGCACTTGTATACATACATCACGTTCGTCCGCAGGACACGCTGGCGGGACTGAGCATCAAATACAACTGCGAGCAAGCTGTGCTACGGAAGGCCAATCGTATGTGGCCGAACGATAGTGTACAGATCAAGAAGCAAGTGGTGCTGCCAGTAGATGCGTGTGGCGTAAAAGGGAAACGAGTCCAAGGCCCGGATGCTCTCCCTGCAGAAGATCTATTACTGGGACAGTACGGCGACAATTCAAATAGTAGGGCTCCACTTGCAGATACTCAAGGTCTCCCTAACGGCTGGACGACGCCAAAGAAGAAAGACCAAGAGAACGACTCCGTCCCCTCATCTGACCCAGAGACACCATGGACACATGATTCATGGGTTCTTCTGCCTAATGACAAACAGCCAACACAGATTGGCCGCATGCCACGCAGAGCACTTGGCTTCTTCCCACCCGCTCGACGAAAGTCTCTCGCGTACTCCGATGCATCGACCCCCCGAGCTTCTGTCGACCTTCCACGCTCGTCCACTTCCACGAACCCGCTCACTAGCTCTCCTTCGCAATCCGTTCGACCGCGCGCGTCAAGTAACCTGTCATCCGCCTCAGCCCACAGTCGTCAAAGAAGTACATCAGGCAAAGCATGGGGTCTGCAAGGGCCAGGGGGTGTCGGTACCATGGGCAGGAATGTGCGAAGCCCTGGGCCTGCGCAGGATGGTCTGAACAAGAAATTTGCTCAGTACCTGCCCAATATGGCTCCTCCACCCGGACAGGAATACTTCACACCATGGGCGCCGGGTTTGCTGGACGCAGGTGCAGGAACATCAAGTCAGCATGGCGGATCCGGTGCTGTCACTCCGCTCAGTGGCAGCGGCTTAGATTTCCAAGAGCTTGGGGGTGCTATAGAAGGATGGGTAAGGAAGGTCGGTACACAAGCACAGAAGCTTTTGAATGAGCCGGGCACACCTGGACAGGGCAAACGCAGTGCCGTACCTGTCCTAGGAGCTGTCGGCGGTGATCTGGGCGACCTAATAGAACTCCAAGATGATGCCTTTGAGATTGGAGATGACGAAAGGGACAGGGGCAGATCGAGGGCAGAGGAGACGCTTGCATCGACGAATGAGCGCTCAGTATCGAGACCAGCACAGCAGTATCAGTCAGCACGACCAGACATCAATCTCGTCTTGAGGGATAGGACGCGGAAAGGGGAAGGCAGCAAGAAGGATTAGACAGCATTGTGCGAATTAGGTGTCAAAGGTGTTGGTAGCGACACGTGCATAGTATGTTGGCTTGCTTTGGGTATCGAAGCGTTTGGCATTTCAGGGCATCTGCAATATATCATTCACAACCCCACCCCCATATTGACAAATTTTGGTGACTTTCTCCTTATGCCCGGTTTTGTTGCTGATGATGTCGGTTGCGAAGACAGTTCGGAAGAACTACAACAAAGCTCTTCGTCGGGTCGCCGAAGGCCGTGCACCTCCACATTGGATCCGGACTAGACAGGCGGTGACTTGTCGCGCCACCGTCGCTGTGAGGGCGGTTTCCCATTATCTACTCGAATTGCGAGAGCAATATATCTACATGTCCGCCAGAAGCGCATTAGGCAGGTGGTCATCTGCTTTGCTACGGCATAGATCGGCATATGAAGCTGCTCCACTCCGACGATACCTCCAAACCACGCGATCACCTGCAACGTTTCTCTCCCAAGACGTCCGTCTTTCACCAACACCAACCTTGACTGGAAGACAATACGCCAAGCAATATTCGAGGACAAGTCGACTTCTCACACCGTCAGTTACGAGAACAGCCGCATTCGCCACAATGCATCGCTCCCCCGCCGCCATGTTGACGAAACCAATGGCAGACCCAAACATCGAGATCCGCACCCCCAGGGATCCTAACACTTTGTCCAACTATCACAACTTTGTGACAAGGCATACTAGCGTAGATTTTGATATCGACTTCCAGAAGAAGAGGTTATTTGGAAGTGTGGTGTTGACGTTAGAGTGTTTGACGGACGAGGATGTGAAGGATGTTGTGTTGGACAGCAGGTATGCGCATAGATCTTGCCAGACTGGATGTTTGCAACATTTTACTAAAAGAATCCAGCTTCCTTGATATCTCTGTTGTAGAGGTTGAGGGTAAAAGCGTCAAGTTCAACGTAGGAGATCGCGTGGAACCCTATGGCAGCCCTCTTACCATCACTCTTCCTTCCAAGGTCTCCAAAGGCAAGACCATTGATGTAGAGATCAAGGTCGCAACCACTGATAAGTGCACCGCGCTTCAGTGGATGACGCCCGCGCAGACTTCAAACAAGAAGCACCCATACATGTTTTCGCAATGCCAGGCCATCCATGCACGTTCAGTCTTCCCCTGCCAGGACACTCCAGATGTCAAGTCGACTTTCAGCTTTGCTCTACGCTCGCCCCTACCGGTGCTTGCTTCAGGTCTGCCTACTGGAGCAAGTGACTATCTGCCCCCGAAGAAGGACGGTGAGAGCGGTACAATGAAGTACACATTTGAGCAAAAGGTTCCCATGACTGTCTACCTCTTTGCTGTTGCGAGTGGAGATCTAGCGTGCGCAAGCATCGGTCCCCGCAGTACGGTATGGTCTGGTCCTGAGGAGCTCCTTGCGTGCAAAGACGAGCTAGACGGCGAAATAGAGCCTTTCATGAAAGCGCTCGAATCCATCGTCTCGCCCGCCTACCAGTGGGGCCAGTACAATGTGCTCATTCTGCCTCCTTCGTTTCCGTACGGCGGCATGGAGAACCCGGTTTGGACTTACGCCACTCCCTCTATCATCTCTGGCGACAAGCAGAACGTCGACGTCATCGCACATGAGCTCTCACATTCATGGTCAGGCAACTTGGTCAGCGCAGCAAGCTGGGAGCACTTTTGGTTGAACGAAGGCTGGACTACGTACCTGGAACGTAGGATCGCTGCTGCTCTTCACGGAGAGGCACATCGCCACTTCTCTGCCATCATCGGCTGGAAAGCTCTAGAGCAAAGCATAGAGAACTACGGCGAAGACCACCCCTACACTAAACTTGTTCTCGATCTCAAGGGCCAAGACCCTGACGACGCTTTCTCTTCCATTCCGTACGAAAAAGGTTTCCACGCACTGTACCAATTCGAGCTGCTTCTCGGAAAGAAGAAATGGGATTCTTTCATCCCTCATTACTTCGACACGTTCAAGTTCAGGTCTGTCGATTCGTACGACTTTAAGAGTTGCCTCTTAGAGTTCTTCGAGAAAGACGCAGAGAGCAAGCAGAAGCTGGACAACTTCGACTGGGACAAACTGTTCTACGCACCGGGATTCCCTGTCAAGCCAGACTTTGACCAGACTATGGTGAAAAGCTGCTATGAACTCGCAGACAAATGGCAGGCTTTGATCTCCTCTGATTCCAACGACTTCAAGCCTCAAGCCTCTGATATCGAAGGCTGGGTGTCAAACCAGTCAGTCGTTTTCCTCGAGAAGCTTCAATCTTTCGCTTCGAAATTCTCAGCCGACAAAGTACACCTGCTCGGCGCGACTTATGGCTACAACGACACTCAGAACATTGAAGTGCTGTCGCGCTACCTCAACATCGGCCTCATGGCCAAGGCACAGGAGACTTACGAGCCTGCAGCAACATTGCTGGGCAAGATTGGTCGTATGAAGTTCGTGCGGCCCATGTTCAGGCTACTGAACGAGGCGGATCGCGACTTGGCGGTCAGCACGTTTGAGAAGAACAAGGATTTTTACCATCCGATCTGTAGGCAGATGGTGGAGAAGGATCTGTTTGGAGGTGATGAGAAGAAGTAGAGACGAGCGGAAACACTAGGAAGTGGAACATAGCTACAATGATCGAAACATATCTAGAGGCTATTCATGATAATCAAACTAGTGCAAGCGAAAGCAAATTACATAACAACGTGCGGTGTCACGAGGTCTGTATCTCATCCCAAGAGGTTATTCGACATTGACACACGACGCTTCACAACTCAATCGCACTTCCATCACTCCCAGTCGTCGAAGCAAACACCGAAACAGAACATCAAAACTTCGGCCTTGCATTACCGAGACCGGCCCACCTCATTCCGTCGCCATCTCGCGTCGAGGCAACTTGTCATTCTTACCCCACCGGCATACCGCATCTGGCATTTCCGATCCCCGCATCCCGCAATCCAGATTCCAGCTTTGCACGTCCTCTGCAGCGTCACGGCGTCTGTTTAACCCCTCATTCAACCGAACCGCCGACCCAACGCCCCCTGCCTTTGCCAACCACTGTCGCGAATCGTATATAACACGTTGTCTCTTCCCGGCCACCGAAAATGGCCCCTCCCAAGCGCGCTTTGTTCTCTTTAAACCTCGACACCGACGCCGACCACGTGTACCAGAAAGTCGAAGACCACAGCAAAGACGGAACAGACAGAGTCAAAGTCATTGAAAGCAAAGGACCGACACACGGACATACTGATCTGAGTTACGTGACAAAACCGTTTGAGAAGACTGTTAATCGCGCGGTCAACGAGGTTATTGAAGGAAGCGGACGGAAAGTACACTCCGCAGAAGGTCACGTATCGTATTCGACAAACAGAACGGAACGACGCGGCGGCGGAGCAAGAAATCAGGACGACGAAGAAGAAGAACGCGATCGAGGCCGTTTGAACGTTGTTAGCAAGACGAAGAGAAGGAACATCGAGAAGAAGTACGATACTTCTGAACTTTGAGAACTTCCCTACACACACGCAACGCGTACTACATCTGCACCCATCATGTCATCAGACCAGCAACCCCTCCGCATAGCCATTGGCTGCGACGACGCGGGCGTCTCGTATAAGAAAGCCATCATCAAAGACCTCGAAGCCGACTCGCGTATCGCCTCGGTGACCGACGTTGGCGTCCCCGAAAACAGCGACAAGACCGCGTACCCACACATCGCCGTCGACGCCGCCAAGCTCGTTGCAGAAGGGAAAGCAGACCGCGCTGTTCTCATCTGCGGTACTGGTCTCGGTGTCGCCATCTCTGCGAACAAGGTGCCTGGTATTAGGGCTGTAACGGCACATGACTCCTTCTCGGTGGAGCGCGCCATCTTGTCGAATGACGCACAGGTGCTGTGTATGGGCGAGAGGGTTGTTGGCATTGAACTTGCGAGGCGGTTGGTGAAGGAGTGGGTGGGATACCGGTTTGACAAGGGCAGTGCGAGTGCGAAGAAGGTCCAGGCTATCATGGATTATGAGAAGCAGAACTATGCGGGTTTGGTCAAGGATCAAGCCGACGCGAAGGGTTGTTAGTGTGTTTTTGCGATAATTCATTCTTCGTTACTGAACATTATTTTTGATACCATGCTCGCTATTCTTATCTTCTCATGAATGGGGGAAATAACACATAGATCTGATACATGAACTCACCGTAAGTTCTCTCAGGCAATAGCGTCCATCCGCCCTCTAATGATCTGGTGTTCCGAACTCCCAAATATCCTTCTCATACCCCTCCGTCAGATCTTTATCCTGTCCATACTTCTCCTGCCACATCGTAAAGCCTCCCTGAAGCACATAGACCTTTTGTTTCTTGACCTGTGTCCCACTAGGTACTTTCTCCCCGTCCTCCTTATCCACAGCTCCACTTTGTTCCTCAACCTCGCCCTTCGACTCCACCTTCGATGCCGGATCTAACCTCTCCTTCTCCCTCAGATATCTCAACGCGGCACTAGGCCCACGTTGCTGCGATAACGCGCAATGGAAGATGACGACTTCCTTGTCTTGTAGTGTGCGGATTAGCTCGGGGGTCTTGTAATCGAGTTGCGATGAGGGGACCCATGTTGAGCCTTTGATGTGACCGCCGACGTGATCGCTGTCTCGTACCTAGATTGGGGGCACGTGGTCAGTCTTGTGTATATCAGGGAAAGGTTCATGTGGGGGAGTTTTCTTACGTCGATGATTGCAGTGTTTTCAGGCAGCGACTTGCCGGAGGATTTGAAGTCGCTGGCGAGAGACTCGCGAGTCACGAATTCGAGATCTGACAGCGATATCGTTGACATTGTGCGGGCGGAAGTGCGAGTTAATCGGCAGAATAGAAATGTTCGTGCTTGACTCGCAGCAGAATGCTGATGTGACGATCTCGTTGCGCGGAGGAACTTGAGGGAATGCAGCTTGAAAGTTGTAGAGGAGCGGACGATTGTCTTTGATTTAGAGCTTTTCATAAGGGGGCGGTACGTGTACCCGGGTTAAAGAGCGTAGAATGCGTGGAAGTGAGTTGGAGGGGTAACGCGTGGGGAGCTACGTCGCGTAGACACGTGTGTTCTCCAACCAATGGCCAGCTGCAAGTGACATCCTTGGATATGATGGCATACGCTCTAGGCCTCCAGGCGGCTTTACCGCAGCACGTCAAAAACTTGGAAATGTCGTGATATCGTCTGGGCGTATGCAGGCGCACACTTTGACCATTGCAGTACAAAATATGTTGATAACAACAGTTTGTATTAATACAAGACGCGAGATGAGTAACCGTTATCGCTCTCAGAACCAACCGTGACTATGATACATGCCAAAAACAACGCCAAACCACCCAAAAGTCATCCTGTGGTCTTATCTCAGAGCTTAATCGTGCTTTGCGCCTCCAAAGTTGCCGTTACCCATGCCGCCCAGTAAGCCATCTTTCTCTCCCAGCTGGAAGTACGCGCCGGTATTTCCAAATCTTCTCTTCCGCCTACTGTTGCCGAATAGTGTTGCGGCAGTGAAGAAGCCGACAAACATGCCGAGCGAGATGAAGGGATGGTTGTTAATAAAGTGACGAGTGGAGAGGTACATGCCAGTAATGCGACCAGTGGTAGATTTGGCGGGAATCTTGGGCGGGTTCGATGTAACCATCTTGATGGTTTCAAGGATTGCGGCGCGCGATAGACGGATGGGTTCGCCAGATACGGTGCTATCCCAGTAGCGACGGTTCTACATGTGTTAGCAAGGTAAGTGTGAAGCGAAACTGAGTAACTTACATCTTCATCGTTGATGATGACGCTCTCGCCGTCCTTGACATCGACACCGTATGTGGTCCGGATCCAGCGTTCCCAGAAGATACCGTCAACCCATGCGAATGCGACTTGAGTGCGCTTGATATCATCCATGTTGATTCGGATGGATTTCGCATCTCTGAGTGCTCGCTGGTTGTCCTTGTCCTCGGCTTCTTCAATGCGCAATTGCTTCGCGTCGCGAAGCTCCTGACGCTCAAGCTGGAAGGCAGTGTCCTGCTTGTCAATCCACTCAAGCGCCGCGCTCTTCAACTCACGCTTAGAGAGGATGAACTCGTCGGAACGGTCGCGGTTAAGTATACCCAGAACAACGAACTTGCCATCCATGATCTCGCGGGCATTGGTAGATGTCATCTCGGGGACGATGGGCAACCAAACGGACTTCATCCAGGTGAGGACCTTCTTGACGTCACGCATCTCAAATGGTGTCCTAGGTGGGTAGTACGTAGGCTTTCCATCTCTTGATACCATCAACCTTGGCCAGGTGGAAATCTTGAAGCGATCAAAGAGCTCCTTGTCGTTGGTCTTGACCAACTTTGCGCGTCCTACAAGGCTGAGAGGAAGTCGCTCGAGCGCCTGAAAGTCCTCCGAGGTGGTTGCGTGATCGTAGAAGTAAGTGAAGATGACTTCTTCCGTCTCCTCCATCTTCTTAAACTCTTCAGCGTTTACATCAGGCACGCCAGAACCGATCGCCGAGGCCTTCTCCGCGTAGTCAAGCAAATCGCCAAGTCCACGGAGACCTCCGTACTCAATGCGCTCGCCACCTTGGAAGAAGAGCATAGTCGGGTATCCTCGAACACGGGCCTCCTTGCACAGCTTTCGCTCCACGTCGCAGTCAACCTCGCCGATGTTGAGCTTTCCCTTCATCTGGCGCGCAAGGTTCGCCCACGTCGGCGCAAGAGCTTGGCAGTGGTGGCACCATGGCGCGTAGAACTTGACGAACCAGGGATCGCGTGTGTTTGTAACAAGCTTCTCGAACGTTTCGGCGGTAAGGTGTTCGACGATGCCGGATGGGTTCGCGTTCGAGGTGGGCTCAACCTTTGCAGGCGCAGCCTTGGTCGTTTGCGAAGCAGAAGGTGTGGCGCCGGCGGCTAGGTTGGTGGCTGGGCTCGCAGCCTTCTTGTCTTGAGCTTCTGCCTTCTTCTCTTCCTTGACAGCCTGCTCCGTTTCCGGGCCAGTTTCTACCGATGTTGCGCCAACTTTGGGAAGCTTGGGACCACCTTCCTTGCGTGTACCCGGTCGGAGAGTCTCCAAAAGTCGCTCTACCCAGGAACTCATGCCCTTCATGTCCTTGGAGCCTGTCTCTCTTTCCGTCTCTTTGCCGTCCTGGAAATAGATCATGGTCGGATAGCTCTGGATGTTGTGCTTTTTGCAGACATCGGCGTATGCGACGCAGTCGACCTTGGCAAACTTGAAGTCATAGTATCGGGTGAAAGAGTTCAGGGAGTCGCCTTCAGGCTCGTCTTTTGAGAGAAAGGGTTTCGAGGTGTAGTAGAATTCGTAGATGGTCTGGTAGGTGGGCTTAAAGTGCATGCAATGGCTGCAGTAGGGCGAGAAGAACTCTACTATCCTGCAGAATGTCAGTATGCTGTGAAAGATCTACAGATGCCTCCATACCAGTTGCCTTTGCTGATCTCGGTGTCTATGGTGGCGGGCCCAAGTTCTATCATGGGTGGCACTGTCTCGCCGTTGAATATTGTGTCTGGCGTCTTGTCGTCCCAGTCATCCTTCTTGGCGGTCGCCTGGGCACTCGACGTATCGGCCGCAAGTGTGGAAGCAAACGTCGCCAGCGACAGGAGGGAATATAATATAGAGCGCATCGCGGCGATGGCTGAGGGGTGGGCTGTTCGTGTGAGGCAGCGGTGCGCTCACGAGGAAGCCAGGAGGTTGTTGCGTATCGAGGGCGCGATTAGTAGGGATTGTAGAAACTACAGCAAGCCTGTGTATCACGCAGGCGTGGCGGAGGGGACGTCGCGCGTGAATGAGGGTAATCGTGTCTCCAGGGCGCATTGTCCCTGAGCCATGGGACGCTTACTAGCCAGGGATCGCCGCTCCGGCTGCATATCGCTTGGCGGGCGCATCTTCGTCCTGACGGCATCACCACTGAAGCACCAATTGCGCCCCCGCCCCACCTCGCACACTCCCGCCAACATGAGGGCAGCTGCACGTCTCCTCGCCAGCGTCAAGCCCGGCCAGTTCCTCGAGGCCGGCACGCCGACAGGTCTCACAGGCCTGCTCACCCACCCGTCGCCGCGCTCCACCCTCCTCTACCACTACCACTCCACCCTCGACAAGCTCAAGAAGATTCCCGAATCCTCCGTATACCGCCAATCGACCGAGGCCCTCACTAAGCACCGTCTTGCCGTCATCGAGCAGGCTACACCGGCGGGATGGGACGAGTGGCAGCAAAAGGTCGCGCAGCAAGTTAGCGAGGACCCGACAAGATATCAGGCCATCGACACATCAGGCGGACAGACCATTGTACTCCCAACCCAGCACGAGGTGGATGAGCGGTCAAAGGCTGCTGAGTGGGACGGTGAGGCCGTGGAGACCTTCCCCGAGGGCATTCGGTCGTCGAAAGAGCGCTTGCCCCATGCCAGGAAGATGAAGGGCGATGTCAACTACACGCCCGAGCGGGCAGTCGCCGACGTCAAGTTCGACCCTGAACCGCAATACACCGCCGAAGCGTATGTCATACACGAGCAGTAATCAACAATGCATTCGTAGCTGACTTGTACAGTATCTCGGAACTTGAGAGCAGAATTGGCGCAGGATTGATTGAAGAAGTCATCCAGGTCGCCGAGGGCGAACACAAGCTTGTAGACGTCATGGTCGAGGCCAAGGTGTAAGCAGACTTCTTCCTGAGTATTCATACCACAGCTAATCGGCCACAGTTGGGAGCCACTCGAGGAGCCGGCGCCAGAAGGCCAATGGTCTTACTTCGAGCGTATGACACACACAAAGACCCAGAAGCCATAGAGCCACGTGTTTCGACCGACAACATAGATAGTAGAAGAAGAAACATCACATTTTGTAGTTGAAGTTACAACAGCCTTTTACCCGATACGTGTACATGTGTTTCCGCCCGTGACCCATGCTTTCAGTCAAGCCCCGTTTCCCTCCCCATCCGCTTTCTCCTGCAAAGCCTCTGTCCTCAACTGGTTTCGCTTCACCAAAATCCTCAACGTGTTCTGCTTCTCGATGTCCGCCATCTGCTCCCAATTTGCGATGCGTGACAGTGTGCCATCCTTATTTACTACCAGAGGGCCTAGATGATCCAGCTTGACCGCTTGCCCACCGACGTTGATCTGCGTGGTACCTTCTTCAGCCGTGGGTGCCGGAAGAGGTAGTGGGGTCTTGTTGGATTCTTGCGATGTCTGGTCCTGAGGATCCTGTAGAGTGGACGGATTTGCTGAGTTGGTGGAGTCTGACATCGCGCGTACTTGTAGGTGGGGAACGTGGATGCAGTAGTTTTGTGGACGGCGGAACGCAGTTGTATGGGCACGTAAGGCTTGTGCTATAGCTCTTGTTGTTCTCATGGGTGGTTTTGATCTTCAGGAGCCGAAGTTGAAGATGCGTTTATTAGTACTGCCGGTGGATGCTGCGATGTTTGGAGAAGCTACATTCGTCAATTCTAGAAAGCTCTAAACATTGAAAAATAATCACGTATTGCACACATCACTGGACGTCACATGCAAACACCATGAGAATAGAATATGAACTATCGAACATCCTAACACTCCCATTGAAACATGATCGCAACCTCCGAAGTGCCAGATCGCCGTTGTCTGGTTTTTCATGTATTTCGCATGCCTGGGCAGGAAGAACTCTGCAACGCACTTTTGCGGAGCGGTTCAACACAACGTTTGCTGATCGTAGTAGCCGGCTCACTTCTACAGCTGCGGGAAACAATGAAATAAACTTCATGTCGCGCACTGCAGCATAGCCAATTGGTGGCATCTTGCTAAAGACAGCTACACTGGGTGAGCCAGCTCGCCAACTTCATCAACACACACACAAAACTTGTGACATTAGATTTGACATAATCGGATCGATGGCACAAATTATCCAGAATTCTTGAGTGCTACATCCGAGCAAGATGCAGACCACTACTGCGTCTACGTATGCTTAAGCCGAGTTGTCGCATTCTACCTACTTGGGTAGGTACTAGGGCAAGCGCAATCAAGCATGTACGTCTCCGCAATTGTTCCCAGTTTTTCGATATCAGATATGCCCAGATCCATATGTATCACTGTACCTCAACCTTACATCTCTTTTCTGATCAAATGTTGATTATCGTGTGCACCAAAGGTGGTACCTAGGTATCGTGGTGCTCCACAGCAAGGCAGGCAATGCTTCTGGCACACGGGGGCTTGCAACGTGATCACCAGGAATTTCTCCTACCACGCCCACAGTCCGCAGCGCCTCAAAACATGGTTCTGAGAGCCATGTTTCACAAATTGCTCCTGCACGGTAATGATGAGGGAAAGAGATGGGATCAGTATATCGCCACCGGAGTCGCGCCTGCCAAACCCGCCATGTCTGCAAATACAGCATCGCTATAGCGCCAGCAGACATACCGCGATGATTACAATGCTGTTTCAGCGGGAAGCCTCGCCTTGGTGCGGACCTACCTGCGCCTTGCTCCTGGCTTCGCATCGAGTCATATGCGCGTCGAAGCCAAGCGCAGCTACGCGTCGGAACTGCACTTCCGCCTACGCAAAGTCGGCGGACAGTCCCAAGTTCGTCCGGTCAAGGACCCTGGTTCCATGACTTGGATGATACGCTATCTTGACGTCGGAAGCCTGTCCCAGCGCCTCACCGGTGTTTCTCTCGGCGGCGTGACCTCACAAGACAGGAGGTTGAAACTCATCGAGTGCATGATGGTCAAGCCACGGCGGGTCAGAGCCTGCTGCACGACATAGACATCCCGCCTGTATGTCGCTGGTCTTGCCGTCTTGGGAATCACTGCAGCGCGTCAAGCGGACAGCCCACTTTGATGCCCACCTTCGGGTATCATCCACACCCAGATTCGGGAGCGCAACCGCAAGTGGGACTGGAGCTTATTCCAACTTCCATGATGCAGAGCGTGTGGGCAGAGCGAGCATTCCAGGAGCATTGCGCGTACGGGGAGCGCAGATGCGGCCATCTAGCACGCCTAGTGGTGCCGTCGAAACCCTGAAAGCGATTGAGCGCACGGTGTCGCATCGGATGGCATGGCGCAAGCTGCAAGAGTTGCTGGCATGCCGGGAGTTTGATACATAAGAGCGATGTGGGATAGCGCACAACACGTGGGGGGTTGGCTCATCTGCATCTAACGGCACTCTGGCAAGCCACGACGCCCGTCCAAGCTCAACTACAAAGCATCGCGCCATCGGTCTCTGTGACAGCATGCCGCTTGCCGAGGAAAATTTCTCTTCCATCACCTTGCACTCTAAAGCCTCGGCAAATTCTTCCGCAAAAGGTTGCGTTGTACTTTGCCAAGCATGCAACGTCAAGATCGGATGCTCTCAAGCGACGGTCACGGCAAGACTTTGTGCACACAATCTCTTGACAAGACATTGCGCGTTCGAAGAGAGACAGATAGATGCAGGATATGCACGGCAGCACAAGAGGGGACTAGGGCAAAGGGTGCGGAAGTTATGAAGGAGTTGAGCTGGCAGGCATTGGATGCGTGTCACTTTTGGTGCTGTAATCGAGTCAGCAGCAGCACGCGGTATGCCGCATTGAGCGTCCTTCACCGTCAGCTTCGAGGCCGAGCGGCATCGTGATAAAAGACGCTAGCGGCGTCCCAAGTCGCGATACGTAAGCTGAGTGGACGAGAAGCATTCAACAATATTCGCCTTGGGCGATCGCGGCCAACAAGACGTCGCGCATTGCTGTCGTCTCTGGAGCTGCAGCATGTGTTGTTTCGATTTGAATGCCCGGCGCCTCGACCTTCCAGCGCATCGATTGCGAAGAGCTGTTTCAAGACGTGAGGTTTCATTCGAGGGTCGCACAGCCGAAGGATCTGGCGAGCCGAAGATTTGGCGGACGCCGTTGCAATCTGCCGTCAAGGGATCCCAGCTGCGCGCTAGCTGCTTGCGGGTAGCCATACGTCACGCTCACGAAACTTTTCACCTCAGGCTCGGCGGCTGCCAACGGCCACCACTGGCCCAGCGCTCCCGCCAGCGGCGGCACAGCGCGAGCTGAGAGACGTCGAGCAGAGGGTTGCGACCGCGAGAAATGGTGGCAGAGCTGCGCAGAAACATTCATGGGGCTTGGAGCTCACTGGGCGCGCCTGGTTTCATGGACGGATATAACACCCCGGCAAGCCACAGCCGCCAACACGACGTGAAGCTCGGCCTTTGTCGGGTCGATGCTCGGATGAGTTGCTTGCTCGCGCTCGCTGGCCTTACCGATCCGGTGGCTCTGACAAGTCACGCAGACTAAAGCGCGCCGACAGTACGTACGAGCAACTGGGAGGTACCATGGGAATGGGGGTTCTGGAAAGTGAGCCCGCCAAAGACGGTGCGGGCGATGGTGGAATGAGGCTCTTGCCCTTATCGATTGCCGTGCTGTGGCGTGGTTGAAACTCCTGGGCCATGGTAATGGACGAGGTCGGGGGACATACGGGAGGGCTATGATACGCCTCGATACACGCATCCAGGTTCGGAGGTGGGCACGACTCAATGGCCCCGGCCAGCGCGTAGACTAGGAATCTAAGGCATCTGTGCATGTGCATGCAATTGGGTCCTGGCCCGTTAGCCCACGAACGGCTGTCGTCATTGGTAATAGTTTTTTCCAACGGGCGGCGCATACGCGCTCCAATGCAGTGCACACAATACGAACATCTCATGTATGCGAAAAGTCATCAGTCTCGGTCATCACGTGTCGCGCCCCGAGTCCTAGTGCCTAGTGCCTAGGCGTAGTCGGGGTCTCGAGATGGTCCTGCATCTCTCCCACTGTCCTCACCTACTATTCCCGCCCTAAGTCTGTAACGTCGCTGCACAGGCACCCCGACGCGCTTGCCGCGACAAGACCTTGTTCAGAAATCTCTTGCGCGTCCGACGCCTCCCCTGCCTCCTCACAGTATCTGCCACCCACATTATTCTTGACAAGCCATATCTGCTCGCTATCAACGTCCGGCAAGCTCCGGCATTCAGCAGCGCGGAAACAGGAATTACGTGGTGCGGAAGACGGGCACTTCTCGCAGCAGAACTCGCATATTTTTTTCGCCGACCGCTATCTCTACCCCGAGCCACCTCCTCCCCTCCCCCAAAGCTCCCCAACAGCCTTCACTCCTGTCGTGGGTCTACCGTACCTGTCTCGTGCTTACAGCTCTCCACTTGGTCTATCCGCAATCAATCGGCTGAGGCTGAAGGGTGTGTGGGCCGCCGATCTGCAGCAGGTCCCTTGTCCCTTCGCGTGAATTGCCGCGCGAGCCAGGCAAACCACCGCCGCAACTTTCTTGCTAGTCCAGCTACGAGAAACCCATCGCCGCCGGTAAACTCTTCCATTCCACATCGTCGCCCCTCTTACCCATCACCTCGACGTCTCACCCACTGCGGGCTCCCCAATTCCACCTCACCCGTGGAGTACCCGCCGACGCGTATCGACTGGCCATCTCAGTCCCCCACAGGGCTCCACCTGTAAAGCTTCTTCGTGGCCCATCGTTCCTCCATCCCGACGTCCGTCCAACGGCCCTCCTGGTGTGCTTAGCCAGCCTTGCACACGTTACTCCGCCCTAAGCTCCGTCGAATGGTCCCTTCACGACTAACAATTGGTCGCGCCTTACCCATCACCTCACTCACCCCCGACCCACCAATAACTTCACTATGGATTCCACAGACCGCTTCCGTCAGCCTGGCCTCAATAGCTACCCATCAATAGGCCAGCAGCAGTACAATGGCAACACCAACCAGCTGCCCACCCTACCGCCTCTACAGAGCGCCGGCCAGTACGCGCCAATGTACAGCCACAACAGCAACCCTCACACGCCCCAGCCGCCACACACGCCTGTGACCTCGGCCGCCAATGGTAGTTCTACCATGCCTCCGTTGCAGCACCCGCCGCTGCGACCCCTCCAGCCCACGCCGACTTCGTACCTGCCCATGTCGTCGGCCTATTCGCAGGCGCCTATGCTGTCCACAGCATCTGCGCATACCAACGGCCACCAGCTCGGCGGCCCTCCTGGTATGGGACTGGGGCACACGTCCATGTACGCCCACCCTCCCGTACTCCCCAACCAGGAGCCTGAACCAGTTCATGTCGTCGGTCAGCAAGGTCGCCGTGGAGTTTTGCCCACGCACCCCGGCAGGCCTGCGCCCGCTGCAGGCAAGACTCCCACCACCGCCACCAAGAACGCCGAGGGCAAGTACGAGTGTCCTCACTGCAACAAGACGTACCTGCACCTGAAGCATCTCAAGCGTCATCTGTTGCGCCGTAAGTTTAGCCTCCACATAACCGCGCCCCACTTCTAACGTTACACAGACACCGGCGAGCGGCCCTACCAATGTCATCTCTGCAAGGACACTTTCAGCAGAAGCGACATCCTGAAGCGTCACTTCCAAAAGTGCTCAATACGAAGGGGTAACCCAACCGGCGCGAACCACCTCCAGCACGCGCAACAACATTTGCAGAAGAACAGGCAGCCCAGCGGCGCGGACCAGAACTCGTACCTAAACCACATTGGCGCGAACTCCATGTCTTACGCAGATGCTGGTGGCTACACCATGGGCTTGCCCCAGATGCCGGCGATGGGCGGCAATGGCTTCAACGACAGCCTACCTTCGCTTGCCAACCATCACCAGTCTATGTCGGCGCGCACATCTCGCTCCAACAGCCTGATGCGCCCCAGCAGTGGAGTAGAGGACAGCGCGCATCGTAGGAGCATGTCGGCCATGGACTTCGCGAACAACAGGATGAACTTCAACGACTACCGGCCCGATGGTCTCGCCAATGGCTACTCGCAACAGCAGCAGCAACAGCAGACCCAGCCCGCTGCCAACGGATCCGACCCCAACTCCCATTACAACAACTATGACCACGCCTCTACCAATGGTTCGATGGCGCAGAATGGCATGACCGTCAAAAGTGAGGCCGCCGACCCAGCTTCGTACGGAGGAGCATCGACCCTGCCCAACGTGGACGGCATGACCAACGGCCAGGATGGCTCACTGTGGCGGAACGGATCGTTCAACGGCGATATGAATAATTCCAGTACGGCAGGTGGCCCAACCTTTCAAAAATCGGCCCAGTTCTGACCGGAACTTTTAGACCTCAGATGATACACCACATGATACTTTGTTTGGACTATACTCGCATGCTCCCAGTTTGGCCGACTCTTCCCCGATGCTTGACAACTGGTTTATTGGCCAATCCACGTCTGATCCTCTGCACAACCTGGCACAATCGCTTTTCAACTTTTGCTTTCCGAATGTGTCTTTGCTTTCAAATCAACAATCAGACGAAGCGTACACTCACGAAAGGCTGAAGACTATCTTGACTGGAAACAACGTAAAGGATTTCCTACACCAATACAGACACTATCAATCACACTGGCCTTTGATACACGTTGCAACATTTGATCCGTTTTCCGCCAACCCTGGGCTTGTTCTGGCTATGTGCTGTGTTGGCGCCGTGTATTCTGACCGAATGCGCCCTTCGGATGTCCGATGGCTGATGGATCGTGTGCGAGAAAGCATGCTGAAATCTAGTCATGTTCACGAACTGGCGCAGGCGCACCAGATGGCTGATTTGAACCATCAGCTGACTGCGACTACCGAGGAGATACAAGCACTAGTCCTTCTTCACTCTCAGTTCCTATGGCACGGGTCCCAGCAACAACGTCAGCAAGTGCGAGATGAGGTGCGGACAGTGGTCAACATCACTCGTTGTGCGGCACTATTTCAACCTCTTCCCCAGGATAATTTGAACGCGAGTGCGTTGCACCAACCCGGACCAGTGACGGGTGCAGAGGTGGACTTATGGAACTGGAACTCTTGGATCGAGAACGAAAAGCGAACTCGATTGGCGGCATATATCTATCTTATCGATGCCTCTTCCACCATATTCTTCAACACACCGCCCAGATTCGACGCCAAGAGCATCACAGTCCCTCTGCCGGCCGATGATGCAGCCTGGGAAGCGAAGACTTCTGAAGAATGCGCCAGTGCTTTGGGTCTGAGAGGATCATCAGCGCAGATGAGTAATGAATCGGGAAGCAGACGCGCAAAACAATTGGCCTTGTGCGAGGCGTTATGTGTACTCAACGGAGCCTGTCCAGGTAAATTTCCTGAGCGGGCTACTAATGTCTTTGGAAAATTTAGTAAGTTTTCTCTATCTGCTGCTGACAATAACCCTCTAACGTCGTCTCCAGTTCTCATTCATGCGATTCATGCTCAAATCTACAACATCCAGCATCAGCTGCTTCAGCGAGTGTCTTCGAGCGGTACAAGCACACCCCGATCGCAAGGCGATAGTCCTGCCACACCACCAAATGGCGTCAATGAGCAAATTCAAAATAAGCTCCGCTCGACGGTCGGGGCGCTTTCGCTATGGAAAGCGTGCTGGGACAAGGACCTTGCTATCCAGTTCACACAGAACCAGCGTCGGCGTGGATTCTGCCGAGACGGCATCCACTTTTACTTCCTAGCCCAAGCGTTCTTGCGGCAGTCTCGACCAGACGACTGGGCCGCACCTGCCGATGTTCGGTGCCGACATGTGTTCAATCTCCTGAAACAGATCAGACATTACGTTGCATCAGACTCCGCACAGAAAGGCATCGAGATCGGCTCCATGGTTGCCATTGCCGACGACTACGCCATCGCCGACTTGACGCTAAACATGAAACGTCTTTTCACGCCTCTCGACGAAATTTGAGCGCCACCGCCTTTGCTCATTCCTGCTCGATTGCCAGAAACGATCATCAAGCATTGTCAGCATCAATCCAAACTCCATACACATGCGACAGTACAGCTCCACAACAAAGTATCATCAGTATATCATCGAGATCTATATCACTCTACCATCGAAACCATTAGACTCATTAAAATTTCAGCAAACTCGCCCAGCACGAGTCGAACTCAGCTGGGCTATGCATTCTTATCGGAGTTCCCGGAGCCAGCCTTGCGGCCAACCGGCATGCAAGGCGTCACGAATCACACACGGCGGTATTCACGATTTCTTTTCCCATCATCAAAAAAAGCATTAGACACATCACCTCACCAATCGCATCTGCCAGGGGCAACGGACCAGTCATCAACTACGCACGGCGGCAGTACAAAGCAGAATTTCCATGGGATCATCGGCTGAACTTCCTCCGGGGAGTGCAACGCAGATTAGACTGTGCGGGTTATGTTTTGCTTCAGTGTATATGTTTACTTGTTTTTTGAACCACACTCGGTTCACTGCGTCATTCACTGCATTTCAAGGTGTTATCATTCTACGGAGAAGCATAGATTAGAAAACAGGGTGTGTATGTGTACCCGAAGCTGCCTGTAGGCAAAAAAGTCGTCAATGAAATACGTTTGCTCCAGACTGGGTCGTGCCGTACACGTGCATTTGGTGTAAAGGAAAAGTGGGTTGGTTTCAACCTGGCATGCTGACTTAGTTAGGTATCCACCGAACTACCCTCGCTCCTGCTGCCTGTCTGTCAGCGTGGCGTGGGTCGGCCCTTCCTGCACGCGTGCCTCGGGATGTACTCCGCAGCAAACTAGGGAGTGCATACGCTATACTGACATTACCCGGTTAGAACTTGGTACAATGGGACCTGAGGAGACCCTTTTCCAACGTTCACGTGCCGCCCATCAACTCTTCTCATCTTACTCCCGGCGTGCGACTCCAGCGACGCGCGCAACGAGAGGAGGCTTATGACTTTGTCACGTGCGGCAATTAGAAAGCTTCATAATCTAACTACGAGCAGCCCATAGCGTATGCGCAGTGAAGCGGCGGCACGCAGGCCTACTTCCTCCTCCTGCACCTTGTCGGCGGCATACAGTGTCAATGTCGCCGAATCAGAAGTCAAGCTGGGAAGTTCATTGGGACATCTGGACTGGTACAGAACCCGACGAAAGTTAACTCCTCCTTGGCAAGAGCTCTCGTTCACTCGTCACGCTGTCGAGGAACAGCTAGAAAGACTTGCCTTATCCATGCCGAGAGGAGCTCGGTACGTGCGTACTTGTCGAACAGCCTACCTACAAGCTTGCACAAACTCTTTTGTCTGTTGCATGTACACGATTTATTTGTTGTAGATCTGCAGGCGTTTGTCATTGGGAGAACACAGCTGTCCAATTGGAAGTGCATGATAAGAGTCACGTGGACTTGCGCCTATCGGTTATCCAGCCTCGTGCCTTCTCAGGACAGTTTCCATTCTGCGACACATTCTTTACGCCGACTTCTTCATAGTAGCACAGAAGCTCAGAAAACCTCAGAGAGTCGTCCGAATCCACCGACACCACCACACAGTTCAGACGATTCAGATTTCGCTCTCTTTCATCACGCGCCTGTTATCACTATTCGTCCCTGTATCCCCTTGGCTATGGCCCTCCCTCCCGCGGCGGAAGAGTGCGGTATTTCTGTCGATGAGCGTATCCGGCCCGGAGAGTGTTCCACCTTCTGCTGGCGATGTGTGAACATGCGTTCGAAGATGGAGAGATGTCTGGTTCATGAGGAAGCAGCTCGACTTGCAGTGAACGAGTTCTCAGATCAGACCCATGAGCCAGCAAGGTACGAAGATATTGATTATTTTAAGCTTGAGGGTAGCGCCGAAGAATTGAGAGCCTCGTCTTGCGGGATTTGTCGATTGTTGCCAGAGAAGCGTTGTCCTGGCGCCCAAGAGATGTCAACATATGGTATTGTCCTATGTGTGGGTGCAATATAGAGATACATCGCTGCAGGAAAGCTCGGGTTTGCCAGATGACTTACCTGCAACGATAGAGGACAGTATCACGGCGACTCGGCTTCTTGACTACCAGTACCTTTGGGTAGACCAATACAACAGCAAGAACCCAGGGATAAGTATGTGCAGATTCTACAAATGGGCCTCATATACGCTTCCGCTCAAATCACGCTTGTTGGAGCCGCAGGCGAAGATTGCACGTACGGTTCACCCGGTGTAGGACGAGAACGCAACTTCACTGAAATATCCACGAAACTTGGCTCTACTATTTGGACACTTGAGTTGGTCTCAGCCGCTTCTCGTATCAGACGCTCCAAATGGTCTACTCGTGCATGGTGAGTAACACGCCAGAGTGCTAAAAGATAAATCTCAAAGTTTGACGCCACTTCAGGACCCTGCAAGAAGGTTATCTCACTGGAAGAGGCTTATGTTTCACTGATTACGAGATTTTGTTCGTTTGTAAGAAGTCTGCAGAATAGGAATTCAGCCCAACAGGCGACGCTCCGTACCTTCGCGACCATGAATACACCTTTCCCGCGGCTCGAGAAAAGACGGCTTTTTCATTAAGTCACGGAATGAGCTTACGAGAACAGTTCTCAGTTCGCAATCTCAGCTTTCAGTCCGACGCTTTGAACGCCGTGGTGGGTATTTGAAATCCCTTCGTACGGAGGCTTACCCAGGAGGCAGTATCTGGGGTGTACCATTCGGAGACAGATCATCGTTTGTGCCTTTACTGGTACAGACCACGACATATCACCAGGCGGCATAACGCCAAGCGAAATGGGTTCGCGAGCTGGTCTCCACTTGGTTGGCAAGGCAGATAAATCTTCTGCAGAATTCAGCATCGTGTATCGGCGGCGAGAATATGGGCTCTTTGGGAACAGTGCCATCGTCAGTACAACGCTGAAGAAGCTACGGAAGTATCACAAGAAGTCTTCCTAACCGCATATATCGTTCGATTATTCGTAGTATACGATAGCGGAGCCTGCGTCGTTCTGCCCGTCCCAAACGACACGCAATCGTGGATTTACTGGGATACACCTGAGGAAGAAAATGAGAACTTGAAGTCGGTACTATGTGCGGTCACATTCATCAGGGAGCGTGACGTGTTATCTAACGACACGGTGTTCAATTTCATCATTCTCTGGGCGCGTGGAGAACGGTACGAGCGGAGAGGTTCCTCGCAACTAAAAGTAGACTGTTCCGGAAGAACACCAGAGAAATGGTTCGAAGATCGAGCCAAGCAAACCATCGTACTGATATAAATGAAATAACGATTGCGGATTCGCCAGCAGATCTAGAGGGCTCAATCATCCTCTTTTACGTATAGGTCGTCGCCGTGGTATTGACCAGATCTTTCGTGCTATCAGGTACAATACAGCGCGAGCATTTCGCGGATGAAGACTGGCCTTCGCATTTAAGCCTGCTAAACTTCTTATACCTTGTTAGACTCGCAATATGTTTCGGTAGGCATAGATATAGAACGTCGAAGCGCAGAGACTAAGACAGGCAAGATAAGCCTAGAACCAAAGTATATACATTTGGACGTGCTCCTCAACAAAGTAAATATATTATAGTATTGAATTGTCGAGACCGCGCAAGGATAGAAAATGTTTTTTTTTTTTTTTGAATCCGATAAGTCAGTAATAGACAGAGCGGAATGGCGAAAAGTTAGATGAAAACCTCGAGGATGAAGTGATGTGTATACGATCGATCTGGTTTCACATGGGTGTTTGAGCTCACCCTACATCATTCGGAGATCTCTATAGCGGGCAAAAGAAGACTGTGTCGATCACAGAATTAAGGGATGGAATTCACATGCATTGTTCACTTGATCTTGAGATATTTATGGAGTTCTGGATATATTATAAGCGTTGGTTGCTAGGCAACGACAAGCGTTTTACTCCGGAAGAGCAGCGTGAGACCGGCTCCATAGCGTATGTTCAACATGGTACAGTAACAGCTCCACGATACTACTAGATTGCCGAGAGTACTCGACCGTTGGAACAGTGCTTCATATCGAATGCGAAGATGCACAAACTCTCGTGAAGAAGAAAGCGTGCTCAACCCCTTCTCACACTTCAGCGCGATCTCGTGACCCTATCCCAAAGCAGATCGAGGAGCAACGCAACCCTTCGCCCATTCCTATCAAAATCGCAGGGGCGACACGGAGACCCCGAATCTAAGGCCCCACGTACCCTTTCCCTGGACCAGCGCATGACTGCGGCAGCCGTTTGTCGATCGGTAACTCAACGACACTATACTTGCTGCAGCAGTATTCATCGGTATGATGTGTTCTTTTCGGGGCTTGCATCGAGCAGAGTGGCTGGGGCGCTTGATATGACTATCTTTGTATATTCTTCCTCCCGATCCTGCATGCATGTCGTGGAAGCAGCGCCAGTGGTGCATGTCACGACAGCCACTAGTTGGTTTTAGACTCAACACTGATCTCAGGAGCTGGCCGCCTCCCCACCCATCCTTTCCCTTGGGACGAGAGGAAAAGCAGCAAGAATCATCCGATCAGCACACCTCGAAGCTTCCATGGTACGAGAAACAGGATTTTTGCGGTCATGCTATAGGATACTTCACCCGTGACTGCGTGCCTGAGGATGTGCCGAGAACATGTGTCCACCCATAATTTTAAGGATGGGAATCTTGGCCGATCCAGTAATGCTGCGGGTTGAGTATCCGAGTACTAGTCCCGCTGGGCATGATTGTCGTGGAAGCCGTCATTAGATCGGACACGAATATATGTATGACGAGATCCTGCGTATGCTCTTGGTGGATGATATGACAGCAACTGCGAAGCCGAACGACGGAACTGGTTACACGATGAAGCTGATATTCTCAGGACTGATTTGAAGAAGCTGCCACTACGAAGAAGTTGAGGGTTCATGAACAGGCGTCCAAAGCCAATTGCCCATATACACCAACCTTCCTCACTAACCTCAGCATGTCAATAGACAGTTCATTGGTCGCTTTGACGGAAAAGTAACTCGCAGCGCGCTGATGATCAGATCATGCAGCTCATCGACGTCAGCCCGGGATACTAAAATTGCTTCCGAGCCACATCTCCAGTCGCTGTCCTGTTGCTCTTTGTCCTGGCGATGCAATATCGAAGGCTAACCAACTGAACGTGGCAAAAGATTACGACGACTTGCTTCATGGGCATGCCCGATGCCAGCTGTCGTGACCAGCTGACACAAGTCACAGAAAGCATGCAGTATCCAGGGGCAGAAACTCATCCAGTTCAGGCTCGATTGCTGTTAGCAACAATCACTGGACGCCAGAGTCATCCAACGACATCTTCGTGATTTGAGCACTGGCCAAGAGCCACAATAGCCGCATCGGAGATATATGAAGATTGGCACACTGCTAGAGACAAAATCAGGAGCTCGTTCGAAGCGGGACTGGCGCCGTGGAATCAATACGGCATTCAAATGTCGCGCGACTGTGGCGTTGTTGACTATCCGTCTCCGGATCATGGTTAACAGAATTTTGACATTTCAATGGACAGACGGCGTATCTTGTGATGATGCTCGTGTTGTGTCCCCGCCAAAGAGACGCCTCGGGCTTAGACATGGAATCACAAAGTCGTCCGTGGCTAGCCTTTCCGCACAACAAACGGCATTGACCGGTAGCATCCTGATGCGGTAAAATAGAAGCCATACCCGTCCACAGCCGTGTCGTTTGCTTCCACTGCATCTGCACAGACCAATCGTTCGTGGATTGTCCGTGGTCTCATTAGAATTCGGCAGTTTCTTCGTACGAGTCGATCTCGGAGACTGACCGAAATTGTTGCTCAAAGGCTGTGTGCATACCGTGCACATGCATGCGAGACGAGTGTGGCTACTTTGTGCTGGATTGTCGATCATGGAGCTGAGTTTCGTTGATGAAATCTTCGACGCGAGATTTGGGCGGCTGCACGTCAGGGTCGGAGAATGACACGCGCTTGCCTGGCGTGCGCACTGGCCCAAAGGGCTGAGTCCAACGCAGACCAAGGGAACCACAGCCAGTTGACGGCCATATCTCTGTCAAAGAACTCGAGCATAGATAGCAAGGCTAACCACATATTGTGTATGCGCCGATTGGTAGGCCGCTATTTCGTTGTTGTGGTAGGAGTTCGCGCGGATGCCATCGGCCGCGCCATACAACGCCAACAGCTCGCTACCAGTGCGTGCACGTGCTCGAAGAGGCAAGTCGAATGTCAAAAGAATTTCAACCACTGATTGAAAAGATCCCATCAGCATCGGTCTACTAATGAAATCAGAGAGTTTACCAACCGTCGTGTTCGCTGCAGTTAATGTTCACTGCCGCGCAACCGCCATTGGAGACATTGCTCTAGAAGACATGGGTTTACTGCTCATCGCTTCCCGGAGCGTTCCTGTGTGAATCAGAGTTTCGTTGGCGCAAATTCGTGCAGCTTCAACAGTTCCACTGGATTCGTTGTGCGAGTCTTTTGAGGGCAGACTATGAACCGCTCGCACACATGTGCTAATTGCCGTTCATTACGTGAACGCCCGTTATAGTCTCATATGTTCAGGGACAGGCTGTATGAGCATGGGGACTACCGAGAGCTTGCTGAAACCGTGCCAGCTCATCCTGACTTCCTTTGAGCATGAAATCGATGATCCTGCATGCGCAAGAATGGCAGTGAAATGTACGCAAGCTTGCAGTAGCGTCATTGGTATAACCCAGAGAAAGACGGTCAGTACTTGAACTTTATCGGTAGCTTACATCGTACACATCCTTGATGAATCAGAACCACTCTCAGCGCGATCGGCACGATTCCAGTGGGACGCAGGGTTCGCCCGATAGCCGGGAAGCTGGAATAGGGAGACTACTCCGATCGAAATGGTCTGCGCGTAACTTGGATAACCGGTAAAGAAGTGTGAGGACAGAAAGCCTCTTCAACGTTGACGGCCCGTACCGCAAGGTGCAGACGATTCTATTCTCAAGTGCTGGGTCACATCAATGCTTCTTCGACGATCAGCTGATCAGGACACCCGAAATAAGCAGTCCTTGTGCAACATATCATACGCAATAGTCGGCAGACAGCTGTTGCAACAGCCTGACGATCATGCAGCTTCAGTCCACTTCGAGTCGACTGAGACAGCACAGAAGGGTCTGCAACGATCCTTGATCTTCCCGATAGTACATTTGAGGCGGCTGCGGGTCGCCATGATTTTATCGATTACGAGGACTGCTTGACAGCCGACCATCGCCGTCACGGGGGGTGCGGGAGGCTGCAGCCCACTGTGCCTCAACAGCAGACGCCCTGCAGAACAGTCGAGTGCTTTGTAACCTCAAGATTGGATGCACCGCCGTATCAAGCGGCGATCCTCTGGGTTTGTTCAGCCACCATCTACATCTACACTTCAACGGCTGTTGTGCATGGGTGTAGTGAGATGTCATGGCCGGTGCCGAAAGCACCCGGGGCTACGCGCGCAAAATGTGGTAGGACGAGTAGAATGTAAGCGGAAAGCCTTGTCCAGCAATTTGCATTAGAGACGCGTCAGATGATAGTCCTGGCGAAGAAGTTGGGGGAGTGCACCCGCAGTCTCATCTTAGCCCTGCAGCAAGCCTGGTGGCCTGCTTTGTTCGCTAGTAGAGGCTGATGGCGTGGCAGCGATTGGATCAGCGTGGCAGTCAAGCATCCATTGAGAGGTAAGTGATGTATTGCGAAGAGACGAAGGCTCGTGATGCGTCAGCCCTAGGCGCTCCGTGGTCGACGGCAACGTGCGAGACACATGGAGACAGCGAGTTCCGGGACTGGCATGTCACCATGCTCGTGTGAACGATCGCTGAGGCCAACAAGAAACTCACGACGATGACGATATCGGTGCAGTGTTGGGTGCGCGATGTCGTGATGGCAGGGACTTTGGGCGAGTGCCAACTTCATGGAGGAAGTGGCCAAGACACGCTAGAGCTCAAAGTAGAAAGGCGAGGTCACAAGCGGAGGAGGAATACCCGGGAGAAGCTGCACGTCACCGGGCGCTCCTTCCCAATCCCTTGCCACGCCCATTCCCTCCTTCTTCCGTGGGCCATCTATCACGTACCGCCTCACCTTCCATCTGCACGAGGGAGGCACCGCGGGCCTGTTGCTTCTCGCTTTCCTCACTGTTCGTCCCCTAACCTGAGACCCTGGACTCGAAATGCCGTTCGCCGCGCCCATATCGTCGCTTGACAGCAGCCGCCGAGCAAAGGCTGGCTGTGCCCTCTTTCGAAGCGTTGCGCATCTACCACTGTGTCGGGTCGCAGTATGCATGGGGCAGATGAAAGCCCGGATCATGGCGCTGATAGTGCTCTAACCCAAACCTCGAGGCGATGCAACATCTGCGCATCACTCGCTGGCAGTGGCGCCTGTATGTGGATGCTTTCCCTCATCCACCTCAGTCACGTCAAACCGCTCCCCCGCGAGGCCAAGTAGTGCCGTCACTTTCGTCTCTGTGACAGGTAACGGCTTCGAGCCCAACCCTCTTGTCCTCTAGTTCCCTCTCTCACTGTCCATCTGCGGGACGACCTGTCGTCTGCCAACGGTTGTCGGCCCGCGGCGCTGCTAGGTACGCCTGATCTTGGCCCGTTCGCCATCTGCCGCTGACTGGACGCCGCCCGTGACTGATAGTCTAATCTAGCACAGACGTAGCAAGAGCAAACCATGATCGTCTGTTCGCTTCAAGGGTTATTCCGGGCGGCTGATCGAGATGAAACATCGACGACCCGCCAGTCTGGTCACTTAGCTGCCGTGTCGAGTCGGCCCCCATTTCGAGAGTGGTGTTGTGGTCAATGTTCCTGCGTTGCTGCACGGGACTGTGATGTCTTTGCCGGGCGAGCCAATCGATGTGTGGCATGGGGGTGGGCCCTGGCCCCGCGAGGCAGCAAAAGCCCATTCTCCCGTGCAAGGAATGCGAAGCTCAGCGACTATTCGAGAGACGTAATCCTGGGCACCAAGGCAAATCGCTTCTCCCTGACATCGGAGATATATAGACTCCCTATTTGGGAAAGGCTCGCCGCTGCAGCTTGCCAATGCTACCGTGGTGCTAGAAAATGGCCAGGTCTGAGCGATACGGATCATATGCATTGGGGCTGAATCTTGATCCAGCATGCTAAGCATTCTTCGAAACTATTCTCACTTGGTAGGCATTTCTCCTTTGAGCCAACAAGTCCGTCACCACCCTAGTCCGTCTCTACCCTGTATCGAGCTGTAGCGCTTCCTCTGTCAACTGTACTTCAACCATCCACTTTCTGCAAGCGCACTCCCATTCGACAGCCGCTCGTATCCTTGAGCCCTCCCACCTCTTCCATTGCTTGCCGTTAGTCCCTTCCCTGGACCCACTATTCCCAACAGTCTACTCCAGGTCATTGTTCTGAGACCATAAGCCGGTACACTACCAGCCTCACAGATCACGGGGGTTTTGAACCCTGGCAACCTTGTGCAACGGTCTGAGAGCAAGAGGCCAAATTTTAATAGAGGGCACGGTGCATATATGCTTCGGCCCCTTCACCATACGGACCCTTGGTATACCAAACCTGGCTCACATCTGTCACAATACGTCAACGGCGCTACCAGTGTCGATTCTGGTCTCTGTCACAACATCTCATTGCAGTGCATGCAGCACATTGTTCCCATTGAGCAAGTCCTTCAAGCTGGTGTGCGTGTAGATCGCCCAGTGTCCGACAACGGGTCAGCATCCTCGTCGAAGCCGCCACGATCGAATATCAGTCGACGCCACATCATTTGATTTGGAAGACTGCAGCAGAACCCTGTAAGCTCCACCCCCGTTGCGTTCTCTTCCTCGGTTGATATTGCGAGACTGACAGGTCGCAGGAAAGCGACGTCAGAGAAGCGCCCACACCGCCTACGTCGCAGTTAGATATCCAGGCATCTAGCGACAAGGCCGCTATCCGTACCTGTCTGTGCTCGGGATTCCAGCTTCCAGATCTGCGTAGAGTGCGCGGGAAGAAGCAAAGCGCAGCTGCGGGCCTCTTCGCTCTGCGTAGACAAGCCGTTATATCTCCAGGGTTTAAGGTAATGCGCAGCCACAGTGGGTGACATCAACGCACACTGCATCGCACCTTTCTCGACCCCAAAACTGTCAGTCCACCCACCAACCTTCTGTCCCCACCATGACAGGCCCATTGACTAAGCTTTGCGGTAGATCTGAACGCTGAAGAATCAATTGCCCAGAGTGCAGCGCGCGCACCACAGATCCACAGTGCTGGACAATATACGCATTGCACTGTCTGCTCGCGATAGCCGCATCGCCCCTCGAACATCAGCATTAACGGAGCCTAGCCCCCCAGCGAAGCGCAGCGCAGCGGCAGCTAATCGAGGATCCCGCCCTTTTGCCGGCTAAACCCCCCCAGATTGCCTCTCAAGCGAACCAACAGCGTAATTAGACGAGTCGTCGGCCTTCACCACCATCCCCTTTCAGCGACCCTTTAACGCTTGGCCCGGCACCCCGAAGCCTAGCATCGCAATCGCTACGCGAAACGCTGACTCGCTGGCTCGCCTGATCGAATCCGCGTCTCGAGCGACGGCGCGAAGCGGTTCGGCCGCAGCGGAACTCTGTCAGCAGCCAATCCTTTCGCCACTGCCGGCGCCATCGAAGTCGACCCAGACTGTCGGAACTGCTGCGTAGAGTGGCAGAGTCAGGCGTAAGATCCAGTCTCTCGCAAGGGTTATCGTGTCTTTACAAGGCGCTGCGATAGATCTCAGCAGAAAGGCGGTACATCACTGGCTGTTGCAATGATGAACCAAGGTAAGCCAAATCCCCAAATGTCTGCAACCCATGTCCTGCGCAATACACAAACCCCCAAACCCCCAAGTCGCTCGCTCCAAGCGCTGCACATTCAGCCATAAGCTGGCGCCCTTCTCCGCATTCTTCGCAAGCCAACATTCCTCCCGTGTGCGCTCTTATATTGCACCACAACACAGTTGGTGCATCAGCCTTCTCCCCTCTGTTCACTGCACCGCACTGTGGGCCTGCATCTGTTCCTGTTCCTGTAGTGCGTTCCGCACGCTTATCCTGACACCCGATCGCGGTGTCGCTTATGCTATCACGTCCCACGCGCATCTTTCTCTCCTCTTCATCGCGCATCCGTGCACGTTGTCCGTTGTTGTCACACGTTTTGTTCAACAGCACACCGGCTGGCTTGGATTGATTGGCTGACGTGCAGGATAAGCAGTGCTGCAATCATCGCTGCCATTGGCATCGGAAAACCCTTTCACTTCGGAACAGGAATGCATCGAGCATATTGGTGCGCATGCACATCATAACTCCTACGCAGCCGTACCCGATCAGCTAAGACGCGACGGGGTCCTAGCACATACTGCGACCGGTATCCACCAGGGCTCAATTACAGGCCGTTACGGTACACATCGTCCCGACAGTGCGTAAGTAGATGCTCTCATTGGTCATTTCCTTCCCGGGCTGGCATGGTAGGCTCCGTGGTGCTGCCTAGCCTTGTGGCCCCCAGCCTGCATCCCTCGACGCCTCTCTGGCGTGGTGCAGCCCAGACTCAGGCTTCTCCTACCCCAAAACAAACACGTAGTCAATGTCCTTCATCATACTTGTCGTCGCACACGCTCCGGATGCATGGCGCACTTGGTCTTCCCAACAGGCTGGTCTGTCACATTGATCACACGACAAGCCTAGCGGTAATGCCGTACCGCCCCTGGTCTGTTTGACGACTTATACCGTGCCACCCTACTCTTGGTTACACATCGTTGTCGTTGGCATCACTTTGGTCGGATAGCTCTGTTCTGCGGGTTTGACTGACCTGTGTCTATAGCTACCAGTCGAGCGTGGCTCTTTCGGACTCAGGCTCTGGTTCCATATCCACCTCGCCTAGCTCCAACGCCTCATCAGCGCTGGCATATTCCTCGTATACTACGTTCCCTCCGACGGTGTCAAACACTTGCTCAAGTCACTATTCCGTACCAAACAGTTACTTCAGCACTACGTGTGGTTACGACGGCATGTCTTCAAGTCGACGATTGTAGGTTTTCTGTGTGGCGCACTCGTGCGTGTAGAACCCGAGGCGATGCATGACAGCTGACAGCTACGCGATAGAAACGATGCCTCTTTGTCGGCAATGTTACCTCCGGCGAGATCACCAGGACTAGGCCATTCTGTGTCACCATCTATGAGTTCGTCGGCAAGGGACAATTATACGACAGGGACGCCTAGCGTGCATAGATATCCCAACACCTTGTCCCCTCGAGCTGACCTTTCCCGGTACAACTCACAACCTGACACTCCTAGGAGTGTGCTTGCCACTACTATGCCCTTGACGTACAACGGTGCTTACCACGCCAGCACATTTGCGACGCCCTCAGGCTCACCCGAGACGCCGCCTTTCAACGCACAGGAGACATGGGGCAACATCACCTGCGAAGGCTCGACCGTGACGCCCAATATCGACGCCAAGATTGAGAAGGGCTTCTTTTGTTCCGGTGATCGGGTATGGACATGCTACCGAAGGAACTATTTTGCGGTCAACGTGTCGTTCCAGCTTACGCCCTGGATCGCAAACGCCCGAATGTACCTCGAGCAGACAGGTAAACCAGCAGAACAGATACAGTCCATGGCAGTATCTCTTGCAGCCGCTGTGGATGGCTCTACAGGCAAGACGATCGAGCTGATCCAGCACACACCTAAGCGCGACAAAGGGCCGCAGCTTGCGATGAAGAAGGAACTACTGGCCCCAACGCCGCCGGGAAAGAGCCATGATCATGTTGGATATGGGCTGAGTAACTTCCATCAGACCTCAACTGTGGCGGGTCCTCAGCTACCTTTGCAGAGCGAAACCGATTCGTCCCAGCAATATTCCCCGACTAGCCATGCCAGTAGCAACTACCAGCACTCATTCGAACGCATACAGTTCAAGTCCGCAACAGCAAACAATGGCAAGCGTCGCGCTCAACAACAGTACTACCACTTGATTATCGAGTTGTGGGCGAACGTGCAAAGCCCACGAGAGTCTGAGCCTCGTTGGGTCAAGATCGCAGCTCGGCTTTCGTCCCCGGTCGTTGTCCGTGGCAGGTCACCCAGCCACTACCAGAACGAAGGCCCACACAATGCTGGCACCCCAAGAGGCGCGCCTGGCTCTGGCCTCGGTGGAGGTGGTCATCATGGGCTGGGGTCTAGTGGTCAACCATCGTACTCGGCCTGGAGGAACGGTATGTCGGGCGGTGGTGCGACTGGAATGGGCAGTAGCATGTACCGTGGTAACACGTACTCGCTAGACCCGAGTCCCGTCGGCAGCCATTCGGTCAGCTCAGCAAGTTCTCTGAGCGGGGGCCCAGTTGAGGGCGTTAGTGGCGAACAGCACATGGTCGAAGACGACGACGCGAAGATGATGGATGCGCCTCAGGACTATTCTTATTATCCTGCGTCCATCTACGAGAGTATCCCCGCTAAGCTTGAAAGCACGCTACCGCCACCCGACCGCAGGATCAAGGACGAGTATCCTACTGCTGGCTGGCACATCGGAGGCTGTGGAAGATTCCAAGGCATGGAGAGCAGTCGCGGATACTATCCCGACGTACAAGCCCACACGTATTGACAAGCATCCAGTAGACTGCTGTCATAGCTTGTATGAACCATGTTGGCGGGCTCAACATGGATTGAGGCTCGCTCCCTTCTTGAGCGGAAACCTGCCTCACTGAACTTCGTACAGGCAGTCGGGAAGCTCTTACTAACAACGGATACTTCTGGGTGCTTCGCGATGAGATCTTGGTTTTGGGGCGGCCTTGTTATTGTTACTGTACTTGATCCCTTGCAAACACGAACACCGATGAGCCCCAGCCCCAGCCCCAGCACCACTCCCCGAACGAACGACGCCCAAAATACCGCAGCTCAGACAAGGTTAGGACGGCACACGAAGAGGTGTATCATACATCGCGCAAGAAAGGCTACATCGCAGGTTTCGAGCATGTTGGCGGCAGTGCCACGTCCAGTGTTGGCCCGCTTTCAGAGAACCTGTGTTCAATGCCTGTACCCTAAGATCTGAGCCGACCGTACTTTCCCTTCTTGTTTACGCTGGCATATGATGCCTCAACTGCTGGTCGGGTTGACCTTGCTACCTGTCTTGGTCTGTCATCACAAAGCATACTTACTTCTGCCTCCTTCTGGCGGTTCCTCCAGTATCATTGCTTGTATGACGTGGAGGGACCAACTTCCTTACACATCGTTCCCATGCTGTTGTGTCTTTCTCTGTTTTATTTCTGTTTTACGATGGTGTTCTTTGCGCATTACGAGACGTGCAGATGGTGCAGGGTTGAGGGCACATTCTACGAGTTATGAGTACGAACGCTTCTTGCATGGTGCATGGCGTATGGAGGTAAAAAGGTCGACGACCGCATCCTTCTCTTTCGTGCTGCCGCTGTGTAGCGCGCTCTGACTTATGCGCCCCAGCATCTGTCCTTGCGAGCTTAGCTGCAACGGCAAATCATGGTTGTATGAGTAATGGGTCACGACCATGGAAAGTCTTCGAGGCTCTGGATCAGCAAGATCGAGGACGTATACAAGGAAAATGCAACATCGGTTAGGACGCAGGGCTCTGCAGGGTCGCGTAGCCACTGTATGGCACGATTACGAAGGGACGGGAGATGCACGGCGCACGAGGAAGCTAATGATGGCGGCCCCTTGTCTATTGTATGATTATGTAGTGCCTTAAAAGCGTGTGATAGTTGTCGAATGCAGGCGGCCCTTTTTCGTTTATCATTGTTCGTCGCGTTTCTGGGAGTGATGTTTGGCGGGTCTGGACGCTATGGCTCGACGTGACTTTTGGCGTACGTGTTGGTTACGCGGGCGTGGTCCAGGCCAAGACGAGCGATCGGCATCACAGAACATTTGGAAAGATGTTCGCACATGCAAAGAAGAGTGAAGAAGTGCAGACGTGAGGTTCTTGTAAGCTCCTGCCGTCGGACGTGTTCCCGCGTTCCCCGCGGCTCAGGCGTCCCTTTCCTGACTCAGGGTCTGGCCGCCAAAACTTTGGTTGATGCTGAACGGTGTCACGTCATCGCTACACCCACGCGACACCCTGAAGCGTCCTGATCCCGACGCGGCTCGCATACACGCTCCATCCAGCATTTTACAGCATTGCGCATTCGGCGCTCGGTGGACAGCATTCACCGGTCCCCATGGCGTGGTACGATCAGGACAGCTGGCTCACGGCAGCTTTCTCCCCAAACCTGTCGACTATCCTCATCACTTTCCTCGTCGCGCTCAGCTTGCCCATACTCCTGCACACCATCCTCTACAAGAAGGCAGCTGCAGCCGCGCAGCTTCCCACCTTCTTGCTAGTCGGCCCGAGCGGTAGTGGTAAGACGGCCTTTACGACATTGGTAGCGTATCTCCCAACCCCATCCTCCTGAGCCGTCTAACAGTTGCCAGGCCGAGCGCAACGCTACAACCCAGACGCACACATCCACTACACCTCTTACCGTCTCCGCTCTCCTCCCCAGCCCGCACGTCCCCGCGTCTTCGCACTACCGCTCACCAGGCGACCCAGCCTTCGAGCGCTCTCGCAACTTCCTCCTCCTCGACACGCCTGGTCACGGCAAGCTGCGGCACTATGCCACCTCCCAACTTGCAGATCCCAAGAGCATTCGCGGTATAATATTCGTTGTCGACGCCGCTCAACTAGGTGACGAAGCCGGACTGAGCGAGGCAGGAGAATATCTCCACGACATCCTCCTCTCGCTACAGAAACGCTACACCAACGCTACCACAAGCAAACGGCCAAAGGACATCCCTGTCCTTGTTGCGGCAAACAAGATGGATCTTTTTACGGCGTTGCCCGCAAATCTTGTCAAGAACTCGCTCGAGAAGACAATCACCGAGGTCAGGAGTAACAGGGCGAAGGCGCTTCGCGATGCAGGTGCGGCGTTGAGCGGCGGCGAAGATGAGGTGGACGAGGAGAAGGAGTGGCTGGGTGAGGGCGGCGAGGGCGTGTTCACATTTGAGCAGATGAGAGAGAGCGGGACCAGTGTAAATGTGATTGGGGGTAATGTTCAGGCGAGCAAGGAGGGCGCTGACGTGGAGAAATGGTGGCAGTGGATTGCTGAACAGCTTTGAAGAAGCTACAGGTGGCCAGAGAGGGTAGGGTGAATTGAAGCTCGATTGAGTAGTATCGATGTATCGATACCCTCTTCGTTGAATAATGAAACTAGTAGGTCTATGTCACCTTGATCGAGGTCATGACTAACGCGTGTAGATTGTCAATTTTGCTGTTCCACTTTCGAAGTCATGAGGTTTTCGCGGCATGACTGCCTCTTCCTTCGGGACCGAAGTGATCTTACGTCTGTTATAGCCTCCGAGCGCATCAACTATGAGGGTGACACCCTTAGCACCTGATAGTGCGCGTCTTAGACCAGTGGCTCTTCTCTGTCCCATGCAGGACAAGCACTACCCAGCATTTGTTGTTTATCTCGCTGTTCAATGTCTGCCTATGTCATTGCGCAATTGTTTCAAGGCAAGCTTACAAGTAAGCCGAGTAACTGATATCACGACCAGCCGCGATGACCTCCCAAAGGTTGGGCAAGCAGTGCGGAAGCTTGCTCGTCGTGATAACTCGTGGCCAAATGACTGAAAGCAAGCGCAGGAATCGAAAGTAGGATGTTGTATAAGAAGGTTAGTGGTTTCACCCAATAGTGCTCACCATCATACCGGCGTCTCAACCTTTTATCGATACTTCTTCCATCCAGCTTCAAGACAGAAATACGAACAATAGCGAGAGCGTCGAAGGCTGCAAAGAGGGCACGAACGGCCAAGTCAGAGGTTGAAGCATGGAAGTCATCCTCTAAGACAGTACTTGGTCGCCTTACCTACCGTCTGGAGGAACTACCCGATCCTCTGATTGTTCCCGTAAGGTTCTACTTCCTGGAAAAAATTGACGACGATGATGATGATGAGGTGTTGAAGTATGCGTACAATCAGAAGCATCGAGACTCCGCAACTATTGATCGACTAATCTCAGGCAGAAACTGGTGCATCTCACATTCGACCTCACTTGTACCTTGCCAACTACATATGACAGTATGTACAAGGTACTGTTGGATGCATTTGGTGAGAAGATCAACGCTGGGAACATCGACAGCCTGCAACCCGCTATTGAAGACCTTCTGCTCGGGCTGCAAGTTCAGCGCAACTACCTCGCTACCAAATCAAAGACTAGGACAGGAAGCATCGAAACATGGCATAAACCGTTCCCGATTCGTGGGGTCGTCCAGTATGTCGAAGTTACAGTCAAGAGAAAGAGCAGGGAAAAGAATGAGAATAAGAAAGTTCAAACTATTTACAAATATTTCAAGGAGAGTGAGTCTTGTTTCTTGAGATGAACGGTGGTCTAGTAATTGACGCAGATATAGACTACAACAATGGCAAGAACATCGAGCACCAGTATCTCCCTCTCGTAGGTGATGGACGTGGCTGCTACTTCCCCTTGACAAAAGTCAAACATCCCGTGGAGACGCAGATCTTCCCAAGGACGGCTGATGTTCTAGCCCAGCCTCTTCAGATAGAGATTCATCAACTTGACCTCCTGAACCCGAACGGCCCAAAATTCATGGAGGATATGGGCGAACGTGTCTGGGCCAAGTTGACGAAGAGGCGACTATATGTTGACGTAATCCTCTCACCCACGCTCCGAAACCTTTGCTTACATGTTCACAGAACGGAACCGACCATGAACCATGCGTGCTGCTCAAAAGGTCTCAGGATAAACAGGTCAGTGAGGGCGACCCTTTGGACCTGGTGCTCTGATTGTCTCGTTTCAACGGGACTGCTGATGCTATTGATGCTGATGCAACCCGACAACATCTTTGCAACATCTTGGCTTTTCGGCAGTATCAACGATTTCCTTCGCTTTGCAGCACTTCCCTTACTTGCGCGCCTGCAAGATGCACGCCAGATCTGGTTGTCGCATCTTGGTAACGACTCTTCTTTGGATTTCTGTCCTTTCTTTTACAGTCGTCTTTGTTTACCTGGTTTTTCCTTGAGTACGTGATTTTGCCTTTGATTTTTCCTTTTAGTACGTGATTTTGCCCTTTCAATCGGCGTTCTCGCTTTGCGATACGTGGAGGCCTGTTTTGCCTTTAATCTCCGCGCATGCGCTGGTGCTGCGCTTAGCCTCTGTTTCCTGGACTTGGATTTGCGTTCTGCGTTGCTTTTCCAGGAACTCTAACCGAGTACACTCATTTGCAAGATTCTCTACTTCTTTCTCTCTCTTGCAAGTCTCCATGAACTCTGCCTCTGGGATGAGGGGGGTCTGCGACGAATACGAGCCAGTGCGTTGTACTGTCTGCTGAGCGAAACTCCTAGTAAGGAGTAGGAACAGACTGACGCTGAATCCAGTTCCGTGATTGCACAGGGACGAGGACATCGCGATTAGCGAGCACATAGATAATAAGCTCAGCCCGTGGTCGATACACAGATCGTCTCCCTGAGAGCGTTGTCGGATCACACGGCTTAGTACTAAGCACTGCGATATCTCGCTCAGGCCGCCACGTCCATGCGATCTGCTGCTTGTCTGCATGCCATTTTGATCCCATCGCCTAGAATGGTATCAACTGAGGCAAAGTACCGTAATTTGTTCTGCCAGAACTGCCATCTTTTCAGCGTGATCTTCTCTTCGCCGCCCTGGGCCTTCCACAAAGGACCGACTGGCGCTACAGAGTCCGCCCGCCCGTCGTAAAGATCGCGACCTAGAAGTGACAGCCATTGTGTGGCCGCTGGCAGCTCAATACTAGGCTGCGATGACCTGAAAGCCGCCCAGTCTTGGTCAGGCATGGTAGCAGAGCCATCGAGATGTTGCGTCACTTCATTGAGACTGAGTTCGTGTTCTAAGGCACCAACGATCGGATGGCATGCCATGCCACGAAAGTCCACATTTTTTTGTGGCAGCGCACCTCGAATATGGTGGCAGGTAAGAAGCGCGGCGAAGGTGTTGATGTTCTTGTAAAGGTCTCTGACAGCAAGAACGACATCACCACTGACAATACGTCCCGTCATCGATTCAGATGTCCTCAACGTTGCATCTGTGCGAGCTTCAGAGGTCATGAACTGCAAGCTATAACACTTTGGACCTGGACCGAAGATTGTCAGCTTCTGAGACTTTTCAGCATGAGGGATGTTTATATCCACACCTTGTAAATGACCCATGAGCTCATGACCGAAGCCAGGTAAGTCCAAAAAGCTGCTGGTGCCCTGAACCGGCTCATCTGTATCATACGGATACTCTGGTAAAGCGTATGACAACTTCGCAAGCTCTACCACCAAGTCGGCTAATATCCTCAGTTCTGCTTCCGGCCATGTCTCGCCACAATGACAAATGGCGCCCCAGAGTATGCTCGCGTCACGAGGTGTATACGAAGAGCATTCGGCTGAAGTCAGTGAACCAAGTATATCTGCTGCTGCTCTGGGAGTGATTCGATGAGTGAGCATATCTTGAAAAGTGCACAGTATGCGTCCTTTTGTTGATGTTGGGTCTATGTCGCGGATGGCCTCCTCATCGGCGCAGGATAGAGTTGGAAATAACGGGTCTCTGGAGGCTCGGTCAAGACCTGGTCGAGTGAAGCTGAGAATGGCAGACAGCTGTTCATGATTCCATCTTGCAGCCATCGAATGCTAGTGTCAGGCTACTTCGTCAAGATAAGGCAGAAGTGATGGAGTACTTGAGTGCTTACATGCTACTGTGTTGACTGTTAGTATGCTGTCGAGTTGTTGGTCCACAGATGCTACGCGTACCTACTACGTGAACACAGCTTACAGGGGTGGCGGCGTGATGGTGGCGTTGATTGAGCGCATCCGGCTAGCGTCGTGAGGATCTACTAGCGGTGGCTTGAGCGCGGCGGCTATTTGCGGGTCAGGCCATCGAGTTTGTTCTGCGCGACAACTTTGCAGCCGTATCACGACATCTTCTTCGCCTTTGCCGTGCGGGTACTCTCTTTTACTTATAATCCCGAAAACTCTCACTGTACTTACTCCAGCATCACGCACACGTCCCAGCACACAAATACTGCAATCATGTCTACCAAGACGCGCCCCGCCATCCCACCTGTGGTCATGGACAGCATAACGCAGCAGATCGGCAACACGCCTCTCGTACGCCTAAACAAGATCCCACAATCTCTGGGCATCCGTGCCACCGTATACGTAAAGATCGAAGCCTTCAACGCCGGCGGCAGTGTCAAGGACCGCATCGCGCTTCGCATGATCGAAGCCGCCGAGAAGTCTGGTCGCATAAAGCCCGGCGACACACTCATTGAGCCTACGTCTGGTAACACGGGCATTGGGCTGGCTTTAGTGGGTGCGGTGAAGGGATACAGAACCATCATCACACTTCCAGAGAAGATGAGTCCCGAGAAGGTGGCGGTTCTTAAGGCGCTCGGAGCCGAGATCATTCGTACCCCAACGAGTGCGGCATGGGATAGCCCCGAAAGTCACATCGGCGTTGCGAGGAGATTAGTCAAGGAAATTCCGAATGCGCACATTCTCGATCAATACTCGAACCCCGACAACCCGCTCGCGCACGAGTGCGGCACAGCCGAGGAGGTGTGGACACAGACTGACGGCAAGATCACTTGTCTTGTTGCTGGTGCGGGAACTGGAGGCACCATCACAGGTCTAGCGCGCGGTCTGAGGAAGCACAAGCAGGATGTCAAGATTGTCGCTGCCGACCCACACGGCAGTATACTCGCACTCCCTGCGACCCTGAACGACGAACGTGTGAACGAGGGCTACAAGGTTGAGGGAATCGGATACGACTTCATCCCTGACGTCCTGGAACAGAAGATTGTGGACAAGTGGTATAAGACGGACGATCGGACATCGTTCCTGTACGCGCGCCGGCTGATCTCTGAGGAGGGCATTCTTTGCGGTGGTTCGTCTGGTAGTGCGATGGCTGCCATGGTTGAAGCCGCGAAAGACATGGACCTCACCGAAGATGATGTTGTTGTCGTCATCCTCCCCGACAGCATTAGAAGCTACCTCAGCAAGGTTCGTCATCTTTTGTCCTATGCTACTGCTCTGCCATACTAACTTATCATAGTTCGTCGACGACGACTGGCTTGCAGCAAACGACCTTCTCCCTCCTACGCCCCCTCTAACACCTAACACAAACGGCGCACAGCTTCGCCGTCTCTCCACCACCAAGCAGGCCGACGCTTTCCACGGCGCTACCATCGCTTCCCTACGACTCAAGCCCGTTACCACCGTTCCCTCAAACTCGCCCTGCAGCGAAGCCATCGAAACAATGCGTGAGAAGGGTTTCGACCAACTCCCTGTTAGCACATACTCATCTTCCGGCAAGGCGCGTCTCGTCGGTCTAGTGACCCTCGGCAACTTACTCTCCTACATCGCAGCCGGCCGTGCCACACCAAAGTCGCCCGTCGAAGAGGTCATGTTCGATTTCCGCAAACTGAACGAAGTCGTCAAGGACCTCGGCCGTCTTTCGCTTGACGGCGACAACGCGAAGAACACACAGAAGGGTGGCAAGAAGGGACGAAGGGAGTTTGTTGAGATTACCAAGGAGACCAGCTTGAGCGATCTGAACAAGTTCTTCGAGTGGAACAGCGCAGCTGTTGTCACCGAGCGCATAGATGGCGAGCCAAAGGCCGTGGCTGTTGTCACAAAGGTTGACTTGCTATCCTGGATGGTCAGACAGGGAAACACTAATGGGCGCTCGAACTAGATGGAGTAAAGATGATGAAACAGGATGTATATGAAGAAATGGTTGAACACGAGGCACGCATATCAAATCTTTAGCGAAAGAAGAGTTAGCGATATCCATACTGGACCGGTAGCAACGGAGTTATAGGCATGGTACAACTCAACTTAGATGGCATTCGTCTGGTACGTCAGGATAGAAGTGCGAGACCTCAACGTCTATAAACAGCAGCTATGAAAGACTGCAAAGTCATACTCTTCTCGTTCATCATGAGCCTACGCTATCCCCATCATAATCTCCCTCAACCTGCCCGCCGCCGCACCATCCAGAAACTCCATACTCTTCTTGATGCCCACTTTCCCGCTTCCCAATTCTTCCATCTCCAATATCCACAGCAAATCATTCTCCACCATCTGCCCCTCCGTCGCACCTTTCGCCTGCATCATGAAGCTGATTCGCAGCATGGCCTTCATCTTGACCGGATCGACAATGATGTCTGTGACATTTGATTTCCAAGATTCAAGTCTAGGAAGCATAGATCGTAGATGGGAGAAGAAGTCGTCGAGAGAATGTGTGCCTTGGAGAGGCGGGGTGAGAGAGACGGCGTAGTTGTGGCCCCAGGAGTGTTCGAAAGAAGGGGCACAGTAGGTACGCAGAAGATTGAAGTTCATGCGTTCTGGAAAAGTGGTGTCGAGGGCTTGGGCTTTGATGAAATCGAGCGCTGTGTCTCGGAGGATTGTGTAGGTGGGCAAGGCAGATTTTGCCGGGTCTTCTGCTGTGTGGTTGCTCATGTTGATGTTGCCGGTTTATTATTTTCAAGAGGTGAAGATGTGCGATTGGAACTCGTGGGATGGACGGAAGATACGAATGTGGCTTGCTTTCATTGAATGCGGAGAATTACCAGTGCTACATGGTACATGCGGATCCCCACGGTACGCCACGGGATATGGTTTAATTGTCCCGAAAAACGGGGAAGCTGCATACAGTAAGTTTATACTACTGTTTGAAGTTGGTGCATGTGCCGAAGACATGGAATACGCTTGTTTTGTCTCCAGGAAAAGGTTGGTCGCGGAGAGAGCAAGGCACTATTGCGGGTGCTCCCGTTGCTCCACTATGTCCGTCCAATCAGCTGAATGACGACCGTGACGTCGAAGTAACAGTTGGAGACAACTAATGTTCACGACCTAGCTGGTAAAGTATCGCGCAACTACGATACCACCGAATCGAACGTAGAACAGACGCGGTGGCGGGAGGGTCGTGTCGCCGAGCGATCAGATGCACGAATTACTTTCTGTTGGGAATGTTTGCGTGTTGGCCCTGTTCGATATCAAAAACACAAAGTGCTAAGAAGACATGAGATGGATGGATCTGAGTTGAGATGCGATATACTGAAGAGCTGGTCATTGGGGGAGCTGAGGGACTAACTTACTTACAACGTCAAACGCCACAGCCAGTGCCCTGCCTATTGGGGCAGAGGGCCATATCACCTTTTACTTTTCAAAACCGCCCCATAGACCTGTGCTATCATTGCTGCACGCTTGTTGTGTTTGCAGACTAGAAACTACTTGGCCGACATTTCTTGTCACTTCTGCCCTGATCACCTATCCGCTGCACATAGAGCCATGCGCTATGCGTACTGAAGTCGCCATGTGCTCGTGTCTGATGGATAGACACAAAGGCGGTTCTCAGTACTACAGGTGTATAGCCGGCAACTATTTTGAGACGTCGGAGTAAAACGACTGGCGATTGGGGTCGAGGAATCTTCCATCGAAGCATTATCGGGACATGGAGGAACTCCGAAGTATCTATACTGATTGTGTACGTGGTCTCGGATCGAACGCGATGAGGGTGAGGTAGGTTCAAACGAAGGCCAGGCTATCGATGCCAGCGAGTGTGGCAATTTTGTGTGAGGGACGGTCGGTATTCATGCGCGCTTCGAATGATAAGTCGGTCCTAGGCTGTTAGCTTGTTAGGTTTTCCGGTCTGTTTCTGAGTGAAGGCAAGTCATGAAGAGTGCACTCTTGCACGATCCAACCACTGTGACGTGAGTGCAGGGAAAGCCAAGCAGTGCATTGTTGCAGTCTTTCCCCATTGCTGTAAAAGGAGAACTGACGCATGGCGGAACTGTCGGAAGCCCCGATCTGATGGACGATGCCCGTGCGTTGCGAGAGTGGTGCATTCGACGTATGCGTCACGTCACTGAGAGAGGATCGGCGGTGGGTAAACCTTGTTGAAGACGCGTCGTTCACATGGCTGAGGGTTGTTACGCCAGAGAAGGTGCTTCGAGATGTCGTTGGGATCTGTAGACTGAGAAGGGCGTGTCCACCTGGGCAGCCAGCGGGAGCCAGTGTCTTAGTACGCGGAAGGCACGCCCCGGACGCCCTCGGTTCGGTCCGGTGTTTAAGTTCCAGACAGCCTGTGTTTGGCGCACCCTTTACGCATCTTACCATGAGAGCAGAGTGCTTCACTGCACCGTCGTGCAAAATTGCGAAGCTCACTCTGGGTCCATGGTCATCTGCGTGCACATGTGCAGCTGCAACGCCTGACCGCCGCTACTTCCTGCACGCCCATCATTCCCACTTCGGCTCCAAGCCTGGGTATCCGTCTGCGACTCAGGGAAATCTAACAAGCCCAAGGGTTCGGTACCTTCGCATGAGTTTGTTATTCGCCGTTCATCTCCGGACTTCGCATCTTTGCGACACTGAGCAAGGAAACTGCCGAGCGGAAAGAGCATCAGTGCAGTCCTTCCCATCTGCCGCAGAAAGCGCGCCTCAGTGCGGTGCATGTGAGCTTCGAGCCTTCCAGTTTTTCTCAGACGTGTATGGTGTAAAATTCTGCCTGCGACCACCTGCAGTGTGCTCTTGCCTCGGTAGGCTGTGTCGCTAGTCATGACCGGATGTATCGCCAGCGCGGCGCTTCGTGCGGCTATTGTCTAATTCGGCGTTCGAAATCTGCTACAAGCATGTATTGGGGTCGCGTAGATTGGTGTTCCGAATCTCGTCGATTTTGCGGTTTGGCGAAGCGTTCGCAGAGGCGCGTAGGGAATAGTGGCACAGTTCAGTGGTACAGATCAGAAGCGGTACACACTGCGTAGTTGTGCCACAATGGTGCTGCTGCTTGCACACACATTAGCACTATGTGTTGGATCCGATATTCGGGTTGGTGGAGATGCGAGCAGAAGCCACTCGTTCGCGCTGCCGAGCTGAGTAGAACGCGGCAGTTCGTGCTAGAGAGGACTCGAGCATGATGGTAGTATCGCTTCGTTCCAGTCGATTCTTTGCAAGCCAAATCCACCATACCTAGCTTTATTGCACCAAGTCAGCCAGACTCTGTGGCTGACAAAACCCCAAGCAAAGGCGTTGCCCTCGTTGTATCGCGACAGGGAGACTGTAGAAGCTGATTTGTCGATACCAGCTGCTCGGGAGGCACTTAGATACACGAAAGGCCTTCCCTCATGCGGAGCGTTAAAACGAACAGTCTTTCGTGCCGCAATCGAGATTGTCGAGGGTGTCCGCCTGATCCTCGTATCCGGGGTCTGTAGGAGACTCGATTCGATCGTAGAGGCGTGAGAACACTGGGTAAGGGCGTAAGCTATGTCTTCAGACAATCTTCCGCGTCACGTCGGTCCTGTTGCGTCAATGTATTGCTTTGTTACGGTCGCCGCAGCGCATTTCATACGCAGAGTCTCCGCACGTCTGCACCGGTGTGGAGGAAGGTTTCGAAGGCGGGACGGGAGTGGGATATGCGTCATTACGCGATGCGTTGGAAAAGCGTGTATGCCACAGTCCGGTCCTTAAGGAGTGAGTGAAGGCGAGCCATTTATTGTGTTTGAGGAATAATTCCGGAGGTCCGATAAGCAGAGAAGACTCGAGAAGAGATTGTAAGAGGATTGTCATTCGAAGAATGTACAACAAATAATTTGGCCAGTTGGTATCATTGCTCGATGCGATTTCATGAGACTGATGAAGACAAGATTCAGTGGCCTTCCGGCAGTGCGAGATTGTTGCACCGGCGGAACACGGCACTTCCGGGATCTGCACCAGTGCTCTCGCATGGAGTGAACGTATTTGGCAGGTCACTAGTTGCAACCCTCACCTACTGATGTGCCTCAAATACTTGAACCTTTGGCTAATGACCTCGGAGGCAGTATCTAATGCTGCTGGTGATGTTGCTGATGCTGCTGGTTATGTTGCTGATGACTGGGCCTTGGGAGAATGTCTCATTATCTATTAGCATGAGTTCTGCACTGGCCCTACACACAAACGTGGACCGGCAAATCTCCTGAACCAGAGGCTGCTGGAAGAGGCCCTAAACTTGCACCGTTGCATTATTAGCCTTCATATTAATCGCATGTGTATCGTGGGCGAAAGATCCAGGCGGCATTCAACTCACCACGTAGTCTTAGAAGTGACAGGATGAGTGCGGCTTTCTTGCTCTCTTCCGAGTGGGCGTGGGGTCCGCAAGTGAGATATCTGGTGCTTCCATCAAAACGGCGCATGGCCCATGATTTGTCAATATGCTGACCGGCCTGTTCAAGAATCAGTACCGACTGGCGTTCTCTTTGCCACGATCCGCGGAGGTCTCGCACACCCTAGTGATACAACACTGTGAAAAGCGACTGGCCCGTGTCCCCTAACCACACACTTCCTGCCTCTAGTGTAGCCACGAAATCTACACTCTGAGCACCTGGCCTAGCCTTGCTCGTGGACTGTTTCCACTACAAGAAGAATTCCCTCTGACATGTGGAACACCTTCATTATGCATTGATGAAGTTTTCAATGTTGAGGCGCATGTCAATCCCTCATCGTAGCGAAACTCGGCGAATGTGGTTCAAAAGCGTGGCGGAGTCCCCGATCCCTGGCTCCTGTGAACCCACACCTAAGCTGTCACAAGTATCGCGCATACATGAGATGCATGTGCGACGTGGCTTTTCGGATGAACTGATCCTTCAGCTGCAGAATCCTCTGGATGCAAGCGTCAGGCGTGGCCCGCAGGTTCGGCGGGCATCATGCATCGGATCGAGACCTGAACATGGAGTATTGGGCCGCACGTGTTCAAACTCTTATGGCCTCATGGGTTTTGGGTTGCTAAGGAGGCTACAATGCTTGCAGAACTTCTCTCTCGGGTTACCTCCCAGGCCATGCCACGAAAATACGGCCACGTATGATGCAGCGGATAGTCTTAGATTATATCTGCATAGCATCTCTGCCGCTCACCGGAGTCTAAGTAGCCTGGGCATTAGGCTGTCAAATGCATTTACGTTCTGATGCGTGCATTCGAGTCGAGAAGGGTGGGGCTGCACTGGCAGCTAGTCGGGATGAACGAACTCGCCTGCGGGGAGCAGGTGCCGGGCGCCTACACATCGTCTTTGGTAGTACTGATCAATGATGTTCCCTACCTTATCTGATCTGCGGTCAGGTGTTCGCGGTGTAGCAGTGGAGACGTGACTCTCCATTACCTAGGTAGGAGTTGGCAAGACGAGATCCAGAAGTTTCAGCCGACACCACGCGGCTTGCTGTCAGTGCCGATGATACATCTTGAGTATATGGACCGACGGAGAAATAACAATGCGAGTAAGCTTGTATTGTTTAGGACGCTTCATGATGAAGCGACGTCAGTTCAACAAGCGCGCTAGGGTTTAGTGTACCACCAACGAGCAGTGGCGGAAGCGACGACAGTACAATTTCATGTGTTCATGTTTGTAATAACATGAAAACGATTTTGTAATCAGAAAGACACACAACATAAATGACAAAGCCGCCGCCCTCCATGATCCTTCCATATTCATATCACAACACTCTTTCCCGACCCTTTTCTACCGTGATTAAAGGAGCGATTGAGGCTTGACAGGTCCACCAAGAGAGATCGAGTACGCAGCGGATGCTTCTCGATAGTAGAAACAGTGATTTAAGCTACCCAGCGTTCACAACTGAGTCCTGTCGACTTCCAATGGTTCGATAGTGGCTTGCCGGCGGCGGTGACTGACTTGGGTTCGTAGTCCCAGTCAGAGTTCGCAGCGCGATTTCGGCGGCGTCTTCTTTCGCATTGGGAAGATAATTGATGTCGTACCAGTACCTCGCCTGGAAGTTGGAACCATGGATGGTGACCATGGTTGACCAGGCTGTTCGGCCTCCTAGCATGAACATTAGCCAGTAACAGGCGAATTTGCATTGACGAAGCAATATGCTAGGTTCGACTTACCACGGCGATCAGAAAGATCCGTGTAGGTTGGTTCCTGTAACCCTCTCGCAAGGCAATGATCTGGAAAGCGCATCAGTGTGCATTAGATCAAGGACTGGGACGAACAGCCTACCTCGAAGGCGCTGCGTCCACGGATCCCCATCGGCCATGATAAGTATATTTTGGTATAGATGCGGAATGACTGAGGGTAGCAGACAAGAGGTAAGTTGCAAGGGATAGAGATCGATGGCTAAGAAAGGGTTGAGAATGGCTCGATACGACAAGCCTAGCAGCGCTTTGAAGGGCGCAGCTACTTATAACATGTGAGAGTGACGCGAAGCCTCACTTACAGACGGAAGAAGCAGACAGTTGCGGCAGTGAGTGACAGGATATGCAAGAATCCGTCTCGTCGGTCATGCTCTTCTTGCAAGTGACATGCGCGTATGCTGTTAGAAGCCGTCGCGAAGTCAGTCTTTGTGGCCAATAAAGAGTTTCCCACATCCGAGCCATTGGGCTGGACGAACGCACTCCAGAGCGGGCCGATCGGGCATGCAAGAATCCCAAGCATGGTCTAGGCCATGTACAGCCTACTATTGTCTGCGGAGAGTTGGGGACAGTCTGTCGGCAAGCTGCTCGGAGGCGGTACGGATGAGATGCTTGTCAGCACCCGCACTGGGGAAAGCTGCATGAACAATATGCAATTGGAACCTGAGGCTGCGGCGTGAGGGTGCTTTGCAACTTCAGCCCAAGAGCACGTTCGCGTACCCACATGGCTGCAAAACATGTGGCTAGTGTGGAGTGCCAGGTCATTATGCAGACACTCTGCAGTAGTGCTCTAAAGGACCCTGCCTAATTTTCGCTGTGGCGGCAATGATATCATACCGAGAGATGTGGTTCGGCAAAGAATACTTCGAAGACATCAAACGATATTAAGCAATTTTCGTCAATTATGAGGCGGTTGATTCATTTCAGTAGTGCTGTTGACGACAGGAGCGGATGGTCGTTGGACTTGGACACCCACACTTGGTCCAAGATTCCACAAAGCGGCGAAGGAATCAGAACAACATATGGTGAGGCAGGCGGGTTCCTGCTTATTGTTTGACCTTCGTTACGGGATATGAAGCCGCAGCCCGAGAATGATGAACAGACAGACTGTCGTGAAGCGAAAGCCAACCCACGCATTTCCGGTGCCGCAAATGCATGGCTAGGAATATGTGGTCGCTACAATCTTAATGAGGAAGGAGTCCTGATTGGCTAGTTTGAGTACTTTTCGTTGAGCGCAGTTACGATGTTCTTGCTACGACACAGCAGATCCAACAATAAAACTATCTTTGATATACTTTGCTCACCGTGATTGACTATCAGCTGAGTAATCGTGAAAAGCACCGCAATCTGTCTTGAGACTTGAGGGGCGATGAGGCGGAGGGTCGCACGAATAGCGTTGGGCTGATGTCGTGGTCGAAGATGCTAGAAGGCTGCAGAAAGGTGCGGATTCAAGGCTGAGCATGGTGGATAATGCGATGTGGCGATGTCTTCCCGGCAGTCGATTGTGAGAAGAGCTTAGCCATGTACTACGCGTGTGCTTGAAGTCGTATCACCTGTCAACTGTCAAATCCAAGCTCTCGGGATCGTACGCCCAGGAATGAACTGGTCTTCCAAAATAGCCTAACACGTAAGCAAACATCAATCTACGGGAAACAAGCAGTCGAATGAACGCTGTGTGGGCACAAGACCGGACGGCTTTACTTGAATGTTGAAGCGTGCCGCGTTGTACCCACGGCGTTGAGGGAAATATGATACTCTCACGTGTGGCAGAGTGCGAACCAATTGTATAGAGCAAAATTAGCTCAGGTCATTATTCGTTCCAAAGTGTGGTATCGTAACTTCGATCCCAGTATGTATCGATCCAAGAATGATAACATGGCGATTCGTAAACCAAAACGGGCGGTGCTATGTGCATGTGCTGAACATCCATGCCGGCTGGTATCCTGTGCAATGAGAAAAGGCTCAACAAATGCAGCAAACAAACAACGCTATGCATGCTGCAAACCAAAAGATGGCGCAGATGCCAAACACCTAGGAGTAAAAAGAGAACATGACCACCAGCAATGCTAAGACTGCGCCTGCCTGCAGGTAGCCATCCCAACAGAATGTTTCTGACAGGTTGGTGGTACAAGATGCGAGAACAGGCTGCAGCTTCCCGATACTGATTGAACGTATACTAACACAAACTAGAGCTAAAGAAAGCAGACACTAAACGGACGTCGGCAAACGACGTACCGCTAAAGGGTGTTTCTTGGGTATGTTGCCATCCTGGTGTTTTCGGCTGAACATCTCATCGATGAGGCGTTTGGGGCCAATGTATTCCAAGTTGGCCATTTTGAATGACGGATTTCTGAGAAGCGGGATGTGCATCTGTGTGCTCTGTTTGGAATGGAAGCGTCGCTTGATGCAGTCATCCACAAGAGCCATGAGGCCTGTCGCCATGACAACACTGTTCGTTGGGTTAATTGACTGTTACTTTGCACGGCTTGTGCTGCCGAAAGAACTTACTCGGAAATGTCTGAGTCTGAGCGCAGGATCTTGTCATCGGTAACGCGCATATAACAGGGTGGTATCCAGCCACCACGGGCAGCCTCCTCGTGCGCCTCTTCGTGCGTCAACCGTACGGGGCAAATGTGCGCAAGCGGCTCTTTGTCGTTGTCATCGCGGACGAGGTAATATGAGACAGACTCCTGCTGGTCCCGCCCTTCCTTCTTGACGATGCGCTTCCAGGAGTAGTCGTTGCCCCAGTATTCAAAGGCATACTTCTTGTATGACTTGGCACCGCGGCGCTTGACGTCGAGATGTGCGTAATTCGAGAACTCGAGCTTGATGGTATTGGTCGGTATTAACGCGCGGCCCTTTGAGTATCCCACCGCCTTGGGACGTGACTCGGAGCGCGTAACATTGTCGTCGGCGTCGTCATGAAGACTGCCCTGCATGGAGTCATAGCCGGAGTCGGCCCGCTTCAGACCTGCTGATGTTGAGGGGCGAGAGTCGGACTTGACCAGACTAGCGAGGGCTGTGCTTGCGCGTTGCAGGACTGGCCGCATCTCTGTGGCTGGCTTCTGGTACTTGCGCGTCGAGTGGCAGACCTCGCGGCCTGACTCTCTGCAGTATCTGCGGAGCGAGAACTGGCGTGTGCGAAGGTCCTGCATGCGGAGATGGAAGAGAGTGTAGCTTTGTTTCCGGTGTCCTCGTTCCTCGACCTGTGTATCCACTCTCAGGTTCATGTTGCCGTCTATAGTCGAGTCGTCGTGGCGTATGGATAGGCGCTTGGACGTAGGGAAGAGCTCCCCAAAGTCGCGGGGGGTGGTAGGGATGGCATCGCAAGCTAGTGGCTCGTGTCGGTATGTGGGCACGTCGTAGTCGGGCATGTCATCGAGCTCATCGGCAAGGTCTTCTTCTGATGTCGAGGCATATGTGTCGACGGAGGAGCGGGGCGGCAGCTGTGGATAGCGGTCGACTTTGTGTTGGGGCACAAAGTAGTCTCGTTCCCGGGCGCGTCCCTGTACGCGGGCGTGGCTTGTTTCGCTGTGCATGAGCGACGGTCTGCGGTCGCTGTACTCGGTCGGCGCTGTGTCGTACGAACGGTCGCTGGTGTCGCTGCGAGCCGACACGGTGCTGTTGTCGCTGCGGCCAGAAGCGGTGCTGTTACTCGACTGGTGCTGTCGCCAGTGTGGGTTGGGCGCCATGATGTAACGTGATGTCTTGCAGTGATGGACAATGGGGTATTAATGATGTGGGATGGATGGAGTATTGGCTGAACATGCAGAAGCCGATACGTGGGTGGGGATGGCACGACAATGCCATGCAAAGCAAACAAGCGTATAAGTAGAAGCGTGAGGGTCAAGCGCACGAGTGAAGCAGGCGGCGCAGTGATCTGAGACAGCTCACGAAAGGGTGACCCGGGGCAGGGCGGAGACCAGGGCCGACGGGGATTAATACACGCAGCAGATTTCGAGCAGCAGCGCAGCGCGAATCGAGGCGCAGCGCATGGCGTGGGAGAGACGAAATAGGCTGCCTGGACGCTGCGAGCTGTCTCGCGGGGTTCTCGACGCCGGTTGATCCCTCGCAGAGTCCTCGATCACGGCCCACGGACATGGCTGCATAGTGCTGCAACCCACAAAACGCCCTTGGCTTCATCCAGCAAATCGCCGGCACCGCTGGCCACCTGACTTGCTCGCATCGAGCGATTTGGACATGGCTGGGCGAATCACTGCCAGCTGCTGACCCTCCCCCAGCACCACACCGTTGCCTCGCCAAACGCTCATGGCAGCCCTTACACCGTCACCAAACAGAGCTCTTCACCTGCTGCACTCTGTGCCATGCAGCGCTGTAATCCAGTGCTCACTCAGCGGGCGCGGAGAGGACGCAAATTTAGCCTCGCACGACACCGCTTGATCGGCTGCCCTGCCAGGCATCCCATGTTGGACAGGCTCACCCGATGCTGACTTTTGGTTCCTCGTCGGCACCGGGCGCCTACGGGACGCTCCCTGCTCCCTCCCTGGTGATCATCCCACGTGTATCGCGAGGCCGACGGACTTCTAGACGGCCTCCTAGACGGGCTCTCCCGGTCTTCGTCAGATGATAGTGGGAAGATTTTGCTGCCTACCCGGCTGCGGCGACGTCATGTGCGCCAGCTAGTACCTAGGCCGTACGCTGCACATCGGAACTGCACGTCCATGCGCATGGGACAGATGCCCATGTCTCATCGGGTCCTGTGCTGCAATGGCTGATTCACCCCTCAATTGCGGGCTTACCACAAGGCTGCGCTGGCAAGGACCAGCCTCTACGCAGCCCGGGAGCTAGCCCTCTCCACCGTTTTCCCAGGGACCAGAATGCCCACGGCTGATGAGCATGATCATCAAGAAGATCACCCTGCGCGAAAGACGACTGTTGGTTGTGACAGAAGCAAAGAGGAAGGAGCTAATAGTCCTGCACGCTAAGCTCCTCAACCTGGGCAATACCACCGAAACGTGTCATCGCTGCATACATTGCTGCCTACCGATAACTATGTTTGCACTCGACGTAGTAACGAGGGGAAGACTTGCTTGCGTCATTCTACATCTTCTGCTCCTGGAGAAAAGAAATGCTTCACTACAGATGGTGTACAGCCAATCAGAACGAGCTACGTGTTGAGCTCGCACACCAGCCACGACAACAACAGCGCAGAGCCTTTCAATCGTCACGACCGATCAATTTGAAACCCCGTCGTCCGATAGTAGTTGAGATGAAAGAGCTGAGCCCATCGAAATGCCAGTGCTGCTTTCCCATGCGTTCCTTCCACGCCAATGGTTCTGCATAGCTTTTCCCCACTTCGTCCATCCACTCATATCTCCATTTTCGCTGGGAAGTCGGCTACGGCTATCTATCAATTGCATCCAAGGCTTCTAGACGTCGTTGGGTCCGTCCTGTGCAGATGCTGACCGAGGATCCCTCCGATGGTGCCATCATGGAGGGCAGTGATTGCTGCATACTGACCAAACAGTTGGCGACGATTAGCCCGCACATACCCTTAGGCTCGACCACTAAGCAGGCTTCCTTGTTACTCGATGCGATAGACTCATAGTCCTCCCCACACTTTGCCTTACAGGGCAATTGTACGTCAGTGAGGCGATGCCCTCACCACTTCCACGGCCTGTTGAACCGAGCTCTTTTGGATGCATGCCATGCGAACGCTCTAGGCACCTACGATGCCCATGAGAAACTTGGAGGACTCTGAGCGAGGCTGCCAGCTGCGAAATTGCAGCTCCAGCTAAGCCTCAACAGGCTCTCTGCGGCCCTGCCTCCAGGCTCGTCGAGTACTTATTGGGTGGCTGTAGATGAGGCGGCATACTACAGTCCTCAAAATCAGCCTCAGTTGACTCAAATGCTGCCCCTCATGTTTGCCTGTATGCGTGTGCGTTCAGTGCGTCGTGGTTCTATGCACTGATCAGCCGAACCACCACGCTGCATTTATGGGGCTAGCCTTGTTATCACGCCAATAAATTGCTACTGGCTCGTCTTAGTCTACCGTCATGATGAATACGCTGGACGACGTTGAAGAAGCTGAAAGCATGAACAGGCGCTCGTCAGAAGCGAGTGAGAATCTCCATCTTCCTTCCCTCATACTTGTGTTCTGTCTACCGACCCTATACACAAAACCGAGCTCGTGATCTCTAACGTGGTAAATGAATCAGCAAACACGACCAATTAATGCTAAAGATAGCATGGCATGACACATGTAATCCACCTACGAACCGATACCCAACGCTGACGGGCTTCTCGAATTTCGAGAGCAAGATCACCTTGTGTCCTACAGCGGCAACTCTAAATGATGCTACCATTGCAAGATTGTCCCAATCATCACATTCCAGACATCAGTTTCATCGCATTCCACAGTTCGAGCATCTACCACCATCACAACGCTCAGACCAGTCTCGAACCACGGGGGGGGCAATAGCATGATCGGTTATTCCCATATAGCGAGATTGACGCCACTTGCCGAACTTTACATAGTTAGCGCGAGTAATGCTTCGAATCACGACTACACAGTATCAAATGGTAAATCAAAACTGTTGGGAAGTGCACATTGATCATTGTCATTTCCTAGTGATAAATAGCACTACGACAGACCAAAGATGCTCACTGCGCTCCTTCTACCAAGCTTTGCTGTGGGTCGTGAATCATGGCGTCATGAGCCCATCAATGCATGGTGGGCTTGATCGGTGGCCAGTATCCTGCCGCCTCTGCCCACGCCCGTTTGTGCATCTCATCTAATTCTCTCTCTGTTTCCAGATCGATCTACAATTGACCGCAGTCCGCAATGGTGACGGTCTGCTTAGTAGTGCCGTTTTGGGAGCCGACCTTCTCAATGGCCTGGACGACCTCAAGGCCCTCGACGACCTGGCCGAAAACGACGTGCTTTCCGTCCAACCAGGAGGTCTTGACGGTGCAGATGAAGAACTGGGAGCCGTTGGTACCTGCGCGTTCAATTAGTCGTAGATCCTCAAGACACGGAGCAGTGTTTTGGACGAACCAGGTCCAGCGTTAGCCATGGAGAGGATACCAGGACCAGTGTGCCTCAGGTTGAAGTTCTCATCCTCGAACTTCTCGCCATAGATGCTACAGTGAAGATACGAAGTCAGTGTATGGCTCACATGCATTCCATACGACCATAGCTTACCTCTCACCTCCTGTGCCCTGCGCTATGTCAGCCATGTGTGCTCGCTAGAAGAAGGGTCGTGCGTTTGACGTACGTTGCCGCGGGTGAAGTCACCACCCTGGAGCATGAACTGGGGGATGACGCGGTGGAAGCTGGAGCCCTTGTAGTGGAGGGGCTTGCCGCTCTTGCCAGTGCCCTTCTCGCCGGTGCAGAGAGCGCGGAAGTTCTCAGCGGTCTGTCGGTTATAGTCAGCGACTGCCTCATCTTGTTGGGGTCTCGCGGGGAAAGAGGCCTGACGAAGACTCTGCTAGCGGGGTACTCACCTTGGGGACCTGATCGGCGAAGAGCTCCATGACGATCCTGCCGGCGGGCTTTTTGTCAATGGTGCAGTCGAAGAAAACCTTGGGGTTGGACATGGTGATGGATTTGGGCTGAATGTGTTATGAAGAGGGTGTGGTGGTGGAGTGTTGCCGATGGAAAGGACGAGGGGCAGCTTTAAAAGATGAGAGAGGAGGGGCATAGCTCTTTCCGTAGAGCACAGCACAAGGGTGGGGCCCGAGGCGTGATTGGGCCTCTCACCGTCGAGGCTGGACGTGGATGGGCCGCTCGGGCCACGCTTGGAGGGGTAATTGCGCCATGCACTCCCCGCATGTCAGGGCAGCGTAAGGGATCGTTGCCCTGTACCATCGCTCAAAATCTCTGGATGCATTACCGCATTGCAGCCACATCAAGAACTGCTTGGTTCCTTGGAGTTGTGCTAATGCGCTTCAGCAACGGGATTCCGTGGCGTCGCTCCGACAGGCATGACATCCAGCTCCTGAACGGACCACCGTAGCGCCATTCGACCGGCTCCTCATAGCGAATACGACCCTAAAGTATCCTGTGTAACGTGCGATACGGTCAGCATAAGAGTCACTGGCTGCTCCCACCCGTGATTGTGACTTTTTAGGTTTCTTTGCCCAACATCATTTCCTGGAGTCATCAAGTCATACGAACCCATATCAAGCGAAACACGGATGTGACAAATGGAATAAGAATTATGGCTAGCCGGTGTGGCAACGGCCTGATGACTACTGAAGAGAAGATAGAGAAGGTGAAGAACAGACAGCGCTCACGAACGCCGTGCCTCTCGGCTATGCTCTTGGATATACCCAACAAAGAAAAAAGTTCTCACATCGCCTATGGCTGCACCAACACATTCATCTCGGCCGACTTCGAAAACTCAGCACGCTCCTGGATATCCTTCACCTCTGCCTCCTTCCACAGCTGAATGACTTCCTGCTTGCGCGTCTCGCTCCTGGGATGGAACGCCATCTCCCATGGGTCTGGCTTGATGATGAGTAAAGAGTTGGACTTGTTGACGGGTACTTCGATGTCTTTGCCGGTAACGGGATCGACCTTTGCCCTGAGGTTGAAGGCCCACATCAGAGCTCCACAGCCCGTTACGGTCTCGTCGCGGGTGATAGACATGCCGAGACATTGGCGCTGGCCCCAACCGAACGAGGTCATGCCAACGATGTCAGGGTACTTAGTCAATGGCTCCTGGAACGTCGGCCATCCAGCCTCCAGCCATCGCTCGGGGTGGAACTCCTCAGGCTGAGGGTACTTGACGGGATTGCGGAGGAAGGCCCAGTCGAGAGGGAGAATGCGTGTGCCCTTGGGAATGAAGAAACCCTGGAACCAGTCGTCGGCTTCAGCTTCGTGAGCAACACCTGGAACGAAGTTAGTATCAATATGGTAGATGTCTCCTCATGTACTTACCAGTAGGTACAGTAGGTTTCCAGCGCATTGTCTCCTTGATACACGCACGAAGAACTGGAAGGTTGGGCAAGTCGGCGACGGCAGGAGGCTGATTACCGCAGACGCGGTCAATCTCCTCTTGACACTTGACTTGCCACTCGGGATGATGCAGCATGCTAATGAGGAA